AGAAACAGCAGAAAGAGAGAAGCATAAGCATTTACTTTAAAGACATGTGAGAAAGGAAAACAGCCATAATGCTAACGAAAAAGAGAAAAACAAAACAAAGCATTCATCACAAGAGGGACATAGAGCTCTGTAGCGTTAATTAAATTTCAGTTTTGTCAAGCTCAGCGTGGGTTTTTATCATAAAAACCTGGTCAGAACCCTTCGTAGAAATGAGGTCATCGTCAGTGGGACTTAGGAAGATTAATGATCAGAAATGTTTCCTTGAATGTTCTACGCACTTTTAAAAGAGTTATTTAGACTCGAGATATTTTTTTTACCAGAACAAAGTGGCCGTGCATAAGCGGCGGAACAGGGGGGAGGAGCAAGGGGGTCCGCAGCCCCCCTCTCAAAAAGCAAGTAATTCATGATAGCCTCTATATAGTCTCCCCATTGCATTGTATTATACCCTGTCGATCTCTGATATTACATGTATACCCTTGTATTAAGGTATACCCTGTTTCCCTTCCACACTAAAACGCATGGCTAAAAACGGTACCATCTTAGATGGGGGCATCCTCATTTACTGTTATCCAAGAGCGTGAAGTTATCGTTTGCAAAAACTACCGTTTTCATCCATCCATACGCCGTACAGTAAAAAGACGTTTTCAAGAATCCCCACTCTAGTGAGCGTTTTCGAACAGATGGGGGATCCGGTTACCGTTTTCCCCGGATACGTGTAGGCGGTAGGCCAAACCGGAAAAAAAGTCTTCGTTTTCAAACAAAAACGGGATACGTATGGACGAAACTTTATATGACTAGATAACTTCAGCCCCAGTTTTGAAAGCTAGAGCCACTTTGTATGACGGTGCGCAGAGTAAAGTAAACAATAAACAATGTCATCTTAAAATAGAGAAAAGAGTGGTTACCCAGTAAATCTAGTACCTTTATATTTCTTTTGTTGTGGTTCGGTTTAATATACATCAGTTGAAGAAATGTTTTTTTTTTTTGCACCAAATCAGAAGATATAAAACTGTTGTTCAGGTTTTCACGAATGTTGAGGCCTTTCAAGACATTTTTTTTCCTGCTAAATCACGATATTACAGTCTCACGAAAATTGTCTTGTCCATTTTTAAGCTATAACGTATGTAACAATCATAAAGCTTGACATAGCCGAAACGTCGGCGGCAAATTGACAATTATTTTTCTCGCCCGATCAGGCTTTCTGTTTCACCACCTTGTGAGATACGATAGCCTGCGAAAACATCCGTTTCTCCTCCCTCTGCGCCGCTGGGGACGTTTCGTGTTTTGCGTTTCCTCCGCGCGAAACGTCCCCAGCGGCGAAGAGGGAGGAGAAACGGACGTTTTCGCAGGCTAGAGATACGACGTCTGACGTCAGCTAAACCTACAGGCTCAACGACTCCCTGGGAATAGCAGCGCAATCAAGTCTTTTTTAACTGTCGAAAACGTATTGCTCCATGACAAATACTCTTCATAGCGAGGTGTTTCGTAAAAAACGTTTAGGTGACCCGAGTTACAAAGAGGAACTTGCTCATTTTCAGCTTGCAGTCTAAGAAGTAACGAGGAATGCATGGCCCAACCTTGGAGCGAGGCTGGGCCTAACCTCGTTCCTGTGTCCATTGTTTTACGTTCAGAAGTTACATTTAGGTTTGTAAGATCTGTGTTTTGAGTTCACCCAGGCGGGTGTGAGTTTAGGCAAATCCCCGTTAAGTTAGTTCATTTTGTCCTCCTCATGATGCTCCACGTTGGTTTTTCGATCATTAGCACTTTACAATTAAGATTCAGGTTTTTCCAAGGAACATTCCTACTTAGATCAAACGACTGCCTGGAAAACATAATAAAAATCGTTTGATGCCTTTAGCCAGCCGAAAATGCAGGTTGCTGTTTCTTTTTTAACTTATAAATAATCAATGAAATAAACTAGTCTGAACGGTTACGCAAATCATTTGAACTCTTTATAATTTAGCTATTTCTTCATTTTATTTTTCAAAACCAGGCTCATACGTGGCTGTTTATGTTATTTCTTACGACATTTATAAAAGGGTTCTTTATTTGCGTAGATATAACAATATCTTAATTTTCTCCATTGAAAATAAAATATGTGTGCATTACTTTAAAAAAATGAGTCCCTCTTTTGTTTAAAGCTCATAGAAATTGAAACCGATAACCATGCAACTCACGTACGTTATGATAGGGTGAGAGATATGTATCACTTTTAAACTGATAATTTCTAATAAGCTGCATGAACTTGCCTACCAGTCCCTCTACAACTAAAATGTGGAATTAGACAAAATAACGACGTTGAATTAATATTCTTAGAGCCGCTAAAAGGTTATTTTAGAGAGTTTAGGTCATTAATTTTGCACATGTATAGCATCGATATCGTAAAGGATTTACCAGGCAGGTCTGTTTTTGACTGATAGTGTCAAAAGACAAAGTATCAAAGGACTTGTTATACATTGATGGCTGTGTTGCCCTTGCGTCTAGATTTCTTGTCGCCCCGTAATGAAACAATAGCTGAACTGAAAATTGCCCCAATTTAGGAACAAATCACTTCTTTGTTTTTAACGATAATTAATAAAAACAGTTAAAAAGAATTAATGGTCTTGCGGTGCATTTTTATGACCTTAGTATGGCCAGTATTTTTTTTATTTTAATATTGCCATCGAGAGATACAAATTGATCGTGAGTAAATTCTATAAGGCATTCATTACTACGCGGAATAATGACCCCGTAGCTTTCGATCTTGCGGCGTTCAACGGAAAATAAACCAAACCCCGCGACTCGAAGCTCCAATCAAAGAAAACCCCCATGTCTATCAATGAAAAAGGTTTTAGAAAAGACTTAGAAGCTCCCCTTCAAATCAATGTCTCAAATGAGACTGTCGTTTGAATGGACTTAATGGCGCTTTAAATTCATAAATCAAGACCCAATGCAACATAGAGTATTATACTTGGGAATCCAAAAGATGAAATGAGCTTTCAGTGAAATTAATGCTAAAGGCAAACGTTTTTTTACATGTACTTCCCATTCATGATATAGATAAACAATACCGACGACAGGCCCGTTTCTGCGAATCTCTCTGCACATTAATAATGGAAGAAGCTTTTGCGAGTAGCCTTAAATATCTTCTTTAATTGGCTTAAAACGAAGCAATAAGATTGACAAAAAAAAAAAAAAGAAAGAAAAATATTATTATAAAATAAAAGAACTAAAATATTATTTATCATTTTTAATGTGAAAATGGTCATTCTAGTTCAACTTCAGATCACAACTTCAGTCTCTGGTTAGCAAAGAGGTATTCTATTGAAACCTGCTTAAATAATATTACATTTTACGCCAATAGAATTTCCTTCATAGCTTATTTTCATTCACCGCTTATTGAAAATCAACTTTGGTTGAACAAGCGATGGTAATTTTAGCTGTTACGGCTGAAACACCTTGGCTACTGTTGAAGAAAGGTCGGTTTTGACCTTACACGACAGTGCCAACATCACGAGTTGAATTTGACCGAAGCTGAACAAACACAGAGGTCTTTTGCATGTATAATTTTCATGTAACCAAAGAAGACAATTCCTACTCGTATACTTGATGTTTTTGTGGAGTTGCCTTTCACGGGGTTCAATATCAAGCCCATAAACTTATCTAACGACTTTGCGGTAAGTAGATACCACATTTGAAGATAAATCATCCGACCCAGATGCACTTCTGTGACATCCCTTAGCAAAAACGTAATTTTTTGTGTTTTAACAAGTAACAGCTAAACCACCTACACAAACTGTTTTGGTCTCTTTGTTGAACAGAGACTTCCGATATCACCTTTTACTTCAGCACATCCATTTAGTTTAATTACAATAACGTTCTGTAGTCTTGATAGCAAACCTTTATGACTTATAAATTCAATTTTGATTTTAGCTAAATCAAACAAAGTTAAACAAGCTAGCCTGTGATATTTTTGAAAGCGACACTACTAATTTTAGGCGTATGGTTTAATAAATTTGAAGCGTAAAGTTGGCGAAGTGAATGTGGCATAATCAGTCTGGGGGCGCCTTAGTGGCTCGGTTAATTCAAAAAGTTTTTAGCTCAAAGGAAATCTGATGAAAAGAAGAAACAGAAACGGAAGCTTTTTACTCCGATCAGCGGAACAGAAAAGCGGAACAAGTTAACCATGCCGCTTTCGAATTCACTAGCAATTATTTGATTTTCGTAAAGGTAGTGCTAGGTAACCGTTGGCTAAGCCAGAAAAATGAGAACTTCCTTTAACGAAAAGTTCAACAATAATTATGAATTGTCTTGGGCGATTGTCGTAATGAAAGAAAATTGTTAATTAAGGATAACTTTGCAATAAGTTACATGAATTAACGAGTTCTCTTGTAATGAAAGAGTCTTCGTTATTGTCTACAAATTGAAGGAAATCTATTTAACCTCGTCGTCCAATCACGGCGCTCAGTAAAATCATGCCAAACAGCTGGATTGTATAAATATTAGAAACAGGACCACTTGCTTTCATAAACTGTACAACTTCGCTGAGCATAAGGCAATGCAAAGACGTCTTTAGGAAATATTTAAGGTAAATGACTACTTTAAAGAAAATTGGTAAATATGCTGTGATAACGAATCTCAGGTTGAAATTAACGAAAAACTGAAGTGCACGAAAATGGGCAAGGAGAAGTCTTGTCTCTATTGAATAGTTTAATGTGAGGTAATTGTTGCAAAGTGGGTTTTGCCTGTTTTTTGTTTTAAACGATGATCAATGATTGTTGTTGGAGAAGTTAGCCAACAGGTTTTAAGAAGTTAACCGGCTTTTAAATATTGTAAAAGGCAGTAATTAAATTGAAGAGAAGGAGTGAGTTATCACAGTTCGATTTTTTTTGTGTGTGAGATTAAGTAAGCTGCAGAACTTTGTCCGATGCTTAAACATGCTACGTTCTTGATTTTAAAGGCAGTTAATTAGCTTTCACTTTGTTCTTTCATAGCCCAAAAAGAAAATTTATCTTGTGAAGATGCCAAGATCGTTCCTGATTAAGAAGAGGCGGCAGAATCCTACCAAGATGGAAAACAGAGACGTCGAAGTTCCGAACATCGCAAGGCAATGTTCATCTGAAAATGTTGAAGGTAAATATAATCCCTAAATGTTCGAACTGAGCTCTGTAATATGTTCCGAATAGTTTTTTTGCTATGTGACTCTCATGGTATCTTAATTCTAAACCTGCCCTAGCAAAATCGCCGTTTCTATATGATTCATGAGACAATTATATCAATCAAATGAGCCTCTTTTTTGTAAAAGTACATAATTTGTCCTCAAAGATCGCAGAGGTATCAATTCGCCAAAGAGGTGACAAAATAAATAATTGAAACAAAGACGTTAAAACTGAAAATGATGAACTGAATTTCAAATGACAAATTTGCCTTTTATTCGGGGCGGTTTACATTGCTGTCGACAATTTAACTTTTCGTTACTGAAACACACCTGAGACTGATCGGACAAAAACTCTTTGCCGAGGGGTAAGAGAATGAATTAATTGTTATCTGTTTCCAAATTTCTTAACACATATTGGATGGCTGGATATATCAAAAACATGCCCTTTTCACCCTGCCCTTCGCAACTGAGGCTCTGTATGTCCACACGAATCTTTTTTCATTTTAATGTCGCTCCTGATGGGATGCATTTTAGAATCGTTGTGAAAAGAAGAAAATGTTCATCGAAAATCTAAACATTAAAAAGCGCCTTCCAGCGGCGTATGACATTATTACTTCTTACGCGCTTTAAACCACGGTTAACGCTTGATTAATATTGCTCCCTTTAATTCGCTCTCGAGTTTAATCAGATGTATTTAATGCTGCATTCATTATCTATCAGGGCAATTGATCGTCAAAAATAAGAAAATTATAAATGGTTTTGATTGCGCGATCGCGCAGACGTTAACATATACACCAGCGCATCGGCACTGTCAGTCTTAGCAAGTCTTTAAGAGTATTCTGTAGAGATTTACCCCGCGGCGCAAAAGCTTTGTACTGAGATTTCCGAAATGAGACTACCAGTGTGGAGCAACACTATTTGCTGCGTGTTCGGTTAGTCGGAAATGAGAACTTTCGAGTTAAAGCGCATTTGTGTGAACGGGCGCTGTAAAACTTTTGGTGTACTAGTTATTAAATCAGCCAGTGGTCAAATAAGCCCTCTCACTCGAGTAAATCCATTTAATAGGTTTGTACGCACAGAATCGAAGCATTTAGTAATGATGACAAGGAAAACCGGCTTGCGTAAAATTACATTTTCATTACTGAACCTAGATACTTTTAATGCAGTCCCCGTTTTCTTTAGTTAATCGAATTAAGTTAAGTTTTATAACAGATAAGATTGTGAAGTAGAAGACCTTTTGTTTTGGGTCAGGCGAGACTGAAACAGGAAAATTGGGATAAAGAGCGGGAGCACTTCTTCCCTCAACTTTTCCTCTCTCTCCATCCCTTTCTCTTCCTTCTTCTCCTTATTTCCCGGCCTGTTCAAGCTAGGGGTATTTCGAAATTCAGTGATATTCTTAAGACAAGCGATCTCTATCCAGTTTAAATGATTGGAGTGTGCAAGCCACCTGATTCGCATGTATTTTTTACTTCGACTCCTGACTATGAACAAATGAAACCTTTTTGAATTGTTTGTTGATTGAGTCCGTCTATGTTGATATCAATGGATAACTAGAAAACGATTAAGATTTCTAGCGAATACTCTCGGAACACGCGCTGGTTTCTTAAACTTGCCATTATGGTTAATAATTCCCCGTATCTGAATTTTTGTCGGCTTTATGTCTATTGCAGATGTGGAACATCATGGTAACTCGCTAAGCAACAAAATGGCTACTACTGAGGTCAAGTTAAGCGCTTTCACAGCCCGGTTCTTGGAAAACAGAGAAATGAATTTGAAATTTACTTCACACTTCCAAACGCCACAAGAACTTTCATTAGAGCAGTCAGATGAGCAATCTTCCGCAAAGTACACCACAACTGCTGTCAAGTGGGGCTTGACTTGGGAAAAAGTGAATGAAAATGGTTTTGATGTGAATTTTTTCAAGAACGAGGGCTATATTCTTCCTGCGATGATAAAAATAGAAGAAAGAGATGATGGAGATGGGGTGCAAAATATGATGTGGGGAAGGAACGACTGGCAAAACTCGTTTGTACAAAGGGGTGTCCTCGAGAAGGACAAGGCGGCCGAGTGTCTTCTCCCAGAAAGAGAAAACTGTGGCAGCGAGACCATTTCAGACGTGAGGAATAAGGAAGGTTTTGAGAACTCAACCCTGTTTCAAGAAGATGCTGTCCTGAAACGTGAAGAGCCAGTGGATCAAAGACCCCTATCAGCCTCCGGTTTGAAAGATACGAAAGAGGCGACGTTCAGCAGTGATAGCGAGACCAAGGAAACACTCTTACAGCAGCAGCATGTAAAAACAAGTAGCTCTTCGAGTAAAAAATATCGCTACACATGTGATGTTTGTGGTAAATCATTTAGCCGTTCCAATACTTTGACCACACACAGAAGAATTCATACCGGGGACAAGCCTTTTATCTGTGAGCAGTGCGGCCGTGCCTTCCGACAGCCAGGAAACCTGACGCGTCACCGATTAACTCACACTACCGTCAAACCGTACGTGTGCACGCAGTGCAACAAGGCATTCAACCGTGCTTCTAACCTGCATACCCACATGCGCACGCACACCAACTACAAGCCGTTCATTTGTGACTTCTGCGGAAAAGGGTTTCACCAGAAAATCGACATGAAGATCCACCGATACACCCACACGGGCGAAAAACCACACAAGTGCGACAAATGTGGACGCGGTTTCAAGCAGCTGACACACTTGACGTATCACCTGAGAACCCATTCCGAAATGCGTTTATATCAGTGTGAATACTGCGGTAAAGGTTTTAATCAAAAGGGAAACCTACAGGCGCATATCTACGGTCACACTGGAGAACGGCCCTTCAAATGTCAGGTTTGTGGCAAGGGATTCACATTAGCCTCCACGTTGAACACACACAAGAGGACGCATGCGCCCAAGAAGCCTTTCCAGTGCCAGTTCTGTACCAAAGCATTTTATCAAAAGAATGCGCTTAAGACGCACTATATAGCTTCCCATCCGTTTGCAAATGGTGTTAGCCTTTTGTAATAAACCATTTTAGAGAGAAAGAAACTGACTTCAACATTTAGCAGACGTTCCGCTTTTCCGTACAAATGAGCAGTCACAATTAATCAGTTGAATTCATTTAAATAAACTCGTGATAATTTTCTCAGGCCCAGTCCACACATATTCTGGATATTTTTTAATCCGAAACGTTTTCTTTCCGGATTCAAAAATTTTCGCGTCCACGAGTGTCAGTATTCAAATCGAGTTTGCCCGCCCACCGTATCCGACTCCGACACCTATCCAGATTTCTCTCCAGTACCCAGGACTCCTATGGGAATATTGGCAACAGGCCGAGGGCATGCGTCGTAAGGACGGGTAAGAGAGAGAACCTGGGAACGAGGTTGCCATCTTGAATACAGTATTTGCGGTAAAGAACTGGGCTCGATCTTGTTACGTCACCGGATAAAAAAAAAAAAACAGGATTTAGCGTCCAAACGATTCCGGATTCATAGCGTATTAAAAATTTCTACTCTGGAGAGAAGATTCAAAAAGTTGCGGATTCGTATGCCGGATTCACCGAATACGTGTAGACGGAAGCAGTATCTGGAAAGAAAAATTTACAGATTAAAAAATATCCGAATGCGGGTGGAAGGGCCCTCAGTAGCTGGCCATATAATCACTTTTCAACAAAGAACATCAGTCTTCTTTTGGTGTTTCTTGATCTTTAGAAAATTTTTGCTACGTACCATTGTGCTGTGGTGCGGTTTATTCATTTGCAGTTTTGATTACACCTTCTGCAACATTAAGTAAATGAAAACATTTTAAAAGGTGACTGACTGACATTTTTTCGTGTTTATTCTTGGCTGTTAGCAACATAATCAAACGTTTTGTAATGAGGTACAGTAAGTAATATGCATTTTGTTCCATTGTTTTCTTTCTCTTTCCCCAAAGGAAACTTCATTTGTGTGTACATCATAACTGAAAAAGAAATCCAAGGAGATAATTTATATGATATGATGTAATGTGAAGCCACATTTATATTTATTAAGAATGCATCCGGCGCTCATGAACTAAAGAAAAACCGTCCATTATTGCGCCGGTTTCAATGTTTGTCACTATTTATTTCGGTTAGAATAAGTTATATCAACTTATCCGTTATCTCCACGCTTTCGAACCAAATTTGCATGTACATTTTAACCTCTTGTTTAATGCACTATGCAAGTGATATCTTACAGAATATTTAGTATAGAACTGTACTAGGTGCCGGGTGTTTTGCTGACAAAATAAAGTACTTATTCAACGAATTGTTCTTGGTTGTTACTCAGTTATCTTGATTTCGTCGTGTTGTTATATTTGGGAGATTATAGCTTGAGTAGATCATTTGGTCGAATTTGGGATGAGCTCTTTTTGCCTAGTCCAGTCCCTGTACTGCGTCTTCCCAGGCCTTCTAGTTCAGTGGACCTCTTTAGCCTGTATGTTTTGTTTTCCCAATAGTGGTCCCAAGGGAACTTGACAATTTTGTCTTTTCATAAATCAGTTATGCGGAGATATGCACGTGAGTGAGACGAAATTTGGAAGAAACAGTTCTCTAGGGTATTATCACATGGTCTGTATTGGGAAAACAAAACATACAAGCTAAAGAGGTCTATTCATTTCAGTGACGTAATCAAACGGATCACGAACGGACTTGAAGTATTGTCTAGGCTCCTGACAGAAAAGTAACATGATTTTGTTCCGACAAATAGAGACTTGAATGTTTCTTAGGAGCAGATGTATGAGAATAGGGTGTGGTCTGCATACGAGCCAACTTAGCCTGTTCCAAGCGTTCAGATAGTGGTGAGCGGAGCGAAGTAAAGAAAGCGATGAAAAGTAGAGGAGGACTGGAGAGAGAGGTGCGTGAAGTGAAGTGCGGTTCCCTATCTCACCTCTCTCCCTCCCTCGATTTAATTTTTTCGCGCTCCGTTTTACTTTGCACAGCTCCCCACTATCTGAACGCCTGGAACAGGCTAGAACCAACTGCCCTATCAGCTCGGAGCTTAACGTGGTCGCCGTGGTATGAGACCCCTGTTAGTACTGCTAATTCCTCCCGGAATCGAGTGCTAATCCATCACAGTTTTAATCCCAGCAGAATGTCGCTATATCTGTGTTCGCACCTGGTTCAAGAGACAGTTTAGAGCAAAGTTTCTCTTTCAAGGAAAGAACTCCCAAAAACACATGTAAAACGACACTAGGCCTCAATGCTTTTGTCCCTGTAACAATGCGTACATTTCTAAAAAAAAATTCCAAAGATGTGCAACGGAAAAATATTTTGTTGAACTGAAATATGTACGACGGCCTCAAATTATAGAAGGAAGTCAAGCGGCGTTTGAAAAACACAACACAGCAGGTCAGTGTGTGGAAAAATGTTTCAGATACATGAATATCATTGATTAGGCGAAGTAAACTAGTAGTGGGTTTCGCTGATTATCTATGCAATTTTAATATTCAGTAAATTAAACTGCAGAGTGGCGAAATTGTTACTGAGCCATCCCCTTTCAGGTTTTGAAACCGCGTAACAAAGAGTATCAGACAATAAAAAAACAATTGTAAAAGCAAAACTACAACAATAAACTAGTGAGGTCAGCCTGATCTTTAGTGGAGCTGGATCATAGTAAAATCTTCAATACCAAATTTTAAATTAAAACATTGCAGACAGAAATTGTTGGGCTAGGAACAAAGATAAATGTCACTAATTAATTTCATCGCGTCTAGTGTATATATGTGTGCTGAAAATTGTGCAAATTTCTACTTTTGTAATGGGCTCATCTATCGTAGGCTAAAAAGATCACAATTGGGGGGCATGACGCCACGTCAACTATGAATTCACTCATATTCTCAGCAATTCTCAGCAACCAAGAATCCCAATGGATATCTTTACGAGAAAGTGGATATAGATGTTGGCCAACTTTGCAGGTGGCGATTGGAATGTGTTCAAACTGTTATTTGTGAACAGGTGGTTAATTGTGATTTGACGTTTACTTTTTGGCGATGGTACATCTCTGAATTCTGATAGGAAACAACATCAAAAAATTATAATTGCTACTCACAGAGGTGATACAAGATTTTCGAACTAGAGGAGATTCTATCATTTACGGATTGCTTCAATAGTTTCAGAAAGCGGTCGCCAATCAAGATGAAAGAAAGAGACGTTATTCTAGAAGGTAGAGAAAACGAATACAGGTCCTTGGAGGATGAAGAGCATATAAAGAGGAGAGCGCAACGAGGGGAGTTGTCCGTCGATTTCCTCTTCTGTTGTTTCTTTTGGTGTTCTTGTATATGGTGGGTGTAACTTCGAAACTGACGCTGAAAAGAATATTTCAAGATACCTTCTATATTCCACAAGGTGGCTTTTATCTATTTTATTATATAATTTGGACACAAGTTTTGTACGTTAGGTTTCATATTGAAAAGAAAATGGAAAAGAAAATTGCACCGCAGACCTCGATCTTATTTCTAAGGCGCCTGCGTTGTTACCTTTGTTCAGTTGAACTTGCTACTTTCTTTTAGTGCTAACCAATAGGATCGCAGCCATAGGGAACATGATGTGGACCTCTTTGTGTCTTTACAATTGAAAATAATCTATTATGTGATCTACGCTTCAAGATGAGCAATTTAAAATTCACAAACGGCAGGTGGTGTTATCCTACCAATCCAAACATGAATAATCACGATGATTTCCTATTTATGTATATCCCATAGTGGTTCTCAAAACTATGCAACTTTTCTCCGAAGGAGCCTTCAAGGACATTTCAAGAATTTATGGAATTCAAGGACCGATCGTTGAAGGAATTTTCTAATCTGCTTTCCCACGCATGTAAAATTTTGTGACGCCAGACATCATCTCTAAGTTTTTTAGAGATACTCACGGTATAATTTTATTGACGACGTTTATAAACAATTTAAAGGTTACGTATGCTATCCCGGCTTCGTTCTAAGACTTGCTGTCGTCCTTTTAAAGGTGATGTTATTACAGTTGTCTCAAAGACTATTCTATTTCGTCATTTCAAATTTTTAAATGACGAAAAAGTATTCATTTGTGTACGTTATTAATGTTCCGTTGCAATCTAAAATTCTCAAATCCTAGCGAAGGTGAGGAATTTCTAAAACTTTAAAATGCGTACTCGATGTCTAGTCCCTAAAATGATGCTCTATGGCTAGGAGATAGGCCAATTCAAAAGGTAACCTCGTTTCTTTTTTAAGAGGGCAGAATGTGCATCTGACAGTTCCAATATCGCCTGCGAACTCTGAATTCAATTGTACCAACAAAGTTAACAAATAAAACTGAAATAAATGAGTTCCGAAGGGGTCCAGCTTGTATATTCCAGAGTACATGAGAATACTATGGTATATTCATTGGGCTGCCTATGGCGCCCAATTATGGAATGAGCTTTATCCGTCGAAAAAAGACAAAATGGCGGACGGCTCAGCCAGAAGGCGTTGGGTGTCCCACTCCCATTTCAAAGGAGCCGATTTTTGCGGGCTATTTCAGGTCGTCTAGCGAACAGATTTGGAAGTCGATTTTGAAAGAACCCAAAATTATTGCGTGGAGTTATTGGCCCTATATCCACGCCGAATGGGGGTGGGGGCAGAGGGATTGGGGAAGGGGTGGGTTGTGGAAATGTCCCAGTTAAAAATAATGCCAATCATATCTTGTTCTAAAAGGCTAAGTATATGTATCTCTATACCATTCCACCGGTTTGGAGTATTTATACACTCAATCCGGAGGAAAAAGTGCAATTGTAATCTATACTTCCCAAAATATTAAACCTTTGCATCGCGCAGTCGGCAGCCTGACGAGCCCCCATTATGGGGATCTTAATGTTTGAAGAAACAACAGAAGTACGTTTCTTGGTGAAGAGGATGGTGAGAATGACAATTGTCGTAATACAAAATAGTATGATAGTGTGTACTAGTATTCTAACCTGAGAAAACAGCCCACATTTCGTGACGCCACCACTGGTTTCTCCGCGAAATGACGTCGGAGAAACGAGCGCAGAAATTTCATACTGATGACGTGTCACTACCCAGTTCTGGGCAATGCTTCTGATTGGTCGTGTTGCGAGGGAAATTTACTTCAACCAATCAGAAGCATTACCCAGATCTGGGTAGTGACTGGTCATCAGTATGGAATTCCTGCGCTAGTTTCTCAGACGTCATTTCGCGAGGAAACCAGAAGTGGCGTCACGAAATGTCGGCAGTTTTCTCAGACTACGTGTATCCCTGATCACTCTTGTAATTTAGCTCGTGCCACTCACCCTATAGTCCAGGCATTTTATCACGAAAAGTCGGTCAACCTGCCACTAATTGCAAAAGAAGGTTTTTTAACGGTTTTTGGTTCAGGAACATGTCCTCTATAACATAGCAAAAGTCCCCGAAAATCCGAGTAGGGGAAGTTGACGAAAATTGAGTTTTTTAAGAGCCCTATATAGACTAGTACTGCGCAGCATGGAAACGAGGTTGTATGTACTGCCTGTTGTGTTGCTCGAGTTTGAAGCCTCGTACAGCATGGGCTAGTAAAGACTGAGAGAAGTTATTGTGTTTTCTTCCTAAGTAAGTGCATTTATGTAACGATTAAATAAAACAACTGTTCTGTGTAAGATTCTTAAATCAGAAAAAAGCACGTAAAACCTGTAGAAAATATCCACGATTGTTAGCTATCTAGGTCAAGTATTTAGCGAGGAATTCTGTCTTCCGCAAGCGAATTTAGAACTTTAAAATGATAATTTTAAACTGGTCTGAAAGTAAAAGTAATATCGTGTTCTAAGGTAATATAATTCAAGAAAAAAAATATTTGACTTGGGTGTCTTGAGCAGAGACTTCCAAAATGAACTGATCATTCACCTCGGTGAAAAAACCTGTGACTTCACTCATCGCTTCTCGCTTACTTTTTTCGGAAGTCACAAAACTTAGTTTATTAGTAAATTCATCTAATTTTTTTCTTCAAAATTTTAAGAAAAAAGTCTAGGAATCGTATCAACTTTTATGAAACTGGCGACCATTTTCGCTAAAGCCGAAGGAAATGTTTTCACTGACTTAAAACGAAGTAATAAATAAAGCGTGCGCCCTGCAATGCCAAAGTTCCGGTTCAAGTTGAAAATTACAAAGTCAACGGGAATTCCAATACGCACATTCGCGTTTCGATTTTAAAAAGAAAATTACAGGATTGAAGGTATCCTAACGATACCGAAAAGAAAGTTTCTCTTATGACTCAACCAGTCTTAAATTACACGGGTAATACAATACAAACTTTAATTGACACTCCCTAAAGAGAGGGCTTTTCAGTGACAATGATAATCACTGACGTTGAGAGCACGGTAAATCTAAAAATTACAAAATTACAATAATAAAATGTTAAGGGAAAAAAATTAAGAAAGCTAAAAAGTAAATAAATATTCAGTAGAATTACAACTGCAACAAAAACTTTAGAAAATACAATAAAATAGATATGATACAAACCAAGACCGATAAGATAGGAAAGCAGCAAATAATTCGGCTTTAAGTTTACGCTCTAAATTACGAGCAGAGTTACAGAGTTTGAGGAAATTATCTAAATTGTTCCACAGACTTACTATACGGTAAAAGAATATCCTTTGTCCAGATTTACGGTTTTAAATAAGGGTATATGCAGAAGTTGGGAGCTTCTGGAAACGTCTATGAGGGGTAAGTAGAAGCGGAGCCAGTCATACTTAAAAGCAAGCACGGCGTCACGGAGGTATAGCTGAGATTTAATAGGTAGCCAATGTAGTTCTTTCAGAAGCGGAGTAACGCGGTCAAATTTTCTGGAAGCACAGATAATCTGCGGCTGCAAAGTTCTGTAGTGCTTGGAGCTTGAGAAGGTTAGTGTCCGCTGCATTGGACCAGGCGAAAGAGCAATAAAACAACTTACTAAACACTAACGTGTTCACCCCGGGTGAATTATTGTGGTTAAAGTCAATCTGTCAAACACGTGCTGAACACGATTAATTTGAGCTAAACTTGAGAAGCAGGAAGAAACTGTTTTAACAATATGCTCGTGAAGTAAGGCTCGAGATCAAGTATTTTCTGTTGCAACGGACTTGCCGCCTGCCCCAGAATCGCTTCTTTAGTTAATCAGGTGCAACTGTTAGTCTGACTGTAGGCTACCAGTATGAGGTGCATTTGTCGCAAAAATGCTGAATGGTATACAGTGTTCCCCGGCCTGCAAAGGGTCTTCGCGCACACATTTTTCGAACACTGTAGGCTACGAAAGTTAAGATTCGGAAGACTAGCGTATTTAAAAATTAATTTTGTAAAAGGCACATGTAGAATTGAGTTAAAGAGGGGTTTTCTGGTGATTATATAGGACTTTTTTGTCGCGAGTCTTATCTATTATCCATGGTTTGGACGAAATGGCTCGATTTATACATGATTTATATCAATAACAAAAGCAAAACACTAACTTCCGGTTTACAGCCTCGTTTTCATGCTATGGGAAAAAGGGACTCATGTTAAGAGTCCTGTTTGGAGGTGTTGCCATGCTTGGATCTTTAGGGACTTTTGGTATGTTCATGTATGGGATATTTCTAACTGGTAAATGATGAGAAAGCTTCTTTTGCAATTAGTTACAGGTCCGACGACAAAATGCCTGGACTACTAGTACACAATAGAAAGTATAAGACACCACGACGGTGACGAACACTAAAACGTCGTTTAAAAAGTGAATTTGCGTTCTTTCCATCTCTTCCGCGATTACTTCAACTCATTTACAAATGCAAGCGAACTCTTTTGAGCCGAATTGCTAAGAACCATATTCAAGTTCAGAAAGAGTAAGAAAATTTAGCCGTCGCTTGTTTACGTTCTCCATAAAGGGTGAAATTAGGTATTTTCATGTCGTAGTCCGGCAGTAACGGCAAAGAAATGCACAAAAAAGCGTGATACACGTGCAGAGTTGTTGTTTTGCTTATTCAACCTATTCCCTTTTTGACGTTCCCGTTGTCGTCGCCGTCGCGGCATCTTAAAGTCCTTAATACCTACCACCAGCATCACAAATAGTGCCCTACTCCCACTTCCACCTCTCCCACCACCATTACTAACAGTAGTTTCCGAGGTACCAAGAAACAACCAACAAAAGGGGAAGATGAAAAAAATGAGGGGTATATCTTTGCCTATCTTTAGAAAAAAAAGACTGTGAGGCAATCTACTTAGTTAAACAGCTGTTCAGATTTAATATATTTTACAAAGTTTAAATATTTGTACAAGAGTTACAGTCTAGAGCGACTCAAGGCATTTTTATAGAGCATTTTTAAGAATACAATCAATGACTCAATTGCCACTATGGCAATGACGACGTTAAGTCTCCGAAAGCTCCAAATTAGTTTACCCTTGTCACTGGACTAAGCCAAATTATCTTTTCGTCTCTTACAATAATTCAACATCCGGTGACCCGGTCTAACTCAAACCAAAGTGGACTTTTTACTCCCTGTATTGAAATGCAGCTACTTTGTCGACGCACGTGTTTGCATACAGTCAACTATTACTTAGCAAACACCTAAAGCTGGTTCCTGCCATGACAAGTAGTGCATCATTCGTCAAATCAGTAAAACACAACTTGGATAACATTTAACTTCTGACCAAGAATAAGAAGGCTCTGGGAGCAAAGCTGAAGAGGTGCAATGTATGTATTTTCAAAAGTCAGACTGGCGCATGACATAGTGGGCAGTGGTTCAGAGCACTGATTTCTTGCTCGTAGGCTCGGTGTTTACATGTGCTACACATCCAGAACTGATAGTCCATCAGCGGACGACCACTCACAATGCATGTTGGGAATTTGATATCACAATTTGGACAAACTTGGCTCCTGTGAAAGACGAAAACGAAAAAATCAAACCAGGAAACAAATTTCCGACCAACAATTTTACCAAACAATTGACAAGATACAAAGAGATAAGAGGTTTATATAAAAAAAAAAAAAACAGCAAGGAAATTACGTTTTCAAGCTTGGCTCCGGAACTTGGTGCCTTGTAAGCTTAGATAAAGGAGTACAGGACGAGTTTAAAAAAAGTTTTTCCCATTAGAGTTCAAGTTAGCGTAGTTCAGGTTCAGGTTAGATATGCAAGTAGCGGTCCCGAGTACAGTGAGGGCATTGCGAAATTCTTTTTAAGGGAAAAAAAGGAGTGGCCAAACACAGGCCAACCATAGCCCACATGTAGACCGAAATAGCTGGTGTTATTTTTAAGTGTATGCAACACCCACGCGTACGCTGTATATCATTGAGTTCTCTTTTATTTACCACAAAAACAAAGGAAAAAATACAGGACTACCAGAAGCAAATGAATGTGGCGAGGAAGCCCAGAAGGAACCAATAGGGCTTATAAATATTTTGGCTCCCTCAGATTATGAAGGTATATGTTTACAAGGCAAAGAATGGAGCGTATACTGAGTGTAGTCAGGTTTAACCAATGGCAAGTAATACAGCAACTCAACTGTCATAAACTAATACATGTACGTACCAATCAGGGATCATAGTTTCGCAGCTAGTACACTCTGCCTTGTTACCACGGGAATCCTTTGGTGAGTGTCTACAAACAACAAGATACAATCAATTCTCTGTAACACGGCCACTTCTGGGACCAGTTGTGCGTGTCTGTCTTAGAGAAATGTTCACCTTATGGTGGAGCTCCACGCGCGCGCGAAAAGCGGAGCCCAAAGGCTGAGAAAATTTGGTTATCTATCCATCCGAGAAATTTTGGAAGTCACGTGACCGTCCGTCTGTCCGTCCAGGGGTAAGTAACCAAAGTGGAAGCTTACACTTTCTAGCTGATATTGCACATCCAGGTTGGGGTCAATTGACGGCTGTCAAAAAACAGGATATCCGCTGACCAGTATCACATGCTCATATCACGGGCTTAGGCGTCGACCCATCGAGGTTAAGAGCTTTTTTGGAGATATTCGCTGTTAAGATAATATTTATCAACTGATCGCAGGCTCAACGCAGGCTCAACGCAATGCAATGGTTACAAGTTTGTTGTCTGAAGTAAATTATACATTTCAACGGCAGCTTCGCCTTTAGCCTTGGCTAAATCTTTATATTAGAGAGGTAATGAACCGGGCTAAAGAAAGGTACGAGCCAATCTTTTGGGAGGGAAAGAAGGAAAGTTACCCGTAAATACAATTTCTATATGACTATGTCCCGCATAAAAGGGTTGTCAACTTGAAGGAGTTTATTACGATATAGGGAAAGATTTGCTGCGCAGTGGTTAAAAGCATCTAATTTAGGAGAGCAGCTGAATCTCGCTTAAATATCTGGCTTTATACAGTCAACTCTTTGTAAGAATACAGATGTGTTGTCCTAGGGCAAATTAAAGAAAGGCTACCTAGGTGTCCGTTTTGCTCCGTCTTATAAGTGTCCGTTAAGAGAGAGTCGACTGTAGAAAACAGATGTGTTGTCCTAGCACGACAAGGCTATCTACCTGCGAAATATACCTCGCAGCCCCACCCGTGAACCCAACGTACTGACAACTGCCCATTCGAGCTTTAAGGGGCTTAAACGCGACATACTTTGTGAATATTTCCAAAGCAAGTTCTTCATAAGCATTCTTCTGTTCCTGTGTGAGACTCTCAATCGACTCCAACTTGATAAAAGCCTGAAAAAAAACAAAATGCCTCCATAACAGGTACAGTTTATGATATTCCTGGAAAATCTATATCTATTTGCAGAGTTTGGGACAACACCCGATTACGCTTTAGAAAAGTAGGAACAAGCTAATGGCTATTCACAATTTGAAATGAATCGAATATTTTCGATCTAAAGACCATCAACAGACAGAACTAACAAGGGTCTTTATTTTGAAGGAGTCTATATTACGGTATTAGTTAGCTTATGCAGTGGGACGATAGATAGAAGAGAACGGCAAAACGTTTGCGTGTGATAAACGTTTCAGTTTACTTACTGTGTTCTGAACTGTTACAATAAGATCTGTTTTAAGAAAGGTGAAGTTTGACGGAATTTTCAAACATAATTTTTGACACGCTTGTCTCGGGAGTTTTGCCGTCTTCTTTTCTTCGCCGTCCTTTCGATTACGGATTCGAGGACTGTATAGTTACGTCAGGACTAAGTGAATTATCCGTAGTAGAGAAGTTTCGGTAAAATCGATGAGTTTTGTAGGTTTATCTGTATCAGTTACAATCCATACATTACCTTTGAGCAGGTTCCAAACGCTCTGTTAGCACAGCTGACCAGCGCCAAAAGAGAGTGAATACAAACTGGATCCAACACGTCTTCGTAATCACACAAGCGCAAGGCCTAGGAACAAATCATTTGGTTTCCAGTTTCAGCATGCAAACTATTGCGACACAAGACAGTGAACGACGTGACAATGCAGTTGAATTTGCTGCTTTAGAAACGGCAAAGAAACTGGACCGAGTTAACTTCGCAAAGACTTCTGGGACTGTTACAAGGGACAGGCGAAAAAAACTTGGCCAATAGCTGACCGGCACGTCTCCAGTAACGATCCCACAAGCAATTGCGGCACCACATTTCCGCTCCAGTTATCTTCTCGTTTCTAAAGCTGAGTTTAAAAAATAGACTGATTTAGCAACAGGACGGGAACGTCAGTCGACAACGGCGCGCCAAATCAAAAAACTGGCTTGACCAATGGCAGAGCGGCAAATTAGGCACCGGAAGTCGTGTTTAGTCCTTTCCGCGCGCTTTCCCGTCACAACCTGACGTTGCCGTCCTGTTGCTAAATCAGCCTAATGTTACAGCAAGTCTGCGCCTTTATTACTTACGGTCTTCATTGCAGCGTCAATAGCTCCCTCGTACATTTGTCTTTGTGCTAAAAGAAAGAAGTGGTATGCCTGCAAAAGGGAGAACGGGGTGAAATAAGTTAACTCCAAAGAGTATCCAAAACCAACACAGTGACTATGTTACCTCTGCCTCCTGCGTCTCTGACGCATAAAATTCCCCCAAAGACGCAAAACAATTTGTGGTATACGTCACGTAGGACGCAAAGATCGATTGATCGATCTGAAGATGTTTTTGCAAAATGTCCTATTTGTGTGATTTCTATGGCTGTTCTTGTGGCTGTTGTTTAACGACTCGTATTTCTTTTAGTCTCTGTTGTGCTTGAAAATAGAAGGAATATATTTTTATTTCAGTAAACTGTAATACAGAGTTTTGGAGTCTGTCTTTAGATTAACTGCGTGGTTAAATAAAGACCCAGGGACTCATTGCTTTTTGAACTCAGAGACTCAATGGTTCTGGACTGGGACTCATGATTTTTCTCAAGATGAGTCTCAGGACTCACTCACTATAACTATTTGTAACAAAATCACTGCCAACACCAAGAAAACTGCAGCTAAAGTCGATTTGTAAAAAACTGAAAAGAAATTAGGTCTAGCTTGCGAAAGTACAAACTAATACGTAGTACCATGTGACTGAAGGTATGCTGAAGAGATATTATTTGGATGGTTACCTCCGCTCCACGCCATGCGTTATCGATAATTTTACTCTCATCTGTGGCAATGGCGTCTTCTTCAAGCAAGCCAGCTAATGCTGATGTTGCCTGCCAAACAAAAGAAATTAAGAACTATAACTTTAAGATTCGGTGTGAAATTAAGGGTCACTGCTGGAAATAAATGATAATAATGTTAATAAGGACTCCAACAGAACTTGTGTTCAGATTGAGACTGCAATATAGTTAAGTGAAATAACATCATTATTATTTATGCAAAATATTTCACCCTTTCTGATTGGCTTAAATCCCCCGGCAAATTCTTTAAAAAGAAGCTACAACCAGCTGCAAAATTGTTGAGACACTCTCTCGAATACGATCTTTCTTGCTTCAAATCGCTGCTGGTCACAGGTCTGTGAGATATAATACTGACCTCCCTCCTCCCTGCCATTCAAAGTTGAACCTCCAAGTTTTGAGTATGGTCTTGTATTGCTAACAACTTTGATAAGGGGTGAAGGGGGAATCACAGGGACAAGATCATGGACAGGCCATTTATGCCAAAATACGGTACAGTGTCTAGAGTACTTTGGCAACTCGTTGTAGCGTTGACAACATTTGGGAAGATATTTACCGACATCAATACGATGGAAGTCAATTGTATTGATATCGACAGAAAAAAAAGAGGCAACAAGAAGGCCATGTTTTTACCGAAGCGGAAACCAGATATTAAAGTGGATGTGATCTTCGCTGTTAAACAAACAATCTAAGCGGTTGAAAGGAACCCTGAAAAAATTCAGGCTTGACCAAGAATCGAACCCTGACCTTGAACTGGCTCAGATAACAACAACAACAACATAAGCTTTATTTGCATGACTATAATTATGTAGTTACAGTATTGCAAAAGCTTTAATATAAAAAAAAAAAAACAAACAAACAAACTAACAAACAAACAAATCATAACAATGATAATGCAATGATGACTGTAGTCAATCAAGTGTCATCAGCATGACTTGATAACAAATTATTACGTAAATCATTACATAATGAGACAAATTTCAACAAATGTGAATTTACGGAAAAATTCTGTGAATTCATCAATTTAATTATTAATTCTGTGTAAGATAGCTGATCAAAATCGACAAAATTTTGTTGGATTTGATCGTAGAATTTCTCCCTTGGGATTGAGTATTTTGGACAATGGAAGAGAAAATGAAATTCGTCTTCAATTATACCAGAGTTACAAATAGGACAGAGTCTATCGTTGCGGGAAGTTTGATTATATCTTCCAGTTTCAATCATGAGTTTGTGGTTACTTATACGAATTTTCACTAAATCTTTCCTATTCGCAGAATTTCTAATTAAGTCTAGATAACTTGAAATTTTATAATCATGTTTAAATAAGCTGTAAAATTGTAGTTTCTTAGAATGATGGATTGTATGTTGCCAATATGCAATATATTTTTGTTTTATTATATCTATATTAATATAGTGTTTGATCTTAGCTTCACTTAAATTATTAGGATCAAAATCAGGGAGGTCATAATATTCAGATATTTTCATAAGATTATTGTAAAAGCTATTTTTACCATTACAGTGAAGTTCTAGCGAAGTACGAAAGGCTTGTTTAACAATAGTATCCTCGTTTTTACGCAGAAGATACAATATGTAATAAAGGATGTTTTTATAAATATTAATAATTAATGGGAACCGTCCCAATTCACTTCTACTTGCAACATTTGAAGCTTTATTGCTTATTTCTAGGTAACGCTTGCAAAATTTCAAGTGGGTTTTTTCAATTGGGGTATTGTCCCAAGCTTTAAAATCATGTTTTACATATACACCCCAAATTTCGCTATTATATGATAATATCGGGGAAATCATCGTTTCAAATATTTTGCAAGCAAGAGAAGGTTTTAATTTGCTAAAGTTTGTGTGTTTTCTTAAACTAAAAAGAGCATGAAGAGCCTTCTCCTTCAAGTGTTCGAGGGAGATATTAAAATTACCGGTTGAGGAGATACGGGTTCCTAAATATGTATATTCATGGACAGTATCAATGGTTTCTTTACCTATATGGAATTCAAGATTGGAGTTTTTCTTCGCTCGTTTTTGAAAGACGAGCGAATGGGATGGGCGCCTCACTGACTGAACTATACCGGGTATATTATAACTGACTCAGCTGAGCACTTTACAAGATTGAAGCTACTACTTATCTCATTCTACCTGCCACTACACTCACAATACCTGGCCGTAAATATCTGAAGGTCAGAGACACAAATGAACAATCAGAGCACATAATCTTAGCTACGCTAAACTGGATTTGTCGACAGGACAAAGATTGTTCCTCACAGCAGACGGTTGTAACGCTGTTGATCAATGTTTTCTTTGGTTCAAATTCTAATTTTCTTATTTTTGGAAATGGTCATGTATAATATCTTTGAAATTGAAATAAAAAATTTACAAATTGAACAACACATAAATAAAGAATGATAGCTGCGACTATGCTATTGAAACAGTCTTCCTCTAATTTTTCTTTTTTCCACACCCGGAAAACATATCCCGCGTTTAACTTTGTTAGGGTTTTATACAGTTCATGGATTTACTTTTTCGATAGCCGAGCTTTCAGCCTCATTCTAAAAGCGAGGCTTAAAGCAAAGCTTTGAAAAACATAAGGAGCGCAATTTGTACATCTTGTAAAATAAATTAAAAAGGTAAAATATGGAAGAGAGTGGACCAACAAAGCAAACTTGTATCAACTAATCGCTAGTACTACATAGAAGACTACGTCTGTAACGTAACGCAACCAGACGTAACGTAACGTAATGAAACGAAATGTAATGTAATTTAGTGTAACGTAATATCACGGACGAGAGGACAACAGCACGTGTCCTCTGTAAATTGTATATATGACCAATAAGTTGGGAATTCAGCTTACGACGGAGCCAGTGGCTGCTGCTGTCTGTCCTTTTATATCGGGTGAATTTATCAGATGTATGATAAACGACATTATAACGAACGTAGAGGTCTATCTAAACTCCAAAAATCTTCCCTTCCCACGCACCTCTCTCTTGCTTTTCTTGTCTTTTCCAGATGCCGTTTTCATACTCGTCATCTTTACGTGCTCGTGGTAGTTTTCGACCTGTCAGTCAACACAAAAACCTTTGTTATTGGTTCAAAACTTAATACAATATAATGGATTTGTTAGTCGTTATTTATTCATTATTCTGTAAAAGGGGTCGTTACTTTCGGTATAAGTGTCCTTCATGGGATCGCTAGGGTGGATAACAGTACTGAGGTCGTCGCAATCGGGGCTTTTATTCCATAATTTATTATTGTTTTTTGGGGGGGAGGGGGTGAGAGGCGCAAAAATTGTCACTTTCATCTTTATAGTCATAATATAATTAAGAAATAATACCTACCAGTAGAGCAGCAAGAACGTACAATTTCTTCGCTCGAAGGGGGTTTGTCTTGGCGTCCGAAACTTCAGCGGCGACCTGGATTTAACAAGTATGTCAATGAAAATAATAATAATAATAAACAAGAAAAAAAATTCTGCAACCAAAAATTGGATAACAAATGTTCAATGTGTGCAGTCGTCGTATAGGGGTGCAAACAAAGAATGGTTGTTAAAAAAACAAACAAATAATAAATTCTATTCAATACTTACTTTGAAGAGAAGTTTTGCGGCATCAATAAAATGGTTTGCTTTCCGGTACCTGAACATTGTCAAGGGGTTTACCATTATGTGGATATTTGTTACAATAATTGAGCGATTTCTCGCGCGCTGATTGGTCGAGAGCTATGGTCAATAAGAGTGCAGACCATAGAAATGACGTGATGGTTGCGCAATTTATTTTCTCTTTTTAATGGTCTATACTCTTATCGACCACAGAAATGCCGCCAAAAATGTTCAACACTTTGCAGTGAAACCACTAGCCAGTGGCTGGTGGTTCCACTTGAGTTTTGAACATTTTGATGTCTTTTCTATAGTCGAATGGAACATTGTTGTCTATTTGTTAATAAATGTGAACAATTTAATAAATAAAAATTCGCAAAGCACTATTTTCCGCAGCGGAACCTTAATAGGCCACTTGAGTTCCAAAACCCCTCACTTTCAAAATGAGGCCAAGTGCACAACCTTGCTTGCGAAAATGAGTTTTATTTGCATGAGAATGAAAAATGCAAATAACTCATTTTCGCCTTAAAGGTTGTGCACCTAGCCTCATTTTGAAAGTGAGGGTTTTTGAAACTCGGAAGTGGCCTATTGCAAGGTTGCGCAGAAGACGGGGGCAAAATTTGTCCTCCAAAACAATCCCATCATGCAGTTCAACACAACAGCGATCCATGCAGTATCCCGCGCATCCTCAAAATGGCCAACACACAAAAAAATCTATAAACGGATACAATTCTATTGCATCAAGTGTTTTGTTCTTCTCCAGAAGGTACGAGGCATATTTAGCCAGTAGTGTGTCAATCTCTTTGATGTTATGCTGCTTTGCCAGTTCAATAGCTTGGTCCCATTGGTTTAGTTGAACACAGCAGTCGATAGCTTCTTTCACTTTTCCTGTCTGCAAAAACAGAAATACAAAAGCGAACTAGTGTTTAGATGAGTTCGGCAAAAGAAATTTGCACAGGCCTGGATAGAACAAGTGGGTTAAGTAAGTAGTAGAAGTCACAAAATTATAGCAAGTTGCCTCTTGTTGCCTGGTTTAAAATACAATACAATACGACGGAACAAATTCAAGCGGATACTAGTCTCTCTTCGTACCATACACACGCAAACAATGCTTATCTCTATAATGCGCAAGGTAGTCAAAATAGGACTTACCTTGGTAAACGCGGTCACGGCCTGTTCACACATGCCAACCGCGGAAAACATTCCGGCAATCTCCTGTAGAAAGGCAATGTTCATCACAATTAGTATTTGTAGGCTTTTGCTGATGTTGTTGTTTGTCCGTTGAGAGGGATTACACTCACAATGAAAGGGAAACGTGGACAATCTGATTGTAATTTCAGGTACATTTTAAATTCAGAGAGACACCATAACATGAAAAAGACTATTTTTCCCGTGCACTAACCGATAACAGGGCGTGGTTTTCTGGCAAAGAATGGACCATTTTCTCCAAGCCACTGTAGTCTTCAAGCATATAGTAACACTCTGCCAGACGAGCCTGATTTCTTCCTTGTACGTAATAGGTGACCGCGTTTTGCCATTTCTGCCGGTCAGCGTAATAATCCCCGATAGCGTTCCAGGCCTGCTCCAACAGTTGGTCATCACCTAAAAAAGTTTATACCTGGGTAAGAAGGCAGTTTTTGCTCGTCTGCACACAAAAACGCCTTAAAAACCTCATGTGGTCTGCAGCTGTGCAAATTCATTGCAACAAAAGAAAGCATTCACATAAGAAAAGAGTTCAACTCCCACAGGAACACCAACATGACGGACGTGAGGTCATGTGAAAAGGCTCTATTTTTGTACGAACTGGTTTCATATCCACAAAAGTGTCAGTGTGTCACGCGAGGAACAAAAACTCATCTACCAATTATTATATTGATATCCTAGGCGGCGAAGCGTTGTCTCCTACAACACACAGCTGGTTTTTGCATCTTTAAGCAACGGTCCTTTCCACAAGGAGGAGTTGCGTGACTACACAAAGTACGGCTGTGTTAAAGACTTAGGCGAAGGCTTGATGGGAAAGAGGGCATTATTCATAGGAATAAAGCTTAAAGCTGAGAAATAAAAACGACAATCATTTCCGAGGTTTCCTAATTGTCTTACAGTGTATGTTGATATTAGGGCAAACGGCTAAATACGAATTGTTCGATCTTAAAGGAAGGGATAAGGGTAAAGAGCTACTCACCCCCTCCTCCCCCAGTCTTCAGAAGTTGAACAACTCTGAACCAGTCCCCTAGCTTCAGCCTGAGGTCAACAGCAAGGTCTCTGAAAAATTCACAACCATCAGCAAATTTCATTTAACTTCGTGATATTTCACATTTTAATATAAATTATGTTCAGCATTCAAACAAAACATAAAAAACAACAACAACAATAAAATGATAATACCTTCTGTCCATCTCCAAGTAAAGTCTTTCAGCCTCTTCGAATCGCTTGAAATAAGCAGCAACCTCAGCTTTCTTCTTGGTTTCGTTCTGTAAAAGAATGATGGTTTTTCTTTCTCATTTCTTTTTAAGCTAGCCGCAAGCGCTCCATAACTCTCCACCTTAGACATAGACGTACTTTGCCTCTCTCATCCGAGAGCTAAACCAACCAACCAAACAAACACAAAACAAAACAAAACTTAGCAACAAACTTACATCTAGTTTCGCGAGTTTCTTGACAAACTTGATTCCTTGGTAATCCTGGCAACGAACAAACGCTTTCTCTGCCACTTCTAGTTCCAGTCTTTCAAGAGAAGACTCGGCCAATAAACGCCTTCGGTAAAAATAGAAAGCATTGCATGCATGGTTGTAAAGGTTTGCTGATCGAGTTAAAATATAGGCGCCTCACTAAAGATTAATCCGTTTTAAAAAATGGGATCCTCGGGTACTTAAACAACACCATGCGGAGATTACTTGGTTCTACGTTTTTTCAGTTGTCGAATTTATTTCGAACCACTTAGTATGAGCGAAAGGTTCATGCAATCTTCGGAAGGTAGGTAAATTTGGCTAATCGTCGGAAATCTTAAAAAAACTCTACTCAACCACTGAAGCTTTGTAATATTGCCTTCTTTCCCGTTTACTCATACACTGCCTTCTTTAAAGGCTTAAAAAAAAATAAACAATAATAAAAAAAACTAGAAAATCTTTGGAGATATTCGGTACTTATCGAACTTTATCGGAAAACATCGGAAAATAAAACGAAAGATATTTGTAGGATTCCGCCGGAAGAAATTCCCTAAACTTCATTGCTGGTGTCCTATATATACCCCACAAACTTAATTTTCGGCTTCTTGTGATGTGAAATTGGGTACAAGGGAGTGCAAAAAGTGCAACACCTTGATAACCATACCATAATCTTGGATGTGGATTATCCTCAATGAACTGATAGGCATCAGGAATACCGACTTTTTCTAACAAATCACCAGCGTCACGCAAGGACTGTTAAAAAATGAGACAAACAACAATTACAAGTATGAAAGAAATGATTGCTACAACCGTATATAGCTACATTACTCCTACCAATGGTAATACTCATTGGCTTATTTGGCTATTTCAAAGTCATGGTGACGTCTAGCAATGAAACGGTTTCTCGCGAAGAGTCTATGAGCGGGCAACAATGCAAAACCTATCAACTTGCCACTGTTAGTTGGGAATACTGAACGCTATTATTTTTTATTATTGAATATATCGATAAGCAATTTAAATGACGCTGATGCCTTTACCTCTACTAAAGCCTCACTTTTTCTACATAAAAATTCATTTAATTGGCGTGTGAAAATCGTTTTTCTCCCCATTTATTAACCAAAGAAAGACTTGACGCTTATTTTACTCACTTAGTTATGTAATGCATACGATCGAAAACAGAGAGATAATTCCTGTTATAATTCCGGTCCAGGGAAAGCAGGAAATTGCATTTTAGAGAGTCCAATTTTACTAATTTTCCCGGGGGCGGGCATGCCCCCGGACGCCTCTAGGAGTTTGTGCCTCCGGCACTCAACGTTCGCGCCAGCTGCGCGAACGGTGCACGTCCGCCGGCTAAACCACTGCATCCGGTACTTCCAAATGCTACCGAAAACCCTGGCTGTATGTAAGATGGTTTCGCAGACTTCCTGGTATAGGTGTAGCGACACAGTTGAGTTTGTTTATCTTACCTTAACTTCCAAGTCGATCAGGTTTTCCTTGTTTGGATGGTCCGGATCCTATCAGAAAAGCAAAGGAAATGTGAAAGTCACAAAGCATTAAGAATAAGAAACAAAAGCGTGTGAAAGGTATAGCAGAGGGATGTTGACTTTGTTTACGGTTTTCATCCGCGTGGGTTCTCTTACATCTGACAAGAGACGCATCAGTAAGGCACGGTTCAGGCGCCGAACTTTTCATGAGCCGAACCGAATATATTGAATTAAGGACATAAAAAGTTTGGCGTCTGAATCAATTAGGAACACCCGTTTTCATTTGGAGCGGCTTAGCCGTTGTTCCCGCCCAGCCCGACCGGGAAATTCGACTTTGAGTCGCCTTAAGAACGACTTTGATTCAGGACGCCAAACTTTTCATGTACCGAACCTAATACATAAATTATTATAACGTCGAAACGAGCAATTTTCTCCTTTTGAATTTAGTTCAGCGGTAATTAACATCGGCGTCTGCATCAATTCAGCCAGTCTAAATAATTTCGGTCGGCCTTAATTCGGATTAGGTTCGGCTTAAGAAAAGTTCGGCGTCTGAACCGGTCCTAAAAGTGCGGCCGTAAAAGTGCTGTGAGACGATGAGGCCTTGCGTTTTACTTCCTTACCCGAGAAGAATACAATGTCTAACCATTTGTAGATATCAGAACAAAGAACGCCCTTTCTCGCCATTTTCTTCAAGACACTAAATAGTGGTCTGGCCCGAAATCGAATCCGAGCATATCACTCCGAAGTCTGGTACCCTGTCAACGGTCAAAAATTTTTACGAAAGTTACCATGAAGCAGTTCCTTTCTGCAGTCAGAGTGTTGTTCATAATTCTATATAAGGTGGTTCTGACGTTAAGTTAAAGAAAGCCCCAAGTATGACCATGCGAGAGAACTTATACTAAGGTTGCGTGCGCCAAAAATGTTGGGAGTTGTTGCGTGCATGTTGGCAGTGGTGTGCAAACGCATGCAACAACTCCCAACAATGTTGGGACCTGCAGTGCATCGTGGGAAGGATACAACCCATAAGTCTTTGTAAACCATGCGTAATGAGCGTGCGTGGCCCCAACAATGTTGGAAGAACCGCGCAAACGGATCCATTATTGTTGCGCTACGCTTCGGCGATCACGGAACAAAAAATGCTGGGATTTGTTGGCTGAAATTTTTGACCGGTTTCAAACTTTGCCCAACAACACGCAACAACATCCAACAACATGCAACAGGGTGTGCAAACGGACGCAACATGTAACATCCAACAATGTTGGGAGTTGTTGGCCAACAATGCTCCGTCCGTTTGCACAGTGCTTAACAGCACTCTTGTAATAAATTATTTCAAACGATTAACGCTCCTCTAATTCAACAGGTCAGCGTTAATCAGCGTTTCCTTATTTCATCCTTTTTTTCTCCGTTCTGACAATAGGAACTCTTATTGTGCAGAGGATTTGACACAAACCTTCATTATCTCATCAAGTAGTACAGCTCTCACTTCTAAGTCATTGAACTGACAAATGTATCCAGAGCTCAAAATTGGCTCCTAAAACAGGACGTAGCATACCAAAATTAAAGGCAAAATAATAAAGGGGGAAATCATTCACAACCTACATTGTAACTGCTTGTTAAAGGGAACATACCTACCGATAAGATAATGAATTCCAGTCTTAGATGCTTTCTCTGCTTCAGTTATTGGATTATTTAAGACCTTTACATTTGACTGACAATACCAGCCTTACGTACGAATGCGAACCGAGTTTTCCTTACAACGGGCCTCTGTATCAAAACGAGGTTAAGTGCGCAGCCTTTGATATGGAAAGGATTTTTCATTCTCACGCAAATAAAACTCATTTTCATAAGAGAGGTTGTGCATTTGGTCTCATTTTGAAAGTGGGGGTTTTTGGAGCTCGGAAGTGGCCTATTTTTTTAGCTAACCATTCGTCACACAACAGTTATCTGATACCTCTCCGTATGTCAGGTCGGCAGCAAGAAAGAGCGAGAATATAGGGTTTTTTACACTGGTTTGAAATTCCATAATCCTCCGCTCACCAGTGATCTTGTACTGGTATTCAAATCTAATGGTCGCTTTAAATGAATTAGTCGACAACCAAAGATAAAGTGAGATATTATAATTACGCCTACGCTTCGACGAATACCTCAGGATCCAGATTGCGGAATATATACATTCGTGTCTTCTCCATCATCGCAAACAACTCAGCATTATCCTTTAAAAGTAAAGAAAAAAGAAATGAGCTGACCGAAAGGGGAAAAACACATACATAAGGAGACGGCATTAAAGCATAAATACAGGAGAAGAGAGTGTCGCTTCAGATTTAGCGGACAGACTCTCGTGATATAACTGTTTGTCGGATAGGGCAGCATTGGTTCTACAAACTTCCCAGCTGTCTCTCAAATGAACTTCAAAAACTGCATCTAAATAGATATTTACTTAGACAAGAAATGTTTTTCAATCGTTTTTGTTTGGATGAGCTGAGTGGAAATGAGGCGTCAAAAAAACGATCACATCATTGACTTCTGAATTTGAAAAAAATATGATGTTCGCAGCTAGTATCCGCCTTAGCTGTCCTTCATGTCCTCATCACGGTGCAAAGGAAACTGGGTAAATTTCGTCCCACTAAACAGTCCCAGAATGCACTTCGCCAAACAACATCGACCCAGTCTCATGCGCAACCTTTAAGCCCCAAGATTGACCAACATCTGTATTCTCCTAACCATATCAACACATCATAAAGAGAAAAGGTTAGGAGATTTAAAAAAAATGAACAAAGGAAAAATGCTTTGCTTTTTTTTAACCAAATTCTCTCAACTAATTCTATAGAGAAATGTATGGAAATTAGTGTGGAGAATTTGTATTTGGATATTGGGGCTTAAAGGGTTGAATGGCTAATTGTGTAAAATAACTTTCCCGCGTTTTTCAGCGGTGGTACATGAGTGATTGAAGTTCTATTAAGGTGATGTAACAGGAGACGATTCGCAACGCCCATTTTCAGCGCAACACAGCGTTGCAATATTGTTGCGATATTGTTTCGAATGGTTACAACATTGTTCCAACATTGCAACGCTGTGTTGCCCTAAAAATCGTCGTTGCGAATCGTCCCGTGTAACATCAACTTTAGGTTCACGGAACGTCTGCGCCTTTGAATAGAGACTGAATTGTGACTCGCTCTAAAGGACTTGTTCAACGAGCCGACTACGCAACTTACGTCTGCCCATTTCATATCCCACACATCTTTTCTTTCAAATTTCAGATGCTCGCCTACAACAGTCTCATTTTTTGTGATGTCTGTCTTCCTCACATCCTGTAAAAAAATGAAATTAATTATGAACTAATCTAACACACAACGAATTTTCGTAAAAGTATGGGTCTCTATTACACTAAAATTTCTGTAAACTGACATAACATACGTAGGAACTGACGTGTATGAATCAACCTCACGGAAAAGAATTAACCTGATAATATCTTAATTAAAGAACAGCAGGAATTAAACCATTTCATAGTTTAATCATATTCTTGTATGTATTTCACTAGCCATATCATTAGCTCTTATACTCATTCATATTGATGTAAAACTTCTATATTCCCTTAGTTTTATTTATTTTGTACTTGGACTTTGTACAAATGTATATCCTGAATCTTATGCTTTTTGTAACTTTAACTTAGATAGTTGGAACTAACTGGCGGTGACTAACTGATGATCTTCTTTCTAACTTACCAAGTCAAAGAATGATAAGACTCCGGAGATGTCAATGATAGCTAAGCGACTAAGAGAAAAAAACAACAACGTTTAAAAAAGGTAGAGGCATTTTTTTTTTGCCCGTTAGAGCTAACACAAAATTTCATAAATACAAAAAAAGACAACGATATCTCTGAAAACCCTTTGAACCACTGTGTGGATTAACTGCTTGAAATGCTACCCCGGCCCGCCCTCTATCCCTCTCCTCTGAAGAGACTTTCTCTAACAAAGAAAGAAAGATCGCTTTTTGGTTTTAACATTAACTACTAAGTCCAAACAAAGACTTAGAGGACCAATAGATACCTGGAGATTCCAGAAAATTTAAAAATACTAAACAGACAGTAGCAATTGGGTCATTCTTTCGCTGGAATTCTTCAAAAAACTCACGCCAAATCTTGAGATATCTTGAAAAAGTCATACGTCAAGGCGAACTCCAGACTAGTTATTCATTAAAAAAGAAGAAAGTAAAGAGGGAAAAAAGTATTTAGTTCACTAAAATTGATTATAACTTGCGATCTTACGACGAAATGCAGTTGAGTGACAGTTGGTGTGGACGGCAGTTGAGGACATTCTTCATTTCCAGGGCGAGTTTGGGTAACGAGTATCGATGAATAGTCCCTGATTCACGACCCTAGAAAATAAAGTACAAAGTTAACATAGCGTAACCTGAAGTCAATTCTATGGTCAGAAACTGAAATGGCAAAAGGGACTCTCAGTTTGTACTGAGAAAAACCAAGAATAATAACATGAAAAAAAACACTAACCAAGATCAGTAATTTTTCCGAAGCACAGATACAACAGACAGGATCATGAGTTGGCTGGAAAATGAACAAAAACACGCATTTTAACACAAATAAAGCTAAGAAGATAGACCAAAACATCGGGAGAGATTTTTGGTGCCAGGTTTGCGTTAGAAACACGCTGTCAGAATATATAAAGCAGCTTAAATTGATGCTATCCTTCAAAGCGACAATGTCGCAGTTAAAATACCACGTTCATTTGGCTGGCAAAAGAATCCCCTGACGGACGAGACCAGCTTCTGAAAATGTGGCCTGCTCCAGGCATTCAGATTGTGGAGACGGCGGAAAGAGATGCGAGCCGGAAAAACAGCAACTGAAGGGGGTGGGGTAGGGAGTGAGAGCGAATTTTCTACCCCTCTCTTCCTCCATATTTTCCCGCTCTCAGACTTCGAGCCGCACTCTACCATCTGAACGATTAGAACAGCCAGATCATTGAATGGAACAAACAGTGATATACTAGACAGTTAACATGAGCACACATACCGCAAGAGCCTTATTAATGTCTTTAATGCCTTCTCCAGCGCCTGATGGTACATCATCGATATGAAACATTCTGCATAGCAGTAAATTAAGAAAGAAAACCCTACTAAACCCATTACGAAATGCGTTTCCTGAATTCTTATACTGTTGGAACAAATTAACGCCAAACCCTTTAATACGAAAAAAGAACAGGAATCATTTGTCAAAAAAAGTAAAATCAATGATTTTAAAGGAAATATGATAATTATTATCATAGGACTGAATTCACTGCAAACTGAGGATTACATCGAATTTTAACTACAGTTTAAAAACAAGCAAGAGTGTTTTATGAATGTTAAAACATAACGCTCAGCCGAGAGTGGTTAGACTTGACAACCCACAAGTTAATTAAAATGCTTTAATTTTTGGAACAACCCTTTGGTTTTCATTATTTTTCCGAGAAAAATGGAGATTACAACTCAGCCGTGTTTTATCAGAATTAAAATCACTCAAAAAATATTTACTTCCTTGAAGTTATAAACAGAAACTCGAGTTAAGGAGTTAAATATTACTTCTACTGGAGATTAATCATATCTTACCGCAGATTTGTATATTCTGGATAGAAAGTCGATCCTCTGTCGCTTAAGGAGTTATGTTTAAAAGAATGAAGAAATGAGTGCAAAGTTACTTGTAAGAAGCGGGTTATAAAGCCTTGGCTTATACAGTTCATCACTTATAACTACATGATGAGGGTATGGGAAAGGCTTATCTCTTGTGGCACTAAAGCCAGTTGTCAGATTTATTCACTGTTCAACGTTTGTCGTTAAAAAGAATAGTCTAATAGGCCTGAACATTACGGGGTTAGCTTCAACGTTTGACGTTAAATTTTAAGCAAACGGAGGATGTTTGACAGTTTAGGACTCACAATGACATACGTTTATGTTAAAAACTGTTCATTCCTGGTAAGAAATTCTTACTTAATTCCAAACACCATTTAATTAACATTACATTAATAACACTCTTCAATTGTGGATTCTAAGCCCTCTAGCATTTGGGGTGTAAAATAACTGAGAGCAAAAGTACAACAACAACATTACGAACGCATTTTGAGGATTATTCACAACAACTTATAACTAAATTAAATTTTAACGTAATTAATTATTAGTATCATTAAAATTTTAAAAGGAAACAAAAAAGTAAACTCACGACTGCATTATGTGTGGGGTTTACTATTCAACAAGTAGGAAAACGATGCCAGCTGAGGGAGAAGAGACTGGAAAGGCTAAACTCAGTCTTAATAGCACCATTCTAGGCCCTTACCCTGTTGTCCTAAGCCTCTGTTTCCAAGCGAGGCTAAGCGCGAAGCCATTGATATGAAAATGATTTCTTATTCTCACGCAAATAAAACTCATTTTCACAAGAAAGGTTTTGTACAAAGGCCTAGGCCAAACGTCAAACTTTTCATGAGAGGAGCCAAACTTAGTGAGTAAAGTTCGTGAAAAGTGAGTTGACGTCTGGCTCAGCTATAAAAAGTTTGTCTGAGTGGATCATCCAGCACGTTCTATCCGTCTGCTTTTCAGGGATAGAACGTCTGAAGATCGTCTCCGAGAAAAATGTCGATGTTCACTTGCGAGGAACTATACTAAGTCAAACTAATAAATTAAAAAATGTGTGATATTGTATATTTAGCCCCGTTCGGAAGAAACTTTATTACTGATCTTATTCAGTTGATTGGTTCGACGCGTCCCAAGTATTTAGGTCGACCCAAGTTAGAGTTTGCTTCGTCTTGTGAAAGGTTCGACATTTGGCTCAGGCCTAAGCCTCGTTTTGAAAGCGAGATATTTAGGAACGCGGAAATGGCCTATTCCAACTCGATCGTGATTGAATAAAGAAGGAATTATTCCTCAATTGGCTCGACGTAAGAAAAGTAATCTTTCGTCCCCCTTCCTTAAGCCAACATTTTGCCCTAAGTGAGAAGTAAGTGTTAACGTAGACTGCAAAACAGTCCGTATTTTTGCGTATTCAAGTACGCGCGAGCAGTCAAACAAAAGGTCTGGAACGAGGCTGAAAATAGACAGCGAGACTGGGGAGAGACGCTAATTTTTTCTCTCGCCTCACACGCCCTATGGGCGTGTGAGACTCGCGCGCTTCGCTCGTGTAAGACGTTTACGCCACGCTTTACCGATGTCTTTACTGATTTTGAGAAAAAAAACGACTATTTTGCAGTCTAGTGTTAATGTTGGTTTAGGGGAGGGGTAGGTGGGCAGTTTCCCAGAAACGTGTAATGATCCCAACTTAGTAGGGACCGGCTTTTAGCACTTCAGAAGTGTGCTACTACAGATGGAAATAAGAACCAACCTTTCCCTGATATCCTTTCGTTTTGAGTGAGTCTGAAGCTCTAAAGCAGTAAGTTTCTTTGGACTGCGATACTGCCAAGAATAAAAGGCTTCCCTTGATGAGGCGATCACGTGACTCCGAGTCATGGCTACAAAAAGGGGCTCTATAAAGCAAAATAAGTGGACAGTGAGTCAAGAACATCTAGAAAACTTTACTGTCCCCCGTCAGGGAACAAAAAACAGCACCTCACTGCTTACTAGCCTGACAAAACAGACGACTTTTCGCGACGCCACCGGTGGTTTCCCCGCGAAATGACGTCGGAGAAATGAGCGCAGAAATTCGCGTCACTACACAGATCTGGGTAATGCTTCTGATTGGTTGATGCAGATTTCCCAGACGGCACGACCAATCAGAAGCACTACCCAGATCTGGGTAGTGACGCGTCATCAGTATGGAATTTCTGCGCTCATTTCTCAGACGGGAAAACCACCGATGACGTCGCGGAATTTCGTCTGTTTTCTCAGGATAACTGCTCACCGATTTCGATGTACTTGGAGTCTAATGGAGTACCGATGGCATTGCAAAGCACAAGAACATGCTGAAAAACAAGATAAACATGTTAACTAGGGTGTATACATTTTCACATACAGTCAAAAATCTCCCGTGAGCGACCACCCCAAATTCGGTGACTTACGGGAAGTAGAACTTCGCCCAAGAGATTCGAACAGCAGGAGGTTTTCTAAGAGGAGAAGTCAGCCGAACACATATATTTTTCAGAGAGAATGTATTTCCGACTAAAAGTCTTTCTCGTACTCTAAGACCGTAGAATATTACATATGGTGAACACATAAATAAGACCATTTTCTCCGGTGATCGCCCAAAACAGAATGAAAACAATGGTCGCAGTCGCTTTCGAGAGGTGTTCCTTTACGAGAGGTTCCAACTATAAGGTTTCGACTGGGAAACGTTAATGTTTTGGATTTATGTGGTCGCTTATGGGAGGTGGTCGCGTATGGAGGTTTGACTCTATGCTGATATGAGAGGTACATTGTATACATGCATCTTAATTATAATCCTTAAAGGTTTTTAGATTATACTTGGGGAATTGGTTAGCCGTTATCCTCAGGATTTTTACCGGAAAGCGCTAAAGGGTTCATTCACAACAACTACTGAGAATTTCACTGGCACTACCTGTCCACTGCTGTCATCTGCCCTGGTTGCCAAGACGCAGTGATCTCCTGAAGCTGTGATTGACAGCAAGTTTCGGACATACTTCACATATTTCTGACGGCAAAAAGAAAAAAAGGAAAATTCAATTATTTACGAAAACAAAACTGGATTATACGATAGATACATCAGGGTAATATTTTCAAGGGGTTAGCGGTATTATTGCGCTAACAAAATTCCATATTGAAGTAATTTGAAAAATAAGTTGATGTATGTGCTTGCCTGTAGGCTCCATTACCAGCCGATGTTGGAGAAATGAGTTCGCGCTTCTCATCCGAAAAGATGGCTGGTCACGCAGCAGAGGAAATGGAGCCTAGAACTTCCCTCACTATGCAAAATAACTGCGCCAAAATGAGATTGTTTCTTCAGTTAGAGACACAGGCGACCCGGAAAAAGAAAAAATTAAAGCGAAGTCCACTGTGGCATATGCAAAGTGCTACAAGATAATGTAGAGGCGAGTCGCCTGTGTCACTGATTCTAGAAAGGTCATTCCCATGCACGCATTCAACAGGCTAAAAATTCGCCACCATATTTCAGCCAAAATTTTGCTGTGTCTTATAACGAGTTGTAATCCGTTATGTCAAACGTTTAAACTGAGCTATCAGAGCGATGTCAAAGTTGATAATCTATACAGCCTAATAAAAGACAACATTTCAGCATTCAGGCATCTTTAATATTTATAATGGCATAATTCTTTCAACTGCTCTGAAAATAAAAGAAGAGTCGATTCATTCTCGACTCCAGGTCCTCTCCGACTCGATGAAGAGAAACCTGGAAACGAGGTTTTATTCCATTATGACTTACCTCTCCGTTCTTGGTATCCCAGAATACTACGCAATGTTCTTGACGATCAGGCTTGTTAAATGCATACACTACTGTATTTGAAAAATAGCCCCACTAAAACAAAGAAACAAACAAAGAAAAATAGTCCGTTATTAGTTTTATAACCAGAAACACATACATGCTCCAGTTTTAACTTAAATTTTAGGAAAAAAGAGATGGCATGAAACTTCTCTTTTTTTGTGTAGATATAATGAACAGTGAACGACAAGTTGACAAAAATTCGGTCAAATGGTAGAACTGACGTTTGAATTTGCCCAACATGATTCTAAAGGTGATGTTACACGGAACGATTTGCAACAACGATTTTTAGAGCAACACAGCATTACAGCATTGTTGCGACATTGTTTCGAATGGTTGCAACATTGTTCCAACATTGCAACTCTGTATAAGGTGATGTTACACGGGACAATTCGCAACGACGATTTTTAGTGCAACAAAGCGTTGCAGTGTCTCGTGTAACATTGTGTAACATCACCTTTAAACCTCTCAGTTTCACGTCGTGATCGTGCAACGATGGCAAAGAAATGTACAAAAAAAGCGTGATGCACGTGCAAACTTGTTGTTCTGTTAACTAAACGGAACCCGATTCATTTTTGCCGTTCTCGTTGCTGTCGTCGTCGTTTCTTAAGCTCCTTATTTACAAACATTAGCATGGAGTTATACTCCAACCACCAAGAAACAATATTCGGCTGGTGGTCAGAGCGACCCCGGATTCGAACCCAAGTCCACCGTATTACGTGTCACATAAGCTTAAACCGCGGCCACAGAGTATACTTGTAAACGGACGACTTTATTCGTTTGCGTTTTCTCCTGTGGGCATTTATGGCGGCACAACTTTGAGGAAGTCAACTTCATAAAGTGCACTCAAAATCGTTGTTTTATACAAAATGTACCTTGCACGGTTGTCACTAAGATTTCAAGTTGCCAGGTAAATACAACAAGTAGGCGGGGAATCAAACCAGCTAGGGATTTCTTTTGGTTCTATTTTTCTTCTATTTTCCTATGAAAGTCAGAGCCGGGAGCCAAGTTCGTAGTAGCCTGGGAAAATCCCCGGTCCCCGCCTCTTAATGACAGCCCTGACCTTGGGCACTCGCTGATTCGAAACTTAAGTTTTTGTGGATCCTTTCGACGCAATGGCGAGGAATGCGTACAAATGTTCATTAGCCATCATGTGTGGACAAATGTTTGTGTTTTCAACAACAAATTTACGATGTACTGTACGCATGGAATCACCTTTACAGTTAGCTTAGAAACCAGAATTAATTGATGAAAACACAAACTACTTCACTTACCTTATAGTTGGGTCTGATGTTGGCAAAGTAGATGAATGAATCTACAGCCAATGCAATACGCAGCCCAGCGCCTTCCCAGCATGCCTCTGTAATCTGTTTTCCAGGCACTTTCAGGGTTCGCAAATGCTACAAAGAAAATTACAGGTAAACGACATTAAGGCCTAGGCCAAATGTCGAACGTTTCATGAGACGAACCAAACTTAGTGGGTTAAGGTGGCTGAACACAGTTTCGCGGGCGGTCAGCGGTAGTGCATGTTTTAAATTAGACAAAAAAAGGCGAAAAAAGCAATAGTATACAGAAGACGATTTCTCAAAATCTACTCGTTAAAATTTTGTGATATTTGGCAGAATTTTTACTTTTATGGTATTTTAAATAATGAGAACTTTAAAATGGGAGTTGAACAGACGAATTTTGTGACACATTTAATAATTATTACAGTACAATTATATTATTGATTATCTGAAAACCCCTCAGTTATAATTTGGTCAAATAAGTTTCAAATAGTAATGATTAATTATAGTAAGCTGAGTGGGAGTTTATAGGAGAATCAAACTGAGTAAAAGTGAAATTTTAAAGTTGTATTCAATCGTTCATGTCGCCACGGAAACTACGAAAACGTCAAATTTTACCTGTCAGTCAAAATCTTTCATCATTGTATTTTTCACTTGCCAAGTTTGAGCCTGTGAGCTGTAACCTTTCTCTTGCCATAATTTGGCAAATGACCAATACTCAGAAACTGCCAAAACTGTGTTCAGCCAGCTTAAGTCCATTAAAGTTTGACGTCTGACTCAGTTACGTTTGTCTGAATGATTTTTGGATCGTCCAACACGTTCTATCCATCTGCTTCAGACGGATAGCATCGTCTCCCACGCGGGTCAAACGTCGATCTTCACATGCGACAAACTAAACTAATAAATTAAACATTTTTATGATAACGTATATTTGGCCTCGTTCGAGAGAAAATTTATCACTGCTTCGACGCGTCCTAAGTTCGACGTCTGACCCAACAGACGATCTTAACTTAATTTAGGCGATTGACCTGCACCGATCCTAACCTCTTATTTCATTGGTCCCTATAATCTGCACCATCTATTGTTTTTAGGGATTGGGGCATTGTTATGTCCAAATTCTATACTTTACCAGGCTAATCACAAACCTTGTTTGGAATACACCCAATGCAAAAATGGCTGCTAGATTAACATTCTTTTGTTTAAATTAAAATTAGCCCAACTAGCCTCGTTTGAGATAAGGTATTCTTTTGAATTTTGTACTGGAGAACGAGGTTAGTTAGGCTTATTTAAATTCAGACAAAAGAATATTAATCTGGCAGCCATTTTTGCATTGGGTGTATAGGTACAGGTCGGCCCAACCCAGGAAAAATTCGACGTCTGGCCTAGGCTTAAGAGCAAGAAACGGATCCAGAGAGTTCAATTGAAATAAGACAGAACCTGACCTAAGGTTCAGAAGGAAATATTAGCGCAGTTGGTCAGTGCGTGGCCTCCTGTGCGGGAGTTTCGGAGCGCGATTCCCAGGTGTGACCACAAATCCTTCTTTCAACTTCTTTCCTTTCCGTGTAGCTTTAAGTAGCTTTAAATACCCGTAAAACGGAGCACTAACGACGTAAAATAAGCACTCTTTACCTTTTTCCTTTTCCCTTTACAGAGTGACCACAGAAACATGGTTTGTGCTCAGTTCTGTTCTGTGGCTTTCATAGCAAAGTTTCCGTGACGAGATGATGGAAGAGACAGTTGCTTCAACCGGTTTTAGAACACTCCCCGTTACTTTTCGCCGTTTTTTTCTCTTCTCCTCGTTTTCGTTATCATTATCATTATTATTATCATTAGTTTATTATTTCAATTTATTATTATCATTATTTGTTTACTTTTGGGCTTTACAAGACATTTATCGCTAAAACGCGGTGGAATGTGAAAATTATTAAAGTTATTATTCAGAACCAGTGGGTGATGAGTCAAGATTTCCGAGTGTCTCTCTCGATTCTCTTTTGACAGAATAAGTCACATTTGCTTATGCTTGGGAAGATGTGTCCGTCCCGCATAACTGAGTCGTGCATTAAAGTCAGAAAGAGCATTACAACTGATTACGTCACAGGTGCTACAAGGTTTATAGGTTCACACGGTTCCGGTTCCGGCAAGAATGAACCAAGAAACAGTCCTTTAAGCGCCGTGCAAACGGAAGCAACAGTGTTGGCCAACAACTTCCAACATTGTTAGATGTCACATGTTGCGTCCGTTTGCACACCCTGTTGCATGTTGTTGGGAGTTGTTGCGCAAAGTTTGAAACCGGTGAAACCTTTAGCAACCAACAATGTTGGGAGTCGTTGCGTCCGTTTGCGCGCAGCTTTACAAGGTCACTTACCTCGCCAAAAGGAGTGTAAAATTGGACCACATTGATATCCTTCTCCTGCAAAAACGAGAGTGGAAAAATTATATGGATTATAATTATATAAATTAAGGTGATGTTACCGGGGACGATTCGCAACGACGATTTTTAGTGCAACACAGCGTTGCAATACTGGAACAACGTCGTATCCATTCGAAACAATGTCGCAAAAATGTTAAATGGCTATGTTGCGCTAGAAATCGTTGTTACGAATCGTCTCGTGTAACATTACCTTTATTGTGTCGGTAGATGGTATGTAGTGTATAATAAAACTTAGGTTGAAGGTGATGTTACACAAGAGAATCTGCAACAACGATTTTTAGCGGAACACAGCGTTGCAACATTGTTACGACATTGTTTCGAATAGTGACAACATTGTTCCAATATTGCAACGCTGTGTTGCGCTAAAAATCGTCGTTGCGAATCGTACTGTGTAACGTCACCTTAAGAACTTGAGGACACGTTGGATAAACAACTGTTCTTACAAAACTCACTAACGACTCACTGGTCCCTTGGGAAACTACTAAATTTCGTACCCTGAGGCAGCTTCCCTCAGGACAAGAATGGATAATGTTTTATAATTACAAATTTTCAGTTCTGTAGTAGTTGTTTGCAGCATTTTTCGCATACACTTAGAGATTTAATTGGCAAATTTTCTAATATACATACTGATCCAATAAAAATTTAAAATAAAAACCAACAAAGGTACAAATAAAAATTATTGCCGCAAAAAACTTTTAAAAGGATCTGCTAAAAAAGATAGTGCATCACCTGTCCAGTCGCTCTCTGCATGCCGGCAACAGCTAATACGGCACCACAGTTGTTCCACTGTATATTCACAACAGCCATTGATGTGTCAATCAATACAGGATCTATAATGTTTATAATGCACTCAGAAAACTAAAAAAATGCTTCTGATCAGTCACCATACAAGTTTGTAATATTAAATAATAATTGTTGGTAATCTGTTATGTATTGATATTCGATTTATAGCAGTTATAGGGCAAGTGCCTTGAACGGACCAACAATTCATATTGTATGTAGTGGAAAATCGATATAACGAAGGGTCAAGGGACAGGCAAAATTTGTTCGCTATAATGAGCTTTCAAAATATCGAGGTTCTTTTTCATATAAAATAATTTTATATTGTTTTATTATTTAAGCGTTACTGGGGTAATAACGAAAATCGTTCGTTACACCGAGAACTTCGCTATCTTAGTTATATACAGCATTGTTATCATTCTTATCTAAGGTTATGTCCTTTGGTATCTCTGTAATCTTAATTTTTTTTTTTTTTTCATTTTTCTACTATGGGCCACATGACAAAAGGCATTAAAATGAACAGTGAAAAAACTACATTGAATTTAATAATTATTATAATGTTTTTTAATGACTCCACTTTGCTTTAAGAGGACTCTCTTACTTTCATCCAGCTCATGTCTCATAATCTGCATGCGTCCAACATCAAAGCACACCGCTAGACAAGGACAGTTTGGTTCAACGTATCCTTCTCTTCCATCATACCTAAACCAGAAAAAGCATTTTATTTAAAAATCCTACACATGCCAGGGCTGAAATTAAAGTTTTGAAGCTGAGTGAGCTGTAGCAAATGGATATTCCCTGCTATTCCCACAAAATCTTTTAGCATCACCTTTTGCTTTCTACTTTGATCACCAAAATGACTATGTAAGCTCAGTCGTTACAATTCTTATGGGTTTAATATTGGCCTTAGTGACAGCTTTGTATGCACACTGTCAATACTTTTTGCTGTTTTCCCCAACAGAAATCCATGGAGATATCTCTTTTCCAGCATGCCACTGGATACGTACATGTACGCACAAAAGCTCATAATATATGAGATCTTGGTTCATTCTGGCCAGTTCAATCACAAACCCTGTCAACCAATATTATTGCACTTAAATACTTAGCAATCTTTCCACTTTTTCCTAATTTATTATTTTTATTCCCATAGCCATAGAAAAATATAATTTTAGTATGCACTGTATGAACACTGCCATTTTGTTTCGTTGTTGTAAACTACTTGTAGGTCTATTTGCCAGATGGATAATTCATCCATCAATGCAGACTTACCTGCTGCTAGTTGAAATCCACTTGGCTAGATAATATAAATTTTTAAATTCGATTGCAACCACTACATTGTAACATACTGACCATTCAATACCAGCTATCTTGACAGCTCCTGTGACATTAGCAAGGCAGAACAATGTCATCTTCGTCTGAAAACAAGTACCGGTAATACTTCATATAAATTCAAATAAAATATTGGAGATTTTGTACCACTTTTATTAATTAATGGAAATATCTGAAATGAATCATATTATTGTCTTGAAAAGTTACCACTTTGTGTCATTTTCGGTTTCCTGACTGGACGACTTTCCATAATATATTTGCATGTACTCAATAATTAACATTAGTACCATTTTCAAATAACAAAAACAAAAAAAAACAACCAAAAATAAAACAGACTTGCTACTCACACAAAAGTTTCCTGTGTTATCAAATATTTGCACTTCACCATTACTAATACCAAAAATGATATTCTTCCCATCTGGTGACCATTCAACATTTGTAAGCTGCAGGTTTTTCAACTCTTTTCCCCAAATTCTGTTTCCATCTACTGAGCCAACAATCACAGCACCTAAAGACAATGGAACAGTAATGAGGTATTTTTTCAGCATTACATGTAAGTTGTAATCTTGATGCTCTACCAATTCCCTGAGTAATGGCTTGTGTTGGTAGACCATCAGACTGTTGGGCAGGAAATCACAGGTGTCACTAAAATACGGCTGTCCAAAAGCCCAGGGTTGGTGGCATAAGCCGTTGCAGGCTAGCATGTTTTAATTTTGAGTAGTCTGACAAGCAAGCAGCAATTGACAAGGTAAAGTAAATGTTGGTAGCAAAAATGGGGGTTGGTAGGTTCGGCTAGTAAACTTCTGAATCAGTTTTATCTCACCGTCCCTGAAGTTGTAAAACACAGACACAAGGAATGTTGTGAATACACTGCATTGTAGCTAGGGTCTTCCTACATCGGTAGCTGAAAATAACCGGTAATTATACTGGATGTTTGTAATACACACTACACTGCTACCTGCATGAACATCAAGCCTACAAAACTGTAATTTTGCAGGTTCTATCTCTAAAAAAATACAGCAGATTACCATTACTTTTGCTAGCTTTTTTTTGTTTGTTTTAATTCCTGTCAACTACATTACTAACAACTTGTATATATTAATTACCGTCTTCATAAACAATGCATATCCTTTGTCCATCTGCATTCCATTTCATGTCTCGAACTACACTTCGGTTTCTGTTGTTGATCATCTCTTCATACCAAGATCCTATAAAACAGGTTGAAAAAATCACTTTAAATAGCACCTACTTCAACACACACTGTTAATTGATAAGGAGAGCTACAGAAACAACAATAAGAAAAGAGCTTTCCCAGAAAGGATAGTGGTATGGGATTGGTTTGGTTAATAAACAGTTAGTGGAAAGGGTCACACTTTACAGTTATAACAAGAATTCGAAAAGATAAACTACGTCTTGTGACTCTCTGTTGACTCAGAATTAATATAAAAAAGTTTAAATCAATTTCAGTTTATAGTGTTACCCCCTAACGATAAAGAGATCTGGCCAGCAAAATTTCCAAGATTCAAAATCTTGCCGGCAATATGTTATAAAATCAGGATGTTGGCAGCAACATTTGGAAAATTCAACATCTTGCTGATGCAAGATTTGGGAAATTCCAGATCCTACCAGCAACACTTGCAAGATTCAAAATCTTAACGGAAGATTTGGAAAATTCCAGATCTTGTGGGCAAGATTTAGAAAATATAAAATCCTACCACCAAAATTTGGAAAATGTTAAATTCCGACTGCAAGAATGGAAAATTCAAGACCCTGATCGCAAGATGTGGAAAATTTCAAGATCCTTCCAGAAAATTACATTAACCTTAATCCCTGAATTGGATTTAAAATGTTGGTTCTTGCATTAATTTAATGAAATTGACTCACCTTTGTAGAGAATCCATACAATAATAAGACCATACTGATCACTGGTAGTCAACTTTTGAAAATGTTCATTCCAGGTCACCACTTGAACAGCACCTAGGGAAAAAAAATTCAGTTAATACGCTGTGGTCAATTACCTTACAATGAAGTTACAAGCCTAAGTGCAAAATGTGCACTGTCTGTGTTATGACTATTTTTGTACAACTGCTGTAATGGTTTTGTATAGTGTCCCAGTTCTCCTTCCAGTAACAAAACATAGAGAGCAGACAGTGTAGCTTTAGATTGATCCAGATCATTAATAATGAAACAAGGAGGGTAGTGGCATCTCAATCTATTTCGGTCTCAGAGTTGCTGGTCTATTTATTAGGGGGGTGGGGGGGAAACTCAAGCCCCCAAACCCCCTGCTACATGTACGTGACCCTTCCCTTAGATCTGCCACTTCAGGATCTACAATTGCACAGATTGGCAGTTTACACTACTCAGTGCATCATTGCACCCCGTTTTTAACTCAAATATTGCATGTGTTAATTAACAAGCAGTGATTATTTTATTTCCACTGCTACACAGCATTGGTCATCGCAAAAGTAATTGTACAGAACAATAACAACCACGCAAACCAGTGAACAATGTACTTTACTTACCAGTGTGCCCATCAAGGTTTTGATTCATTGAAAGATTACTAGGAGCTGCGAGACCTCTAACTTTTGCATCTTTACCTAAAAAAATCAAGATGTAAACAACAAACACATTGCATTATTTTTTGTTCGATGCAATGTAGACAGTTCTGACAAATGTTCAATGTATTACGTACACTACGATCGATGCAAGATTATGTCATTTAACGCGACAGTACTTCATAGTTCTAAAGATCTGCCGTATCTGTTTACATTTGCATCATCTTGTCTACCTACAACCTGTACTACAAGAACAATTCAAGCCCCCAAAAAAGCTAATAAGCGTAAGTTTACCTTGCTGTATCTCTAGTTTGAGTACTTTAAGTAATCCATCCTCTCCACCACAGGCGATGTAACCTTGCTCCCGATTCCAAGCCAAGCATCTCAGCCTGACATTGTTTGGTATGGCGATCTAGAAATCGGTATCAGTGTGTCAAACAGATCAAGAAAGAAATGAAGATCAGTTCGCCAAAAAAAAATATTCACCTTGACAACGTTAGCTGGAAGTAAACAAACTTTCACACCGAAATATTAGAAGGGAAAAGAAATAACGACGTACCTTTTTGCTCAGATATATAAACATGACTTCTGCTTCACTCTAAAACCAGCTAAAATGATATATTTGTAGCTTAGCTTTTTAGAACGCGGCACGATCGTGACCACTACAACTTGTCTTTAATATTTCTCCGCCATTTTCCTTCAAAGTGACATACCCATAAAACACTTCGAGCGTTGTTTCGTCAAGACGATTCGGTTCGTGTTACATAACGTAATCTAAGTGCAAAATGGCGGCCAAGATTGTCCTGAGAGGAGTTTTGAGATGGGTATGTAAGCTTAATTTCTGTTATTTATACTCAAAACAAAATGAATGTATACTCTTACTAGAAAGAAAAACCTCGTCTTAACTGATTATTATGCCTTTTTCAACTTACATGTTAAATGACTGCGTAATATTCGCAGTTTCGCTAAATTCAATTTGGAGATAATGTACCTTCACGTTCTTGGAAAGCCAATATTCTAATGATTTTGACAGAAAGGTAAAGAAATTTTTGTATAAAAACAAACAAATAAACAAACCCCGTATAAACTTTAGAATACTCAGCTACTTATTAAGTTACATCTTTCAAAGTATTAACAAAATGCAAAAATAAAGTTTAAAAAATATATAAGAAATAATACTAATAACATATTCCTCCCATTCTCATTCCCAACAGAGGGGCCGTTTTTTAGTTGCTGTCTCAGTTCCCGTCCTTGGTGCACCGTTTTTGTCAACAGTAAAGGCTGGTTCCATTAAAGTCCATCCCAGGGAGGTAAAAATGAGAGATCAATTATATGTGAATAAAGTTATTTTGTCAGTTGTTAAGCTGTTGTTTGGGACATGCCATGTTTTATCCACAACCCCCTCTCCCTCCACCTTAGGATGCTGTATTTTGGATGGGACAGGGAGAGTTGGATTTTTCTTTAAAGAAGCCAACAAAATTTCAGACAAATTTTCCAATGGTGCCAGCAAAAAATGAACTCTTCAGAATTCATTTTTCAAAGGCTGCGGAAAAAAATTTGAGGGTTCAGATTCCAGTCATTTTTAGCAGGAGGGGATAAAAAATGGAAGGCCATTTTTGTATAGAAGTTACTGAAAACAAATAAAGCGTTCTCCTTGATAACATTGCATACATACCTAAATCTTGAAATTTTATTTCAGTTGCAAATTTATGATCCTGTAGTTGATTCAACACAAAATACTGCAAAGCCAGCGGAGGAGCCAGTCACTGAGATGGAGCAGAAAGTCTCTGTGGCAAGAAAATTTGTTTGGGGATGGACATCCAAGGTGAAGGTAAGCAATGGGAGTGGTCAAGTCAGTGATGTGGGTTTTTCATGTGTAGAGAGTGGAGAGTTAGGTAAGATGCGGTGTCAGAAAAATTGGGACCACCTGGTCACTAATAAAGAGACTTGACAGTAACTTGAAGCTAGTTTCGTAACTATTTCTCCTGTCAAATGTCTTGTAAAGTGTTGTTTGAGCAATATGGCGAAAAAAGTAAGAAATTGTCAAATCTAAGCTGCAATTGTTTAGCAGCTGACATAGGTTTTGTCATGAAATGCTTTCTGTCCAGAGAGACTTGTTTATAGAAAGAATCAGGAAGGCTAGGATCAGTGAAATGACCTTGGGTTTTGGTTTGTGGTAACGTTACAAAACATGATGTGAAATGTCTATAGTGGGTCTTCACTTGGACCTTGCTGAGAATATGGGAAAAACACATCAACTCACCTAGGATATTATAGTAAAAAGGTTACAATGGATTTGACATCAAATACATTTTGATATATACATATATAACACCTAACAAAGTGCCTGTAACTGAACATGTCTTTATATTCAACAGGATGGTATTTCACAAGTTAGGACGACATACTCATCTGTTGAAGAGAAATCATTTGGTGTGTAGACTTAATGTTTTGTTGCCCACAGCACAGGCATTAAAATATTTAAAATTAGAATGCGCTGAAGGCCACTTCTTCAATGAAATTTGTCTAATTCAAGCTTCATTTTTTTGCTAATCAATTGCCTCCTAGTTTGATGTTGTTGTTGTTAATTTTATAGTCTTAGTGCAGTGATAATAAATTGTTAAAAATAGTTGTGGTGAGTCCAGGACTCAGAGGTAACAAAATCACTGGTTAGTGTCATTGAGGTTAGATATATTTAAAGTTACACAAGCATTCCTATTGGCAGGTTAGAATCATCCCACAATAACATTTGCTAGAAACACATGCCAAAGGCTAAAATTGTTGTTTTGACCAGATGCAAAGGAAAGAAACTCAGCTTGGAGCCAGTCATGGTCACTCCTTATTAGAATTATTATCAGTATTTTTAAATAAACATTTCATTCAAGAATAAAACATGGTGACTGTTCAGCATACAGAGAAATGGATAAGGTAATAAAGTTAAAACACAAAGGTAGAAGAGGAAGTTAACCCTTTAAGTCTCAACAGTGACCAAGATCAATTTTCTCCTAACAATATCCATACACTGTCAAGAGATAAGTCATGAGAATTAATAAAATGATCACCCAAGAGAAAAGGCCCTGGTCTTACATTAAATTCTCTCAACTAATTCTTAAAGGAAATGTATGGAGATCAGTTTGGAGAATTTGTATGTTGATATTTGGACTTAAAGGGTTAATGTGTAAAGGTCATTCTCTTGCCGCAGTCAGTCACAAACTTACATCTAACTTATTTCCTTGTCAGTGTTATCGTGTATACAACCAAAAAGCTATTACAAGGAAGTACTTTAATGATTGAGCTTGAAGGAAGTGCTGTGTTGCATTTATTTATGTAATAAATAATCTTTCAATCATCAAATGTATTAGAGATTTACAATGAAGCTTCTTAAAAGATAGTGATATTGTTCATCGTGGATAATTTATGTATTTTTTATCGTTCTCCATGCAGAGTTTTGGAGACTAATTCAGACAGATACAACATTTCAAATCAAAGTTGGTGGGATAAGTACAGCTGTTTTGGTTGGTGCTGTTTTAGCAGGAAGGGGGCGTAAGTAGAATATTTGTCTGTCTCATGAACTTCTCAAAGTGGGGAGTAAGGTGGAGAGGCGGAGAACTGAATCACCCAATGTAAGGGAATCCTGATTCCAGAATCCGGGAAATCTTTGCTTGTGGAATACAAAGTCTGGGAAAATCTTACTCATGGAATCTGAAATCCTAGGCTTTGGAATCCAGAATCCAGAATCCAGAGTTTGTCGTCTTATCCGAGTTGAATAAATGGTTACCGGAATTTTTCCAGCCATCATATCTCCTTTCAGTTTTGGTAAAATAAAAATGAGAGTAGTATCATAATCAAACAACTGCTATCGCATTTCTGTTACAACTCTGTTGTATACTATGATCACAGCACAACACAAGCACAATGCCACTGGTAAAAAAAAGCGACTGAAACATAAATTAAATTCCCTTTAGAGAAGAGCAGAACTTAACTGTTTATCTTTCGTATGTGGTATTTAACTTCTAGGTCGGCCAATCAGAAGGATATTTTATTCTGCTGTGCTGGGAACAACTGCTGCAACTATCTGTTATCCAAATCAAGCGGTTGATATAGCATTGGTTAATTATGATAGACTAAAGGTGTATACAAGAGAACAGTGGCACAAGTTCAACCAGACAAGAACAGAACAGGCCGCTTCCAAGAAACTTGAGAGTCCAGTTGAAGACACGGAAATTTCCAAAGATCAAGATAAAGCGACCGAAAATGTGCCTGAGCAAGCTAATGTGGAGCTAAGAGAAGACAAAGTAGAAGTTAAAGAAGTGCCCGAAGAAGTTCCAGAAGAAAAGGTTGTGGCAGTTGCTGAGCAGAAGCCCAAGGCATCATTCTGGAGCAATATCCCGTTTCTTGATAAGTTCATCGGCAGCCGGGAATCAGCAACAGGTGATGAGGTTAGTCCGCCAGTAGCCGTCGGTGAGGGAGAGGATGTGAAAGGGTCTGGAGATATTAAAGACCAAGTTATAGTTCAACAAGAGTCTACAAGTGGAGAAGTAAAGATCCAAGGAGACATTGGACAGTCCAACCCAGAAGACAAGGACATGTACTCAACACGATCATGAACTATCAAAATAATGCAACCTAGACAAATTTAACAGTTAACAATTTATTACCGTTCTGGAACTTTGAAAGGTCGCACATACGAAGAAACTGGTAATTGACTGGTTATTTGAACCAGAAGACGTTTTTTTAAGCCGAAATTGTGAAAGGACCCTGCTAGTTACGCAGTTTATTGCAAATTCAAAAAATATATAAGAGACCTTTAGATTCGACTACGAGTACGAGATTTGATTTAAAGTTTTTTTCGCGTATTGTCATAAGATAGACACCCCGAAATTCTTCATTGTACTTTTCTTCACCAGAAAAGTTAGCACTGTTATCGTTATTGAAGGAGGTTGAGACCTCTCCCGATTGCAAAATGCTAAAACTTCTAATATTTCATAACTAGTTTCCGCCACCACGACATTCTCGTTAAAACTCGTAGAACAATGACGACGGCTACTACGTTTTCGCGCCAAAATGACGCTGGTTCACGCGCGAGCACTACTTACTGTTGAGAAAATCTCGTACTCGTAGTCGTTCTCGTCTTAGAATCTAAGCTCTCTATTGAAAAAGGGTTAAGGTTAAGGTGGACAGCCCATAGAGTCTGTGAGTTAGTTGTTACTTACTAATTTCGTCTCATTCGCAACAAGTTTAAATCAGTCCTGTGTGGTGAAGATGGCTGACAGACTTGACCTGTAAGGCATAAGCCATTTTTTATGCAAATTAATTTTGCTGCTAAAAATATTAAGTGTTATAATAACTGCACGAAGCAATAAACGTCTCTTGTTGTGGAGATATCTCCTTCAACCCAATATTTTTAAGGAAAAAAGTACTACGCAAGATGGTCAAGTTATGTTGCAACAGGGTAAATATGTATTTCGCAGCGTTTGAGAATATGGTGGTTTGGTTCGTCAGGAAAACTCATATTCCAGGGTACAGCATATTGGTTTCTAACTGCATTAGAAACAAGTCATGATTCAATTTAAGCACTTTATTCTTTTAAAGAATAACGAAAGAATCAAAAGGCGTGTCAGTTTACTTAAACCTCGCTGTGATTACCAAATTTAGATTAAAAGGTATTGCAGAAAACGAAGTTAATACTAGAAGATGCTGTCAATTGATGTTAGTCGTAAATTAAAAATAGGGTACAAAAGCACGTGACGTCCATGTTGAATTCTTTAAAATTTCCAGCCTTGGTTTGATCTTGAAGTTGAATCTACATTTGCTTTCAAAACCATGGTCGTCCGTTTATGCCACTTCAAGTCTCAATTAGGTCTCTACCTTCGTGTCACTGAAGACTTGGTGCACGGGGTACGCTTTAAGGACGTCGATCAATACAGTGAGTAAGAAATTTGATCCTACCAGTTACAAATACATAATAGCTTTGTTTGGAAAGTATTGTAATCGGAGAATGAACTAAACGTAATTTGATCAAGGGCGCTGTTTATATGAGATGAGCCGCACTGACTTGGCCTCCCACGCGGGCGTTTTTAGGGGAGCTCGTTTTTAAACGTGATCTACACTGACTCGGCTCGTACCTTATTTCCTCGTAAAAGTTTCGTTGTGTTTCTATGAGAAAGCGGGCTTGCCCACTTGCCGTGATCTCGATGCAAATAATCATGGAAGCAGGCTACCTTGTCCGTTGTTATAGGCCTCCTAAACAGAAATTCGATCTAATAGCTTATAACATGAATTCCATTCGCAAAAGTAAGCCACAGGGAGCAATTTAAATTGGTGAAATCGAAATTATTTGGATCAATCCTAAGTCAACATTAACACTTACCTCTCACTAAGAGCAAAATGTTGGGTTAGGGGAGGGGTAGGTGGGCAGTTTTCCAGAAACCTAAATTGATCTAATTATTTACCGGCTGGTCCTTATTTTTTCGTGGTTTTGAACGATGTTGCAATTAAATTGCATATCCACCTATCTCAGAGGTCGTGAGGTGAAAGCGGTTTCTGGGAAGAAACCAACGCCCATGTATAGATGATGTCAACAACAACACTGAAGGTAGCTGATTTTAAGCTGAAAAATGTTAATTTGAAGTCTATCAACTTCTTCATCATCTGTCCGATTTTATCTAAATTCTCCATCTTGAAAATTCAAATCTCATTTATTTTTGGGTACTTTTCCTTGAGCATTCATGTGGGGCGCGGGAGTTCTAGTCCCTTAAATATTACATTGAAAGCCTTCAATGATCGAATCGACTGAAAAATTACTCCTTTAACGTCAATTTACGAACAGAAACACTTGAAAAAAATTTTGCTAAAAGATGGTCTTACGAGTGAAGCGAAGGGACACCTATTTAATTTTGTCCACGGAACAAACAGCAATACATGTAGAATAGTAGTGATTTAACGGCTAGTACAAAATCTTCATTTTCATACCCAATTTCAGTTTTTCCGAAAGTGAATTATGTAATTAAAATTAATTCAACCCTCACGTACACGGAAATTCATACCACCGCCGTGATACAAAGAGGGGGTGGATGGACTCCCCCCCCCCCTGCTACAGTTTTTGAAATATTGCAGTATTTTAAAACGATTTTACCTTCAGTGGAAAGTCTTTGATCTTGTTAACAAGATAAGGTATATTGGCGCTGCTAGAGGGCTGTGACGTCACCAACAATGGTGTACGCCCCTTGTACGTCCGCGGCTTAAGTGATCAATGTTGCATGAAGCAAAAGCTATGAATTTATATAGTAGAAATTTTCCCTACGAGTATGTCAGACTTCATCGATCAGTTACACTTATTGTACCGGAATGAATGAATAAACAACTTTATCAACGTATCAAAATCTTCTAGCTGGCCACAAGTAGCCTACTAATCGGGACACCTTCAATTCAACCGGTACTTAATTTCAATTAGTTAATAAAGTCAAGAGTGTATGCCCTTCGATCAGGGCTTCGATTCATCCTTTCCTACAATGGCCTACACGGGGAAACTCCGCCCAGCCGAAAGGGGTTCCTTCATACAGCACTCTTGTCCTAATAAAGTACAGTGGTTGTGAAGCTAGTTAGACGTCTTCGTTATATAAGTTCTTGCTAGCTTTTCAAGGCTTGACCGTACGAATCGTTCAATAGTATTCCCATCCATTTTAAAGTTGCTGACCGAAAAAAGGCGCATTTTAATTCAAGATTCAATCTTAAAGGGGCTGTGTCACGGCAGTTCAGTTCATTTTGTTTAATTTTGCCAATTGCTCGCCCTCAATCGTTATTGAACTAAAGTAAGCAAAGAAATTACATGTCAATGACAAAATCAGAGATCTGAGACAAACAAATATGCATATGTCTCCTGAGCATTATTTTTGAAGTTGCAAGCAGCAGGCCGCGATCAACTTTGAAAAACTGTTAGGCTTAACAGTTTTCAAAAATCATAATTTCAATCCGTTTCAATAAGTTTTGCCCATCCGTGGCATCTGCTGTTTCTGTTATGTTATTTTAACCTTCCTTTAAAGTTATTTTCATGTTTCTTTTAATTTAACAGGCATTTTGTAATTTCCTAATTTGGCTGAATTTCGTGACACAGCTCCTTTAATTTGTGAACAAAACCGCTCAAAGTGATTCTGCAACATAACGGAGCTCCCGACATCAAATGCAGCACCGTGGACGGTTTTATCGAGCTTTGATATGCGATGTTTGCTGTGCCAGTTTTAATGACGAGCAGTTTCCTTCACCAACGTTGTTCAGTATTGAATGACCCGGGTATCTTCATTGTTTAGAATCAGTTTTGCTTTAAAAAAAATCACCAGGGCGAGGAAGTGGGTGGGAAGATGCGAGTGCTGCTTTTTCTCTAGGTGAACCATGGCCTCAAGCTTTTCTAAAGTATAACTTCTGATATCGCTTGTCATTTGATTTAGATTTACTACATTTCGACAAAGATATGTAAATATTGCTTTAAGCGTTGTCACGAGGCAACTCATGTCTTTCATTTTACGGCTCAAATATAGGATCCGGTTCCTTGCGGAAAAGAAATAAAATGAGTGCTGTTTTGTTTCGTTACGCTCCTCTCAGCAATTTCTGCTTCCGGGAAAAGCCCTGAGAACAAACAAAAAGATAACAATAGAACAACAAAAACCAACAACAAAAGCAAGTAAAAAAAAAGGAATGCCAATTTATTTCTTGACCTTTTCTTCAGATGTTATAACTGAAGGAGACCCTATCGGTGGATTTAGTTGCAGAGTAAGGGCGTATAGTATTCGCATTTGGCTGTTAAAAGCTTAGAAACATTAAAAAATCAGCGCGCAAAAGAAGGCTGTAAGCGGGTGTGTTATGAGAAATTTTTGTTCCACGTATTTCATTTTCGAATCATTTTATATTATTTGTTGCTTTTCTTACAGCTGAGATTGAGATGCGTAGTGACGTTGCCGCCGGTGTGGTTACGCTGAAAGGGAAAGTCTCCAATAGATATATTGCAATGAGTACAACTGGCTCATTGTACACCACAGTAAGTGTGGCAGCAGGATAAGAACCTGGAAGGGGGGAGGGGGTACTCCCTGTAATGGGCTATACAGGGAGGTACCTTTTTCAGGCTTCAGGTATATTAAAGGGTAGGGGTTTTACTTGTCGTTGAAATATATGAAAGGGTAGTTAAATCTCAGCCGTATGGCCGTAGTGGAGATGTACCTTCTCTGTCAAAAAGGGCATGTAACAGGGTAAGGGCCTGGGACTAAGGGGTTTACCTGTGGAAAATGAATTATTGACTATAACTTCGGCATAGATGATAGCGCTAAATTAAAATTTGGCACACATAAAGAACTCATTGTCCTTAACATTTTAAAGTCTTTTGTGTTAGTAAGTCACGTGATGTATCACGTGACCATTTTGCTAAAAATCGTAAATTATTGACCAACTGGTGGCCAGTTTAAGAAAAGAAATCGAGCAAAAACATTTTTCCATTTTATATTAAATATATCTAACACTTCACGTTTGGAATGACCGTCCATTGCAGTTCAATAATAAATTATGAGTGAAAACGTCAATTTAAATGTCTAAATTTAATCTTGAATTGTTTAAAACTTCAAATTTAAACTTCGCGTACATTCATTCCAAACGTAGAAAGTTAGGTATGTTGATTCTCTTTCAGAAATGCCAATTTGTTTTCCCAACAAAGTAAAATTCGCCACCAATTCGCAAATTTTCTTCATTTTAAATTTTTGGTCACGTGACATGTCACGTGATCATAATTAAATTTTAAGGCACAAGAAAACCTCAAGATTTAGTTTTGAGGAAAAATTCATGTTGTTCTAGTTCTCCTACGTAAATCTTTGTTGAGTACCCCCCTGGGTCCCAGCTTAAACTTTGCGTTACTCCTTGAGCTAGCCTATGGTCGTTACCTCACCATATCAGAATTCTATGCTTTCGTGGGGTGGAAGGCAATTTGCCCAGACACAACACGTTTGATACATCTCTGCGTTCTGATTGGTGGAAGCTTAGATTTGGTTCTTCCCTTGGGATTCGGATACCCGAAATGGTGTTTGACATGTTTGACGATAGACAAACACTTTCAGCTTACGTTTAAAAAATTCGTTTTTGTTATTGTAGCCTGCGAAAACACCCGTTTCTCCTCGCTGTTCGCCGCTGGGGACGTTTCGCGAGGAGGAACGTCTGCGACTCAGCGACATAAATTCCATACTGATGACGCAAATCAATGTTTACATAATGAATCCGGTAGTCATGGGGTTTCAAATATAAATTTGTCCAATTTTGCGTGTCTTCTGGTCGATTTTGGTGAAGTGTTGTGTTCATCTGCCAACGAGCTCCAGCAAGACTCAAATGCTTCTTCTAGAGAAGACTATATTCCACAAATATTGACTATTTTGTTAGAGATAATTCGCGTTTACATTTGACCTTTGTGGCCTTTTGTCTTTTGTCTGTCATTCGTAAACAATAGCTAAAACAATGTAACTACTCCGTCGACCAATCAGCGCTTCTGACCGGATTCGGGACAGAGTTTACGTCATCAGTATGGAATTTATGTCGCTGAGTCGCAGACGTTCCTCCTCGCGAAACGTCCCTAGCGGCGAACAGCGAGGAGAAACGGATGTTTTCGGAGGCTATTGCTGTTGAATCCAAACAACAAACTCAATCAAATCCTGAAACAAACAGACGAAAGATACGTCTGATCGCAGGTTACCTATGAGCCGAATTTGAAGCAACAATTTATATGCATATGCATGAAAACTTGAGGCATTTTTTACACTTCATAGAATGGCTTTTATTTCGCTCTATTTTATAGTCATACCGGAGAAGTCTATTGTTTATGCTTAAAACACCATTTTCGGCTGCGTAGCTTACTTATTACTATACACTGACAAAAGTTCCACTAGTTCGTTATCCACCACCATAAGTTGACGGTATATATAGGCATGACTGTGCACGATTTTACCCTCTCTTGAAATTCAAACCTCTTCTTTTCTTCTTTTTTCAGACTGAGATATGCCAAGATTGTTTCTTCATAGAAAACTATAAGGAAGAATATAATTCTTACCAATCCAAAGTCAACCCTTCTTGGTATTTAGCGCTTAGACGCTCTGGTCAAGCCAAGTATGGCCCTAAAACCAACCCAAGACAGAGAGCCGTGAATTTTTTAATAAAGGGATTACAGAGATAGAATTGTCTGTCATTCGTGCATTATTTGGCAAAACCAAGGATATCAACAAACTCCATGAGTTTCATAGCTAATGATTTTTGTTTTTATTTGACTGTACCTTCCTATTACATGGTTGAAGATTGAATACTTTTAAATAAAATTTATAGATGCAAATATCAAGTGAGTTTTTGCGATAATTTATTCGTGATGAGGCTAAGTATGAAGTATTTGGCACATCTCGAAGAGGGTTATCCTCGATTGATGTAAAGTTCCCATATTTTTCTCGCTTCTTCCCAAACCGTTCCCCCGCTCTCTAAGTAGATTTGACACTCATCTGAGATGGCCGCCCGTAACTTAAAGTCTTCCGCCATCTCGATGATCCACGATTACGGAACAGTCAGGGCTATTCCATCTTCACCGTCCCCGCCTCCCCATAGATGATATTTTTGACCCCACACATAAAAGAATCCAAGAAAGTCTTGGATTATGGATTCCACGCCGTAGCTTCCTGATTCCAGGTACCCGGGATTCCAGATTTTTCGTCAGTGGAACTTGGATTGCGAATTCCAGTCTTTATGGAGATCTTGATTCCTTGAACTCTATTCCGGATTCCAAAGCCCAGGATTCCACGTTCCACAAGGAAAAATTTCCCACATTCTGGAATTCGGATCTGCTTCCGTATACATGGGGCGACAATATCCGAGGGAGTCAATTCTACCAGAGGGGTTGTTATGAGTAATCAGGAGTAATGCCGTGCCATGATCAATTTAAAATTTCTGAAATTTGCATTGTTTTGCATATCATGCAACAGTCCAAACTACCAAAATTTGTTCATACATGTAAATAATACACCGATTTTTGTTTATCCTCCAACGCCTCGCTTTCATGACTAGGCACCAGTTTTTTCCCGCGTGTCCGCCATTTGTGAATACGGTGTATTCCATGGTTTAATTGGAAAGCCACCATAATACGAGTGTTTGTAATGAAAAGCTCAGCTGAGCTAGCAGAGATCTCCTACTAATAGATTATGTTGATGTAATATAAAAGTGGCAAATAAAAGATTGATTGATTGATTGATTGAATCGGCATTGAAATGCGTGCGTTTATTTTGGTACCCCTCGACTGCTCGGACCCCTTTGACATGGGACCCACAAACGCACTCGGCCAAATTAAACCAATGCATACACTGGGAACGAGCCGCGAAGTTCAAGCAACAAATATGGCGGACATCCCGAGCGTTGAACTAATCGAATTTGTTCGACCTTACAGCAACGAAGTGAACTTGTATGTCACCAGTATTTCGAAACGACTAGATAAAGAAACAGCGCAGGTAAAGCTTTTTATTTTTGTCCAACGGCCACTTTTTTTCGTCCCAGCGGACAAAAACTCCATACATTGACTCTTTTTTAAACCTCTGTACAATGGCCGCCTCTTTACATGGGCCACTTTCTTCTGTCCCCAATGTGGCCGTTGTAGAGAGAGAGCTTCGACTGTATTTAGCCGCTTTCCTAAACTTCAGGTTAAACTTCTGGAGATATTCTCCGAGTTCGGTCTGGTGTATGAAGTTCAAGTTATTGATTCATCAGATTACTCAGAAGGTAAGGGTTCCATTGAAAGTTTGGTTCATGATCAACCCAGCCTGTGATTGTGAACATTATTTTACAAGCTACAGTGCTACAGTGTATTTGACCATGAACAATCAGACCTGAATTTAGCGGTCACCCGTAGTGCATACGGGTTGACCGTTTAATTCAGGTTTGACAATTTTCACAGTTAATTAATAATTAAGGAAATAAAGAAGGTGCCAGAGCAAAATAGCCATCTGCATGTGACGAATTGACCTCAAAGCGTTTCTGCTTTTTATTGTGCCAAAAAAAGAAGTAAAAGACCACCACACATCATTCACAGAGTATCTGTTGCATTGGTATCAGGTTAAATCTTGCCAAACTAACTGTTTGATTGAGGTGAACATAAAAAATAGCTAATAAAATAGACTAAAAAGAGGAAACTAAAAAAGATGACTATGAGTTCTTAATAGAGTCGACCTTCCAATACAGATTTCTTTCACTTACAGTAATTAAGCCTAACTTTGTGTATTTGCATCGTGGCTAATCATATATTTAATAATTATATATAATTTTTATTGCCAATAAAATAATGTATTGTATAGAAAACAACGTAGGCATGTTGAAATTGCCATGTCCAAAGTACAGGTTACATTCCAAAGGTCAATAGTAGAATTTAGTGCTCATTTTGTTGTGTAAACCTCAAATGGCTTGCCGGCAGAGCCATAGCTAATACATTTATATACTTAATCCGTCAGCTTCTGAAGACTCCAGTGTGAGTAATGTTAACTTCAACTGCAGTTCAATGTACGCTTTTGTTAAGTTTTACTCAAGAAGGGCTGCGAGTCGGGCAAAAGGAAGGATAAGTGGAAGGCGCTTACTAGCTGGACAACTTTTGAAGGTCAGTTTTGAGTTGGTAATTTACCGATCATGGGTGGACACCCTGTATTAATCGGACTAATAGCTTGATCAGTATGTTTCAAAAAATGTTTCTTCCCTTAATTTAAGTGAAATGAACCTGTATTCAGGGGACACCTCTATTAAATGGACAGCAGCAAAAGTCCTGTGGGTGTCTGTCTAATGCAGGTTTCGCTGTAATAATAATTGAATAATAATACATGTAATAGTAATAATCATCATCGTTGTCATCATCATCATAATCATAATAATCATGAATAAATGAACCTATATGAAATTTTATTAGTGCTTTAGTTGAATACTCCAAGTACTACTTTTCTCTCCTAAAACCCCTTTCTGGGTGCACAGGTTCAATTTGCTCAGCGGAGGAAAGGTCCGGAAAATGTTCAGCCCCCTTTGTATATGGCAAAATGCAGTGAACTAGCTAATTATTATTTCGGATTCAATGGTTGGACAACAAGAATTGTTCAGGTACTTGACAAGTGAAGATTCAGTTTAATTAACTCCCCTAACTAATCCTTGTTGTACATATCTGATTCAATAAAGGTTGCTTTGGGGAAATCTTGGGAATTGGAAATTGGGCATTGTGCATTTGGGCATACAGAACAATGCAATTGTTTGCCTCAATGACCACCAACAATAGCTTCCCAGTTCCCCATTACCAATAGACTACAATTACCGGTAGTCCCCATTTTTCGTCAGGGATAGTAGAGTGAGTGAAACGTGAGCACGCATGAAAATTACCCCACGTGCAAAAGGCTAGATGCTCATTTTTCTCTCTCCCCGCCAGATCTCGCCTTTCTTGCCAGGGGCGATTTACATGTGCGCTCGCATTTCACTCGCTCTACTATCCCTGAGGAAAAACGGGGACTACTCGTAGTCTAAATTCCCAATGCCCAAAGCAACTTTATTGAATCAGTTATATGTTGTGGCTCAATTGATTATTTTTATCCTTGATTTAAATTTTATTTTCTTTTGTTTTTGGGTGTGGTAATGTATGATAATGAGTTTGAAACAATGTAAAATGAAACTTAAACTTACAGGAGGCAGGGTGGTTGAGCGATTAGAATGCAGGACTTGCGACTCGGAGGCCCCAAGTTCAAGTCCGCCCTGACCACTAGCTGGATTTATTCACGGTAGTCCCGAGTTCAAATCCTCGACCATGCTTGTAAATAGCCAGCTGCTTTGCCTCCGGCCAGTTGGGATTCTTAGCCCTGTTATGTTTGATAAAATTTGAACTATTTGTTGCAGTCATTTGTTCGGCCTTGCTATCATAAGTGCTATAAATACTGCAGTAGAGTTAACAAAGGAATAAAAAAATAAATTAATTAATTAATTAAACCAGTATGTTATTGAACCACAATGATATACGTCCTCTTCTAGATTGATAGACTAACAGATCAGCATAACTGTGACAAACAGGGAAAGGCCATAACAGCTATGTTTAGATGTGTGGTGAGGCTTGAAATTAAAGGTTGTGATTTTTACTGTGATGGTAGCGGCTATGGAGGAGACAGAGATGTCATTCATCAAGGTTAGTTTTCCTCTATTAAAAAACCTTTCAGGACCAAACTCAAACAAAATTACAACTTTTTTAAGTAGGTGGCAAAATAGGAAAGGTTGCCGGATATTTCAGACGTAACCTATAGAATACAAGGCTGGCATAGGCAGTAGCCCAGCATAGCTGGCGGAATTAGCGTGGGAGTGCGACTGTTGTTGTTGTTGTTGTTTTTTGGCGCGTTACCTCGAGAAGTTCGTGAGCAAGTAGAAGGATTTTTGTTTGCGGCTACGCCGCCGAGGAATTACATTTAACGTACCCTGCGCATTTAGAAAACATCCCACGTATAACAATCCCGCCAGCTACGCAGGCTAATAAAGGCCAACACTGTAGGAACAAACTAGCGTACAAAACCTAAAGAACACGAGGTTAACATTATACGAATAAACTTTAGTAGTACGAAGTTTATGTAACAAAGAGAATGCCACCATCGTACGATCGAAATCATGCGAGATAAATTGTAAAGAAGACAATACTTACATCGTATACCAACAAAGCAAGAAAAGCTAAAGAAGGCAAGACGTGTGAGCAAACGCTTGAAAGATAAAGCTTTTACTCTAAGAATTACCGGTATAACAAAACTAGCATCAGAGAAGTGTTAAATAGCAAAAATGTGAGATTGGATTGATCTAAGGAAAAACTGACATTACGTTCCTATTGAATTGACCTCTCGGTACACACAAACGCATAAAAAAACTTGACCAAAATCCATCCATCTTAACCTCACGTCACGCCAATCTCGAATATAGACCCCTCTCTCTGATAAGCGTCCCCCTCTTTTCAGAGAGTTATTTCCCCCTTCCCATTGGTCTTTCGGTGATTATGTGTGAATGGGTGGTCAATCCGTTTTCAAATCCGGAGGGACTTCCAAAAGAGAATGATTGTCGGAAAATTAGAATTAAAGGCCCTAAGGAGACCAATCTGTGCATGGCTCAAGCCCCTTCACCTTGCACCTGTCCCGTAGTCATGGTGACCGTTGCGGGGCCACGGACCCAGCAATCCTTTTCCTCCTTTCAAGCTCAAGCTCTATTTGACCCCTATGGGCGACCATACTCTAACCTAACGTGAAGGCGTTGATTTCTCTTCATCTTTAGATATTTCTTTATGTGTACAACCCCTAGTGATACATTTTTATGGGAAAAATATTCGCTTTCCGCCTTACATTAACACTTAAGTAGAGACCAAAAACTCTACTTTTTACCTCTGTTAAAGGGAGACGATGATCATCCGCGTCACTATTAAGTTGGAGTATTTTCCCCGGACTTTGAAATGAAAGATGATAGTACGCGTTTTTGGTTTGCAGAGAAAGACCCTACAAAGAAAATTCAGCTGCTTGGATATGCCAAGAAACTTGCTCACAGACACGCATTTGAAAATGCATTTAGAAGAGTAATAATTCTATCTCTGGACAACGGAAAAGTTGGTGTCGAAATAAACCAGAAGGATATTCCTGAACTTGGCTCAGATGACTTGAAAGAGAATGGAATCATTAACGTAAACTACTTTGACGAAGAACCATTGTCTGATTCAGATGAAGAACAAGTAGCCGAGCTAGAGGCGGATGGCGCAAATTAATTTACGCGTTACTTTCAGCGCGCAAGGGGACAACTCCTGGCTGTTATTAATTCTGTAGATAAATAATACTCCAATCCCTAAGACAGGAGAGAATTAAACATTACTCCAGAAGCCGCTTATTTCCTCGCCCCAGGGGTAAAATAGTCCGTTAAAAGGTACCTTAAGATACACCGTTTCTGTCCACGGGTATACGAGTAGGTCAACATGTCTGCCACGCAGTTATAGAAATGTTAGCCATAATTTCCCAGATGTGAAAAAGGCGTCACCGTTCCACCCGGTAGCCTACCCGTTTCTCCGGGGTAAGAGGCAATCTACCGGTATTTACGGCTACTCGTACGGGTAATTCACCCGCACCCGCACCCGTACACGGGAACGGTGTATCTTTAGGTCTCTAACAGCCCCATGTGGCCCCGGCCAATAAATAGTGGACCATCAGAACGACAGAGCTAAATAAAACACAAGTTAATCTCGGTTCTCAGGATCAGACTCACTTGGGACATTTCGTCTTTTCTCCCCGCGAATTGTTTCTAGCGGGGAGGAACGAGGAGATACGACTGTATACGCAGGCTATCAGATTCATTGCAAACATCAAATTTCATACTTGCTCAATTTGGATGCTACACTGAAAGTTAAAAAGATCTGTTTCAGCCCCTAAGTGCCAATTCAGCCCTGTAGGCTAACGTCTGATTCAGCCCCTTCTGGAGCTATTTGAGCACAATTTAAGCCAAAACAGCTCAATCAAAAGGCTATTCCAGCCCACGCTGGGGCCCATTTCAGCCCTTGGGTCCAAATCAGCCCTAGAAGGTAATTGGACGGTATTGGCCCTGATTTAAGGGAGCCAAATTAGAATCAAAATAGGACTGTATTTTACTCACCGAAACGGGCCCATTTTTAGGGCTGACACACATTTTTCTGATTTACAGTGATATTACTCAAGTACAGACGTCTGTCTAAAGCGCACTGTTACTGAAGGAGCTTCCAACACAAACTACAGCACATTTGCTTTTATCTTTGCCGCGTTTCATAGCCAGTCTGCTCTTCTAACTATGGTCTGTCCAGCTGGCAATCTCGTTCCCAGGGTTCTCTCTTACTCGTCTGAAATTGTCCAGCTGGCACCGCAAAAAAACGCGTCTTTTGTGGTCAAAAAATACAATAGCGACGTCCACGCGCACAATGCGATCTTTCTGTTCCTTGGGTATTTTGATGGATTATATTAATTGGCAAACACAGAAAGACAAAAATGATCCACGCTACCACAATTGTTCTCAAACCCAGTTACTATATAGCCAACGGGCAAGCTCTCCCGCGGTGCGCCTTCTTTCCCCACCCCCGGGAGCCCCAGGCCAGGAGAGCTGTTGTTATAGCACATGATTCTAAAGGGGGATTCCCTATACATAGATCCTCTCGGATGGGTTACGCTCAACAGTATCTCACATACACTGAGTCATTTCTGCCACATTGTCAGACGAAACGTGCAATATTTCAATAGTATATAAATTTTCCGGAATAAAGTGGGCCGTCGCTTGAGGTTATCCACTTCGACAGTTCTGTGTTGTCCAGAACTTGCAGTCCGTGAAGAAAACCGGTTTAACCAATACTAAACAAGGATTTCATCGAACAAATGTAACACTGTTCTCCGGGTAGAAATGAGTAAGAATATCTTCCTTGGTTTGTCCATGCCACTGGTCTCTTACTATGCCCTGCAAACATCCCTTGTCTTAAGACCTGATGGTAACCCTAATGCTAGGGGTTTTAAGGGATGGGCGCCAAAATAAACCAGATATAGGAGCAAACCTTCGTACAGTGGAACCTCGATTTAACAAAGTGCCAAGGTACTGGGGAAATTTGTTCGTTATATCGAGGGTTCTCCATATCGAACACCTCGATTTTACTAAATTTGGAAAAATACAACCAACCAAGGGTAAGGTAAGGGGAGGGGGGCCGCTTTAAAACAAAATTGCCAAATGAAAAGCAAAGTATCCCTTTGCCTCCGCCATGTGGCCTCCACTTTGGTCCAAAAGTAAGGGGAGTGGGGAGGCGCCTGGGCCCCTCTCCTGGATCCACCACTGCAGGCTTTTGTTGCTCCTTTCTTGTAAAGGTACAGGCTTGAGAAAGTAACGTTATGGCTAACGGTTTACGAAAGAGAGTTAGGCTATTTTTACCCTATACCGCATAGCTTCGGAGACGGCACTAAAACCATAGCGCATAGTGCTTCTGTGCACACACAAACGCGGTTCAGATTTTAGCACGATTTCTGTAACCGAGCGAAGTTGCGCCCCGCTGATCTCTAACGTGGAGATTCACATATCGGATAGGTGTTCATACTGTACCGGATACCTTCTGCGCCGGCGCGAAAACCATACCGCATAGGGCTTCTGTTCACACACAAACGCGGATTATTTTACCAAGATTTCTGTAACGGAGCGAAGTTGCGCCACCCTGATCTCTAAAGTGAAGAGTCACATATCGGATAGCTGTTCACACTATACCAGATAGTTTTTCATGTTGGCACAAAAACGGGTAGTCCCCCATTTTTCCTCACAGGGATAGTACAGCGAGCGAAACGCGAGCGCACGTGAAAATCACCACACGCGAGAAAAGGGTGATTTTCACGCGCGCTCGTGTTTCGCTCTCTCTACTATCCCTGAGGACCAATGGGGGACTACTCGTAGTCTAAAAGGTATCGAGAATAGTGTGAACTATCGCACCGCAAGTTGTTATTAATCGGCAGTAAAAATAAAATTGTACAACACATGAAAATGAAATTGTAAAATAAGATCAAGAATCGTATGCAGGTCATGTAACGAGAGCAGCATTTGAAGACAAAAAGACCGGTTACACATATGAACATGGAAAATCTAACTGCAAAGTTTTCTCATCAAACTCGTTTGACGAACAGTCGTGGCTTTTACCTTCGTGTCACAGAGGACAATGTGGAAGGAGTCGAAGATGAAAACGATAAGTATAGTGAGTACGTAACGAAATTTTGTACAGTGCAGTCTTCATCAGGCTTCGGTACCTGTCGTCATCTCATCAAAATTGACTACATTTTGAGACAAACGGTCATATCGAAATACCTTACTGCTACTAAATCCCAGCCAAAGCGAGGGCCAAAGGCCCTCGACCAGGCGAGGCTTTGTTAAAAAATCTGATCGCACGAAGATCGTAAGTGGATAGCTTAGGGCAGTGAATTATCGGTTGGCGATATGTCAGTTTAATGGGTTGGGGGACTCAGCTGACGACCGAAACAGACGGGCCGCACAGCAAAACTGCAGCAAACTAGGTTGTTTTTGCAACGCATACCCAATCGATAACAGTAGGAAAAACAAATCAGTTCGTGCCTCTGCGTCTCGAAACTGATATAAGAACAATGTTGGCAGGCACGGTTTTGCACGAGAAAGTTGCTTGTAATTCCTGAATTTATAAATATAGATTACTTCCCTAAGAAAGTGGATCTTCTTGAGAAACTGAAATTTATTCTTGATCAGTTGAAAATATCTAGGAAATATTTACTGTAGACCGTGGAATGCTTATGCTTTTCTGATTTTTTATGTACATATTTATTTATTCATTCATTTTTCTGGATGTGATTTACATCCTTGATCATGAGTCCTCCCTCAGTTTGTGACATGTTTACTTTATATGTTTCTAACATGCAGTGATTGCCGTGGGTCAGGAGCCTATTAGACTCTTGCAGGGGTGTGATAATTAAAGCTACTACATACAAGGACCATTGACAAAGTAGCACTACATAGAGCGCCTTATCACTAACTTTTAATGTTTCTGTTGTTGTTGTTGTTGTTTTTTCTTCTTATTATGTTGCTTCAACGGAAAACTATTATTATTATTTTTATTATTATCGAGAACGCACACGTTTTATCGAAATCGATTGCCCGGTTCTTCGAAAGGTGGTTACATTTAACCCAGGATTAAGCCAAATTTTAAGCACGGTTTTCTTGTTTGAAAATTAACATGCAACTCCAGTTACAAAATGCTGTTGGGCCTTCACTCCGAAGAACGGCAATGATAACACAATATGTTAATCTAAGCAGTACATAGGAAGGTAAAATACAAAAACGGAACAAAATTTTTATCCTAGATTGACGCTAATCGGCTTTTTGGGAACCTGTTTTTGTACATAAAATAAGAATTCGCTCTAGTGTGACCAGGGGCCCGTTTCTCGAAAGTCCCGATAATTAACGGGCCCGGTAAGCTGTCTCCGTTTATATTAAACATCGAGGTTTCAATAGGTTTGCATCTAACATGATAAAACTGTCAGTTAATGAAACTAAATGGAGTAGTTTGCTAGCCAGGACCCTCTCTCTTATTCTTTATATTTCGATTTGAATATTTGATTTCGGGCCCGTAAAGTTACCGGGACTTTCGAGAAACGGGCCCCAGGGCCTTACTTGCCAATTTTTTAAATTTTCCGTTATGAATTACAGCCACCTTGGAAATCATATCAGTTGCAGATGGAGGAACCGCAATCCGAGGGGAGGCGTCTAATCGCTACATTGGAATGGCTGATGATGGCAAACTCGCTACTCGTGTAAGTATCAAATGCAGTCGAATCTCCATATGCTTCGGCCGTCCACTGCTTTTAAGTACACCAAATTTCCATCCAGTCAAAGCTCTGAAGAGTAGTTATATTAATCCTTAATGGTAGGTGACAAGTGATGGCATTTAGCTAAAATGAAGTTAAGAAATTCTGCAGATCAGTTCTTTTCTATAATTCTTTTTGTTTTTCATCGCGTTTTTGTTTGTCAAAATATGTGATAAAGCCAAAGTAAAGTTTTAGTACTTTTATTAGTACTCGGACGATTATGTTAATAATCATAACTATAACAAAATTCTCAAATCTGATTGGTTCTCAACTGCCCTGATTTCAGCCTTAATTGGACAGTTTAATAGAACAGTACGCGTCATGCCTAAGTAATTGGACAGTACGCGCCATCACGCGCGCGCTTAAATGGCTTTTTTTTCACTGCTAGCAAAACAAAATTTCGAATTTCTTGTGTTTTGGTTTAAAAAATAGCCTAATGTATCACAAATTTTGTTAAAGTTATGATTAATTGGTAACAGAACTTTGTGTCGTCGATTCGGTCTGTAATCATACTCGTGATTAAACAAATCGGACTCCCGCTACGCGGTCGTCGTAATTGGACAGTAGGGAGCTTAAGCAACAGCGTTTTTGGGCGACGGACGTCAACCGGAAGTGGACTTTTTGCATCACTGGGGAATGATTTACAGAAACCGGTAAATCGTCTTAAAAGAGAAAAGAAACTCAGCAATACAAGTTTGTTAGCGTCAAGGCATATAAAAAGGGAGTCCTGTTACCATTACTCAAAATCATAACTATAACAAAATTCTCAAAAATCTGATTGGAATATCTTGTGCCCTGATTTTTCAGCTTTATATTAACAAATTTTGGAGGGGTTAATAGGACAGTGCGCGTCATGTCCCTAAATCATTTGATTAAACAAAGAATCCCGCCATCATCGTCCGCGCTAATCACTCGTATGATTTGTATAAATGGCTTTTTTTCACTATTGGCAAAAAGAAGATCTTGGAATTTCTTGTGTTTTGATTTTAAAAACGAGCCTTATATATATATATAACAAATTTTGCTAGGGTTTTAGTTAATTGGTGACAGAACTTCGTGTAGTCCAATTCGGTCTGTAATCATACCCGTGATTAAACAAATCGGACTCCCGCTACGCAGTCGTCCGATTTTGTTAATCACTCGTATGATTACACACCGAATTGGACTCCACTCAGTCCTGTTAGGTATTCTTGATAACGTAACTGATAAATATAGTTTTTACTAAAATAGCGTTAATAAATTGGTGTCAAAAACCAGGTTAGAGTTACTCGAAGAATGCTTTTCGAGAACAATTTGAGGCTGAAAGTGAATGAAAACATGCCTTACTTGCTGTCGTAAAAAAGGAGCTTAAAACAACGTTGTGATCTTTCAACAGAAGTCTTTAACGGAGGATTGCATATTCAGAGAACATCGTAGCTTTAATGGTTACAGCGTTTTTAAATCCAGTTGTCACTCTGGGTGGTACCTTGCACTGAGTAAAGATGGCAGAGCGAAGCCTGGACCTAGAACCGCTCCGGATCAAACAGCTGTACAGTTTTTCGAGGCAAATTTTGATGATCATGCGTCATGGCTACTTGGTCATTCAAAACCTTTGGTTTTCAAGGCACAAACGTTTTTGAAGACTGACTAGTACAAGGATTTGAGACTCGTTAGAAATGTAAGATCAGTCCTTTTAAAGCCAAATAGACATGGGGTTTGCCACTCTAAAGTAGGAAAAAACTCGATGAGGATGCCAATTTGATCACTTGAAATAAACAGTTTTCTTTTCTACTGCTAGCCTGAATTTCATCCGATTACATCGAGTCGTTATAGGAGAAAACGACTCAAAGCAATCGGATGAATTTCAGGCTATTCTACTGCTTGAAATTTCCAAAATGAAGTTGTAAAAAATAATTTTTTAAACGGAAAATAAGTACAGGTGTACATGTCCTGTTATTCCTATAATGCCGATTGTTTTATCTTTAACTTCAAAAATTGGTCCAAAAGAAATGTAGCTGTATACCTTTTTACTGTAATGAAGCAAGGCAAATAAACATGATGATGATGATGATGAGCTGATGATGTTGTTGATAATGCAACCTCGTTCCCAGGTTCTCTCCTACCCGTCGAGATGATGGTGCGTTTTACTAGTTGCAAAATGTCTTTTTTGTTTGTTTGTGTACATGTTCCGTGCTCCAAGATGCCGAAAAGCGGATCGAAGAGCGAAAAGTACGAAATCCTGGGCGCTTTCCATTTAGGAAAAAAACCCGGAAATTTCGGTGGTAGCAAAAGTGGCATTTCCGATTGGTAAAAAGTTGTTCCATTTGGTCGTCAACCCCGGTACGTGGCGGTGCCCGACCGTGGACCTGGAACTGGTACAAACTACGAGAAACGTAAATGGAACACGACATTCCGTTCGGAAATTCCAACCGGGAAAACGGGACCACCTTTTTAGATTTTCCACTTTTTCTGGGAATTTTCCAGTAGGACGAACCGACGAAACGTGTTTCATTTACCGCCGAACCGGAAATTCCGGAAATTTTGACTACCGTATTTATTCGATTTACCGCCCTGGGCGCTTATTAAATTTTTGTACCTTGAGAGTGGGCGCTTATTCGAGGTGGGCGCTTATTCGAGGCTGGGCGCTTATTAAATTTTCACCATTTTCAGCAAGTGAAGTATGTTTATTTTGCAACAAAACAATAAATGCTAATAACAAAACGCGAAGAAGTAACAAAGCAAGGTTTCTGTAAAATACTCTGAAAAAAAACTCAGTCCTTGGGGAAGTCTCTTATTGGAAATTATTCACTTAAGTGGATGGGGTGGGGGTGAGTGCTTATTTGAGTTTGATTGGGGGGAGGAGGGGGTGGGCGCTTATTCGAGGCTGGGCGCTTATTATCTTTTTCTGCCTTTAGGATGGGCGCTTATTCGAGGTGGGCGCTAATTCGAGGTTGGGCGCTTATTCGAATAAATACGGTAAATGGAAAGCGCCCCCTGCTTCAGCTTTTTTCGCTCGTTGAGGCAATTACCAGGCCCGGTTACCAGGCAAGCGAAGCATCCAACGCAACTGACGAGTTCTTCATAATTGTAAAGCCCGGGGGGAGTACTTTATTGTAAAGCAAGTCAGGAGAACATTGTAGTGCCTTTGCAAAATTATATTTCTGTCTATAATGATAGCGAAACACCTTCAAAGTGAACTGGAAGTTATCCACAAAAAGTCCGACTCCTCTTGGAATCTATTTTCACACCGACGTTAAATTCTTTTTCCTGGTTCAGCGGAATGGAAGGGGACGATGCCGGGTTCAAGACACGTAAGTAAAATTTGAAAGATGATTTAGAATGCTTCGTGATATACTGGGCTATTGCCTATAATATCTGTACCCCGCCCCCTCCCCCCGGTTGTGAGGAGGTGCCTTTTCTTCTCACCCCTGAGATCCCTGAAGACTGAATAAAATTACATTTACCCCTGAAGGCGTTCATAAAACATTGATCACTCCCCTGAAACATGGGTCTACCCCTGAAATATATGGTTCTACCACTGAACAATTTCATGAAAATTAAAGCTTCACCCCAAAGAATTGCATTTGTTTACTCTACGTCCGTTAAGAAATCCTCAAGTTATTTTTATTGCATACCCCTGAAGGAATTCCATTGTCCTCAACTGGGTGGGGGTACAGATATTAAAATTTAATGCAATAGCCCATTTAATTCCCAGAGGTATATACCTTATTTTCTCGATTTAACGCCATGCCCCAAATAAACGCAAGGTCTTGGAGGGGTAGTTGTGGATACCCCCCGCCCCAGATGTTTATTTGTGGTATACTTAACAAATGCTATAAAGGCAAAATACATGGCTGTCAAGAAAAAGGCCTAAAAACTGTGCTTTAGTAACAGTAAGCCTGAATAAAGTGCAAATTCAAACAAATGCCGGTCCACAAGGCCAAGTTTGAATTAACCGCTGGGGGCGTTTAATTGAGAAAATACGGTTCCTAAAAACTTTATTTATTATTTTATTTCAATGCTTATTTTTCTTTTTCTATGTACAGTATCTAAACTTACACTGTCGCTATACTTATAGCTTTATTGAGCTAAATACATAAGTGCATAAATGCTCTTAAATTATCGTCACGTATGCATAAAAAATATATTGAATAATGACAAAGTAACATGAAATAATATAGCATTTCTTAATTTATGTATAAATACAAATGAAATACTATGTTAGCTTCTGTGCAAACACATAATGTCTTTATACATGTTTAAAATAACATGAGACTGTGTGTTTCCAGAAAACATCCCTACCACACCAACTACAGCTGCCATTTTTGAACTCTGAGGGAAGTGGGGGTGAGAGGTTCTTCAAAGAGGAAATCTGAAGTCTTTTGGGGGGATACTTCACTATTGGTCAGGTAGCCTGCATTGTTGAAGTTGTTAATTCACTAAAGCTACCAGACTGGCTCATGAGCCTCAACGGGCCCTACAAAATACTGGGATTCGATAATTCATGAGGTTTAATAATTTCCATAATTTTCATGATTTTAGCAGAGTTTATGAGCTAGCCTTCCACGAACCCATTTGAACTTCTTGTGCGGTTTTTAATGTCAGTCTTGCAGAATGTTGCAGTTCTCACAGTTTACTCCAGGGCCTTTCATAAACCATTTATTAACACCCATCGCCTTTTGAAATTTTGTGATTCTTGTAAGTTTTCTCAGGTTTTTGTGGTTTTGCTAAGGTTCTTCTACAAAGCTTTTGCATATTTCTAGTATTTTTTGCCTAGGCCTCATAGCATTTCATCATTCTTTAACATAAGCTCTAAATTTCTTTGTAATTATTGAATTTTGTTACTGGCCTTGAAAAATTTCAAAGTTTTTTTATTTTTGCTAATATGGTACCGTAATGTTTTTCTAGGAAGGTTTTAGTGACAATGACCACTAGATACAGCGTAGTATTCTGTAACCATAGCAACTGATCATCAAATTTTTCCTGGTAAAAATTCCACTGCTCTCTGACCTGGAGCAGTTTTAGGCCCAGGCTTTGCTCTGCCATCATTTCTCAGTGCCAGATACCACCCGTTATGGAGCCTGGATTCAAATGACATGTAGCCATTGTTGTGTAGATGTTCTTTAAACACACAGTCCTCCATCAGAGAATTCTGGTAGACACAGATAGAAGAGAAAAATTGCCATTAGCCATTATTAGTGATCTATGTCTCAAGAACTGATATGTGGAGTGAAGGCTCACTCTTTTGCACAAACCCCAGGGGTAGTCAACTTCAAGTTTTATACAGGGAGGCTTTGCCCAGAGGTCCATGAACCCTTACTCTTTTAGAAGCCATTTCTGACAGAAAATCTACCTCTTTCATATACCTTCCTTTTACAGATGGTATCACCTTAACATACCTAGTTTAGAACTTAGCGTCCATTTTACCTGCTGTAAATGCACATATGAATAATCAGAAAACCTGGTGATTTTCTCAACTTTTTCACAGCCGTAAAATCACATTTTGTTAGCCCTTTTAGATACTTGTACCGACCTAAATGACAGATTTCCCCATCTTTCCATATACTTCAACTAGGGTAATCCCTACCTCCCTGTATAGGTCATTAAAGAGATTACACCCCCCATAAACGAAAGATAACAGTTTTTTTCTGTAATGTTGATGCTTCTAACAGTCCTCTAAGTAAAAGTCACTGAAATATTTCCATTCAAAAACAGCAATTTATTTCATACCAATTACTTCATCAGGGTTGAACTTATGTGGCCATGTACATTGTGAATTCACCATAACAATAGTAAAAAAACTATAAATGGAGTAGGAATGGTTTATTAAAACTAAAATCAACTGAAGCACCTGTATAATTATGTTTGGCTCGCCTTATTTAGATTTTCCACGGGCAGTCCTGCGCAAATTTTATGTCCATTGAAAACATATCAACAAGCAGAAAGTGCCACGTGACCTGATTTTCCTAATCATCTATAAAATGAACCATTCTGGCCATGTTCATGTGAGAGGCAGTTAAAAGATTTCAGCAAATACTGGCTTTAGTATCTAACATATGACATTTCATCAACCCAATATAATTTTCTTTTGTTTCCTAATCTTGGTGTTCAGGGCCTAGTGCCAATATTTTTGCCTATATTTTGCCACTCCTGTTACGTCCAGTCTCGCTAGACTTTTTCGAATAATGTAAAGGTCGACATTTACTCCCACACAAGCATTTAAAAACTGGCAGAAATGTTTCTCAATCACCAGTCATTTCTTTAAAATACCACTAAGAAACGGTTTAGAGAAAATTTCTTGTCTTGAAAGGTCTTCCTTTGTTGTGTATTACTGGGGGATGACTTTTTAAGATAATAAAACTAAGTCCTCTACTCTTGGTGGCGATGTCATATTGGTGGCGAGATGGTTTGGTGGCAAGGTGACCAGACCACCATCCCACCAGGTATGGGGGCTAACCATTCCTAGTAACAAACAGGGCTGGGTTGTTCTATCCAGTGGGCAAATCTCTATCCAGTGGACAGCACCATTCGTTTCCCTAATAATACTTATCCGCTGGATAGTGGTTTAACCAGTGGATATACAACTGGTGCCAGGTGGTTTAATACTTACGTAAGCTATCAGGTTTCCATTGTTATCCATTCCAATGTATCTGTTAGCTGACTCTCCACGTAAAACAGTTTCGCCTGGAGCAACTGACATCATTTCAAGTATGGCTAAAATTGAGAAATTGTCTTTTAATCATTATTTTTTTGGAAATATCCTTTTTTTACGTGCCGGATTATTGGAGATAACCCGCTCGATGGGCATAAACGCCCCCACTCATCGCATGCTACTCCCCACACGTGTTCAAACAGAATGAAGCCACTATGAAATGTTTTGTATTTCCAACGCGTTGCGTTTTCTCCAGATAGAAGGCAATTTTACAGCATGCCTGATCCTTAAAAATTCATTCCAAAATTTCTTGATAACTCTCTGATGGATTTGCTGATACTTTGTGAACATCGAGGCGGCTATTGGAGTTACAAGTTCTCGCGAATGATTTTGATAAAAACGTCACAGTGCCAAGAATTTAGACTGCAAGTTAAATTGGTAAGAATGTCATTATGTTGCTATGGCAACTGTTAATTTAACACAAATCATAGAAAATTTTCATCTCCCTCTAATACATCTTTGGTGATTTGCTACCATTTTTCACTATTTTTGTTGATAGAGATGTGGTGAAATAGGTATTGCCCGTTAAAATTCACCCGAACCACCTTACCAAAGTTATAAAAAATTGAACAGGAATACTTTGAATAGGCGTTGCCCTTTGAGTGGCTACCCCCTGTGCTCAAAGTTTTTGTGTTGATTATGATATATTTTTGTTTAGCAAACAGTGTTAGACAGTGTTCAGTGTTCAGTGTTTTCACCAAAATAAAGCTGGCATAAGGATATCGTGCTGCTATCAGTCCTAAGAAGATTTAAAAGTCAGTGCTCTTGTTTGAATTAAACGTATCAAAAAGCAACAAGATTGAGACGGCCTAGCTAGGCCTGTTGTGAAAAATTTGTGCCGGTCACTCCAAAACAACCCGGCCCGAGGGCTAATTCCGTCCATAATTGAGCTCAATGTTTGTTTGCTTGTAAGACAAATTAATTTGTACTTACTATTAGCATCGCCTGTTACACTTTCACTACCATTCACTGCGTTATCCGTTACTCGCAAGGCCAAGCCATGGCGGGAAATTAAGGTTGTTTTGCGTACAGCGTTTGTTACAACTTGTTGAGAAGTCATCATGCTTTATTCAGCGCTTGTCGAAGCGCTGTACCTGCTTACAGTGCCTTCAGAAGTGAACACAAAACCTCTGCGGGATCCAGCTTAATAAATTCTTCAAAGAAGGCTTCTTTTTCAAATCATCCTTTCTCAGCTGGTCTGTTGCCCTTAAAACGAAAAACTAAGACATAACACGGAAATATCTCGAAGAGTTTGTAGGCAGTTGGTGGAGGTTACAAAAACCTAGTCTGCAATCGCTTCAATTATTTCAGCAACCACGACACAATAGCCTTTTCTGTTTATGAGTTTATTTGCATTGCTTATTGACGACTCATGCATATAAAGGCGTTTTGAATGTCAAGATTTAAGAGTGCAAGGGAGCCAACAGACTGCAAGGTGGCCGTCAAATCAGTTATTAAACATGGCATAATTTCCAACGGGAATTCTTGATGTCCCGTTTCTCCGGTTGTTTTCCTTTCTCATTTTGCTTACTCGCAAGTCTGTAAGGAAAAGAAAAATGAAAAGGCCTCATTGTAATCAACAAGAACGTTTGTTAAACAAACAGCAGGGGAAACTTCATTGTTTATCCACTCTGGAGTGTTAGAAAGAACTGTTTTAAGCTAAAGCAACAATTCATTTATTTTTTGCTGAGCGAACAGTCTCGAAAAGGTCCTTAGATTATTGCTGAAGTCATGAAAAGTTTTTGAAAGCTTGCTAACAACCCCGGGGGGGGGGTACTTTAGGAATTTCTGGGTGGGGATGTGCCGCTGGGAGCCTGGAACCCTTAACCTTTACCAGAGCTAGTTCAGCTGAATTTTGCTACCCTATACTAGAGTAAAATCCCCAAATCCCCCTATCCTAGAGTAGCTGTGTACCTAGTCTAGATAAAATCTTCAACCAACTGATCAGTTTCCTGAAAAATGATACCCTATTCTAGAGCCAAACGCTCTGATTTATATACCCTATCCCAGAGTAAACTGCTTGAAAACCATACCCTTCACAGCGGCACATACCTATATAGCCCATATATGGCAGTACCCCCCCCGGGCTAACAACCTGATAAAAATATAATGAAACTCATAAACTGTTGCAATCTTCCGTTGAAGAACGAAACAAGCAGCTTCGTCGTTGTCTCATAAGTACTGGATCGTTATATGGAAGCGCAAAGTTGCAACTTCTAAGGTTCAAATACGCCGATTAACATGTTGAACGTTGTTCACGAACGCAGTTGAACGAAAGAGATATGCGTTCTATCCCATTCAACCAGTTGGCTCTTGTTGAACGGCGCTAACCAATCGTTTTCCAGTCTCAAGTTCACATGACTTGAAAGGGATTCATGTTGGCGTCTGCTGCTGGTGACTGTGTTTATAGTCATTCAACAAGTCGCAACACTGTTATTTTAAAAAGAAACTACAATATCAAGTAACATTCGTACACGATATTGATCCGTGTGTCGACAGTTACGAGAGCTAAATATGTACCTTTGTGTGTAATATGTCTGTTTTCAAATTGTTTTTTAATGAACTCATGTAAACATCTGAGACTACGTGCCCAATTAAGAACAACTGATTTTAACACCAGCTGCAACTTCTTATGGTTTAAAGTGAATTTATTCATATACAAACTTTTAGCGTTCGTGTTAACATTTTAGCTTCCTGTCGGAATCCTGCTGTTTCTTTTCTCATTTGAATTGAAAAGTGGCTTTTTTGATTAACAGTGGAAAAACAAGAGCATGCCTCGTGGCGCGATGGGAAACCTTTGCCAAGTATAAATATAGAAGAGAAGAAAGGAAAAAGAAAGGAAAAGAAAAGGAGAACGTGTAGTTATATGGAAGAAAAGTTTATTTATATTTCGGTTTGATTAAAAAAAATCTCAGAGAAAACAGCCAGAGTCTCTTTTATGAACAATTGCTCAGTAATGAGAGAACTTTTATCTTGGAAATTGATTTTACAGATAACTCTAAAAATTTTCGTTTAATATTCTTTCCCGCAAAAACGTCAACATGGTGGCAGAGAATTGACTCGGGTATTTGCATATTACAATATTTCCTATTCAAACCTCGATTCTGTTTGTCAGTTGTCAAAATTCAATGGCACAACGCCATAAAAGATCCGTGCATTTGGGAATCATTATGTATCTTTTACTCGATATTGTGATTAAATATCAGACTTATAAAAGGAGCACTTAAGGGCTTTCAGTGTTCCGCTTTATATAGTCTCTGATGCATGCCAGATACTACAGAACGCCAAATTTTCAAGCACATTAAAAAAAAAAAAAAAAATTGGACACCTGCCTTCGAATATAGCTTTCTGTCAATAAAGAAAAAACGACGTATAAAAACTATCCATCCTTCTGAATTGTCCATGTACGCTTCCAAGTCGTCTCATAAGCGTCTGAAAACCACAGAGCAGAGTCCTACAATCGAATCTTGAACGGCATTTATCTCTTTATTAATAACCGGCCAAATGGAGCAATTTACATGGACCGGTTGAATAAAATGCATGTTTGAAATCTTGTTTCCTCGCTCTCTGCATGGCAGTAGCAAATATTAAAAATTACTGTGAAATTATTATTCACACAAAAACTTCTTTTTCTTCGGAATAACCGCCTGATTTCAACATTAACGTTTCTTGAAGCTCGTAACTGCCTTCCCCCCTCTTCTTTAGGCGATAAACCAAAAATACGACCAATATTACGGCACATGCTGCGCCAGCCAGTAGAGCCACCAGGATTTCAATGGTTACAAAACCGAACAAAGTCTTCTTTCTCGGCGAAGGATCTTTCTGATTCGCTACGTTACCTTCCTTTGTGGTTGTTTCAGTTGTCTTGGTCGGTGTTGAAGTCGGCTCTATTAAACTGAAACTCGACGAAGTGCTCACCACAACGCTTGAAGCTCTAGTGACTCGTGTCACCAAAACGGATGCACTGAAAGACGCTTCCATGCTCGCAAAAACGTTCGTGTGGCTCTTGGTTTTTGTATCAGAACTGCCATGAATAGTAGACAAAGACGGTGTTGAAAAGTCTGATTTGCTCGCGCTAACATCGAGTAAAACACTCGTAGAAACAATAACATTAAATGTCGTAATGCCCATTAGAGGAGTCGAACTAGCAATCGCTGTAGAATTAAACGATACTATTTTGTCCAGCGAGCGCGTAGAAATGTCCGATGTTATTGTACTGACGAATACCGTACCGAGGCTTGAACTGTTCAAATGTTGTTTACCGCCGCCATCCGAAGAGGCAGCGGGCTCGTCAGCTTGTATGTCGCTGTCGTGGTCGTTTTCGTCGCCGCTTCCTACTGCCCTTTTTACTCGCTCGCCATCCTCGTCATCGATGGTATAAGATTCCGTTTCGCCCTTATCATATTTATTCTCTCTTCTCTCGACCTGTTTATGGTAACTCGATACATCGAACAGATCATCTTCATTTAAAATGAAAGCCTTTCTCTCTTGTTCGCTTCCTTTGTTGACGTTTTCCCCAAGCGCCGGATCGCTGGCTCCAATAGGAGCAATTTTGCAATCGAAACAGCCATATATCACCAGAATACAAACGACAGATCTAAAGGGCTTCATGGAAAATGTCATTTTGATTCGGTGATGCTTGAACGAGTGATAGAAATGTTAATTCATCTCCTGTATCTGTCCACGGTTCGCGCCTCGCGTCTTGGCTTGCCTTTTGCCAAGCTCAATGCTTGAATTCCTGCGAAATTTCCTTCACACCTTGTAATATTTAATTGCCTTGCCCTCTGTGGTGCGAAACTTGTCTTTCTCCAACCGATTTGCACTTCTTTAATTCCTCTCTACGCACACTGTACGCATGTTTACATTTTGCGGTCTCGCCGTATTCCGCAATGCAAAAAGGAAGTCTGAACAGTGCGAAACACAATAGTCACGGCTGAAAGTTCGCACAATCATATGGCACAATGAAAGGAATATTCAGTTACGTGGACTTGACAATGAGTAAACTGAATTTATTATTTCAGTGTCATTACAATGACAGGTATTTCGTGCAAACACCATACAGGCGGACGAATGGGCTGATTAATTCTTTTTATGCTAATTAAATTGTACTTTAGTTTTTAGCGGACTTGACCCCCAATCTTTCATCAGCGTTCATTATGTTTATTTTCATTCTCTAAACCTCTTTGACTTTGTCTTTTTACGAGTCTGTTATTAAAAGAGGGAAATCATTAAACTGGCTAAAAACAGATTTAAAGCCGATTTAAAGTCATAAATAAACATTGACGCTCTAAAATTTTAATTTTGCGTTTTTGTTGATAACATCTGCAATGCAGTATTAAAAGCGTTCTAAAAATTGTCTGCAGGTCTCACGGATAACCTTAGATAATAAATACTCAGGTTATGCCAACATAAAATCGTTTTTGGGCTGTAACAGCGGTTCAGTTATCGGCCAGGCATTTTAATTGACATTTGAAGAACGAATTCATTTTTGTTCCTCTGCCTGTTTCAAGTGAATTAAATTTATCAGTCTTTAAATAATAATCTTAGGCTTCTTTGAAAACTCCATCACAATGTTTTGTAAATAATTAATGCCATAATTTGTTTGGGGTATGTTCTCACCGTTTGATTTTGTGTAATGCTTTGTAGCATATTTTAATCGTATATAGTTCTTCTTTGTTCCAATGCCCCTCTTTTGAACGTCATCTTTTGAGGAAGTCAACACATTCTTTATGCGCTCAATCTCTAAATATGGATACCCTTTGATGTTTGTCAAGTAAAAAGCACCTGTCTTCAAGACTTTGACACAACAAATTTAGCCTAAAATATAAATAAAGACCCTTGCGTACATAATCCATCCCCCGGGGGGGGTACTGCCATATATAGGCTATATAGGTATGTGCCGCTGTGAAGGGTATGGTTTTCAAGCAGTTTACTCTAGGATAGGGTATATAAATCAGAGCGTTTGGGTCTAGAATGTCTAGAATAGGGTATCACTTTTCAGGAAACTGATCAGTTGGTTGAAGATTTTATCTAGACTGGGGAAACAGCTACTCTAGGATAGGGGGATTTTGGGAGTTTACTCTAGTATAGGGTAGCAAAATTCAGCTGAACTAGCTCTGGTATAGGTGAAGGGTTCCAGGGTCCCAGCGGCACATCCCCACCCAGAAATTCCTAAAGTGCCCCCCCCGGGATCCATCCCTTATCTCAACAGCGGTTCGCAAGAAAGTGCGATTCTCTGGCGTGTAAGTTCCTGTGACGTTGGCTCTACATGGAAATAATTTCGGCGAGTAGAAATAGTATTTTCGATAAGTTATAACGGACCCTAGTCATTCGAAAGTGCCTTGAAATATGCAGGCATTGGTAGCACCCTTAAACTTCTAAGGCAGTCTTATTGCGAAACTGAATTGATACAACTACCATGCCTTTGAATTTCTCCCGGATTTTAACCCGCGATAAAAATTTAGATTGTATATCTTTTTTGTTTCCAGGAGACCCTCTGGTACAGTGTAGATAAAGTAACAGCTAGTGCTTGCAATACAATAATAATACTCGAAAACGCCAATAGGGAAGTACTCGAGGCATCACTCATGATGCTCGAAAACGAAACCCACCCAATCGAAAAAGACGCATGCATGCGGATGTGCATGAAACTGATGTAACCCGGCTCATACGCGTGGCCTATGCGTTCGGATCACGTGTCACGTGGTCGGGCCGTTCGTCTCGGTGTCACCGAAAAATGCATTGCTCGAGAAGGCCTGGGAAGACGCTTTGCGGGACTTGCAAGGACTGCGTAAATGTTACCCCAAAACGAACCACCTCGCGCTAACTAAATGAGGTACGAAAATAACATAAGCCTAATCGGCTTAAGGTTTTGTTTTCGTTATTTTTTTGTTATGTTACGTTTGATTAGTAGAGTTCCTGTATCTTCAAGTATTTTTAAAACCTCTTGTTCTTTTCACTTTAAACCAGGAGCCCATGGGCTCCTGCTTTTAAAAACTCTCGGCATTTACGTTTACTTTCAATGGTGAACATTTCGAATCTCCGGGTTACTAGAAAGGCGTGTGCGTCAGTGATCTTTTATTTGTCTCTTACCACGGAATGGCACAATAAACCCGGCACTGAAATGACATTTCTTTTACCCACCCTTTGGTTTTGCATTGTTGCGGAATTCTTTTAACCCCGCTCCGCTGGTTCAAACAAATCAAGAGGACTGTATCCTTCGATGTAACAACACGATTTAATGAAATCCGACAATCTACTGCGATGTACAATTCTCACATATTCACATATTCAACGTTCGTAACACTACGATCAACTATCAACGTAACTAAACGATCAAGGATCAACGATCAACTAAAACATTCTAAGTGTACAGTGGTTTTTCTACTATCCTTGCGTAAGGCAGTATTTTTACATTAATCACATTTACAGTAAAAGTTCCCATTGTAATGGATCTAAATTAAGTGACTATTACAAAATCGCACGTTCTTTCACCTTATTTAGCCTAAGAAAATGCATGCAGTTACATCATTTTATATCGTAAATATACTCGGACTTTGTCTACATTATTGTGAAATCTAATGTCACGAAATCTAACTTCTCTGCGCTACAAATGTCAATTTCTTATTAATATTTATTCACAAAGTAATAAAGTTAAGCATCACCTATTTCTTTCCCGACATGCACGTTTTTCTCGTGCTACCTTAAACCGCGAGCATTCTCTTATTTTCTTCAAAGTCACTGGAAACGCATTTTTAGTGCCTACGTGCTCACTCCGTCTGAGAACTCGACGGATCTAAGAGAAAAGGTGGATTGCCAGCAGTCTCGTGCTACCGGGGTATAAAAGGAAAAAAACATAAAATAAGTCATGGCGTTATTGTTTTCTCAACCGACAGGTTACTTGATAATGTATTACTCTGGAGAATTATCTCAAATTTCGCTTCATTCACGTGCATATGTACGCATAGTTCATAAAAAGATTGAGGAAAACCTCCTTGATGCCGTCTCTTGACCCGCACTAGGAAAAAAAAAACGTACAGCCGAGAGAGATGTTTACATAATGGCATTGCCTAGTACCAAGATAGGGCCGTCCGCCGGTATGGAGTTTATCAGTTCGCCCCATATAAGGGAATCCAAGACAGTCATAATAGATTCTGGATTCCACGCCGTGGATTCCGGATTCCAGGTACTGGATTCCCGATTTTTTTTTCAGTTGAACCTTAGAGTCCGGATTCCAATCGTTAGAGGGATGCTGCATGTTCCGTAAGCTTTATTCCGGATTTCAAAGCCCAGGGTTTCAGATTCCACTGCAAAAATGGCTTGGTTCCGCGAGCTAAAATTTCCCGAAGATTCCCTCACATGGGCGAATCAGAAGGTATAACGGATACGCTATACCAGAGACGTTTGACTGAAATAGACTCTCGCTATTACGGACTCATGCTAATGAGGACACTAACTCGAAGTCCCCATAGTGTCCGCAATTAAAGGGAGTTGACTGTAGTAACTGACCTTACATGGGGCGGCTGGCGGGAATGGGAAGACCCTTGACACTAACAGGCAACTTGCGAGTGAGCGGGAAAGCCGGGAAAGGGAAATGTAGCACTCTTTTTCTTTCCACTCTCCTCGCTGTCGCGTCTCCTTCGCGTAACCTCTCACGATATCTTCAGATAGAGAGCTTCACGAGTTTACTCTAACTAGCCAGCATCGCTGTTTTTTCCCTCTTTTCAGCTTTAGGACGATCAACGCCAGTCAACTATAATCTACCCTCACCCTTCCCCACACACCTCTCTGCAGCAATGGTTCATTTTTGCGCCTCAGCTCCCCCTCCTTGTCGCCTACGGGCTCACCTCTTTGCACAACTGACCTTAATCTGGAGCGTTTAGGAGTAGGAGCTCCCTGTGAGCCAGAATAGCCCGCCACGTTCGTTATATTACAATTCAAACTTGAATCCGAGGCTTTCTGGTCATTTTTCTATATTTGGTTGGGCTTTCTTTGTGCTTAATTCTCTTCTGGGAATTGCGAGACAATGGAGTCGTGAAAAATTTGCAATTGTGCTCCTAAAGCCTCGGAGTCGTGTTAGAATTTTAATATATCGAACGTGGGCTATTTGTAACAACCATGAGACTGCAGAACCAATTGGTAAAGCTGGCATGTTATTTTTTTAACAAGGCTTCATACAGAGTGCAACTCGATGCATATTCAAAGCATTTTTTTTTTCAGTTATCTGGAGCTGGTTACATCTAGTTGTTGCTGGTCTAACAGCCTGATAGAATACTAATCTCACCAGTAGTCTGCTAAACTGTGTATGGTGTCCCACCTAGCATTTTTTCTTTTCAGAAGTTTTAAGTCAAAGCTCTGCTTGAAATAAAGACTTTGAATAATCATTTTAAGATCATGTTTTCTTTTAATTTGAAAATGTATTTCTACTAACTTTTTGCCTCAAATAAACCAACGTTATTATTATCATTATTATTATCATTATTATTGTTACTACTGTCACCAATATTATTATTATTATTCTGATCAAATTATAGGATGGGTCGATGCTTGGTTTGCCCGGTAGTCAGCCATAAGCGTTATAGTCATTATTACCACAGTAGCGAAGATTACATTCGCCTGCAGGTGTAGTAGTAAGATTGTACACGTAATATGAACCACAATTTCTCACTTGGACATTTATTGCCCATTCACAACATGTCCTCGCCCTGCGTACACGCGTCTTGCTCCCATAAAAACACACTTGCCGGGTGACCGGCCCTTCTTTTATGTTGGGGAGTCCACCGTTCAACCAGCCGGTCGCATAAGTGTTACACCTCTCTGTTTCATATGGACATGTTGTTGCCATGTTATCTCCAGCTGCACCCTCGAAACGGAACCATCCGGGTCCGATTCCATTGTCACATTGATGACTGGTATAGCTATAGTTTAACGCCCTGTCTCTGGATCTAAGACTCACATAGCCGTTAGGTACGTTGGTCTCAGACTGGCATTCTGACATTAAAAAATAAATAAATAGAAAAATAGGAATGAAAAAAGGTCAGTTACTAAGCATTGGATATTTTTGTTTGACTCTTTTTTTTTTTTTTTTTACTGTACAGTAACAGAGCTGAACTAATAGCGCCGTGTTTCTTTTAAACGCCCTGTTCTCTTAATACGCGACGGCGAGAACATCGAGTTTGCGTTCTTTCAGTCTTTATCGCGATTATCCCTACCCACTTACTTTGTCAAATGCAGGCGAACCCTTCTGAAGTTGAATTAGCCTGTTCCAAGGGACCAGATATGGAAGCGGTTCCAAAAGATGAAAAAAACTCGCTTTTATTTTTTCTTTTTGTATCTGAACGCCTGGAACAGGCTATTGAATTCCAAGGGACCATATCCAAGTTCCGAAATAGAAAAAAAATTCTGTCGTTGCTTGTTAACGTTCTACATAAAACGCGAAATTAGGTATTTTCGCGTGGTAGTCGTGCAAAAACGACAAAGAAATATACAAAAGAGTGTGCTGCACGAGAAAAGTTGTTGTTTTGCTAATTATAAACTATTGATTTTCTTGACGTTTTCGTTGCCGTCGCGTCGTTGGATCTTAAAGTCCCTAATGTATTCTCCAAAGGCCTAAATGCTGGCTCTTGCTATTCAACTCATCCGCCACCATGAATCAACACGGCGGCATTCGATGAAACAAGTCTGCGTCCCAAGTGAAGTCAAAGGTTCATCACATTACCTAGGAATCGGCCCAATATTGGCCAATAAATTACCTGTTACTAGGATACTGCAAATTCTTCCATCGCCTGTGTATTGATAGCCACAACTACAGATGAAGGATCCTATTGTGTTTGTACATGAAGCAAGTGTCCTGTGGCAGTCGTCAGTGCCGCTGGCACACTCGTCAATATCTATGGAAAGAAGAATACCACTATATACCGTAATGACTCGATTTGGTGCCCTTCTTCGAATAAGCCCCTCCTCTCTTACTATAACTAGTGGTCACGTCTCTCACTACCACGAGTTTGTGCTAAGTAGTTATCGTCCCTTAATTTTTTTTTGAGGATATAAGTTTAATAATAGACGTATTTGAGCAAAATAATTCGTTTCATTATGGGACGCTCATTAGCATAAAGGCGCCTATAAAAAACACATTCGAAGAGAAGAGGGTTGCATTAGAGGGGGCGTTAAATAGAATCATTGCTGGATAACGTGTACCTTGACTTAAACGTCTAAGATATATTACTCCTAGAGAGCCGGTTTATGTTTGTGATTTATTTGTTCCCGACTATTATATTTATGATAGCATTACATTTAGAAGATTGGTGTCATGGCATTGCCTATAACATGTTTAAAGGGCCACAGTTTTGTTGTTGAGGTGTAGATTAGAAGTGTCATTTACTTGATTAATAAATAATTCGTTTTTATTTCTTCTTCTTCTTCTTCTTCTTCTTCTTATTATTATTATCATGATTAATAAAGAATTCATTTTTATTTCTTCTTCTTCTTCTTCTTATTATTATTATGGTTTCGTACCGTTGCAGGTGTATCCGTCTCCACTGAATCCGACTTTGCATACACATCTGTATGAACCCACGGTATTTCGGCATTCAGCATTGACACCGCAAGTATAGGCATTAGTAGCACACTCGTCCAAGTCTGAAAGAAAACAAAACAAAAAAAAGGTATAGTTTGCCTTGGAAAGTTAACAGGTTAGTTGATAGGAAACATTAATTAATCCTTGAATTTATCTTTCAATTTTCTCTGCAACGTGCAGTACTTAGTTTTTACGTGAACGGGATCGTGGAAACTTGAGGAATTTTGTGAAGCGTGAAGTCTTCATATTTTTTTACGTGACACTGAGCAATTTACATTGCAAAGAAGTATATGAAACAGACAGCGTCACGAAAAAGGGTTCAAGGTTTCTGCTGTCAATTCTATGAATACCGAGTTGATGGCTAACATTACATGTGTAGAGTATACAGAGAATTTTAGGGTGACAAAAAGACTATCCAGTAATTCATTTTTTTATTATTATTAGTTCAAATGCAACTTCCTTTTCAAGGCCTTCGTGTTTTGGATCGTTGTTTTCTTATTCGATCATTTTAAGGTCGTTTTTTAGGAAGGGTCGTTTTATGAATCGTAGGTCTTCGTTTTAGACTCCCTGGAATATGGCCATTTGCACGCGTGTGGTAACGTGTTTTAAGACCAGAATTGAATTCATTTGGTTTTTTTTCTGTTATAGTTAAAATTTTGTAATCCCAGTTGAGTTTAAATAACAAAATCAAGAAGGCAAAGTCCTATAATGAGTTCTGGTAGTAGGTAAACTGAAATGACTCCATCGTGAAAATAGCCTATTGGGATGAAAACGAAGCGAAAACGAGAGTTAAGTTATATATAGTGTCAGACAGTAGATCACAGAGTATATCTTCTACATAACCCAAAAACTACCTTTAAAGCAGGTGTAGTTGTAGCAATTATCACAAGGCACGTCATTCCAAGTGTAATCATGTCGTAGACCAAGAGTGTGGACGCAATCTTCGTTTTTCCAGTCGTTTGGTTGCTGTGGGGCCCAATGCTCGAAATTGCTTATTTCTTTGTTTGCCCACGCAAATCTACCCTCTACACTTCGGTCATTAAGTCCAATCCAGAGGGTCGTGAAGGGGTAAAATGGGAACTGGGATTAGCCTTATTTTGGATTGGGAAAATGGGATTTACTCACTGGGACTGGGATTTAGCCACTGGGAATGGGATGAACAATTATAAAATGGGAATGGGATTTCTTTTCTTCAGTGGTCTTTGCTCTAATATTTTGAAATAGAAAAATAAAATTTCGTAGCAATAGACCTTGCACTCCTCAGTAGAGACCATGAAATCAGTATTTTTTGCCTTCGTGCCCGCGGTCTAGCTACCAGGCTTACACGGTTGCATAGTTACGTTCTGTCAGTTTTCCTGGTCAGCGGACAAGTTCTACAAGTTTGCATATGGCGGGAAGATATTGTGAAGGGAAGATAAAAATGGCTTCGGAAAAGGTTTCTCGCAAAATGGTACTAGAAATCAAGTACGTCAACGCAAATAACGCCGTTATACACACCGAAAACTCTAAAGTTTTGTTGGATTTAAACTGTAAACTGGTAACTGGGATTCTGGCAAAAATCAGCCTGGGAACTGGGATTTGGGCCAAATTTAGGCTGGGAACTGGGATTTGGTACCCCCCTTCACGACCCTCAATCCAAGATCTCTCGCCGTTGTGACGATGTTGAATATAGACATTTTCTTCTTGGTTGTGAACTGTAACCAAATCGGAACTCATTGCAGTACAGTTTGAATCAGCGTTGAGCCACGAGGCACATCCTCTACTTGTGAAGTAACAGTACCCACCAAAATAGCTCCATACAGTTGGCTGGCAAATATCTGTGATATAAATACAAAACGACAGTGGAATAGCGGCATTTACAATTTCAAATTTGCCAAGTTATCTTGCATTCATTCGTAAGCCGGCCAAAACATTTGAAGAAGCTCTCGTAAGCGACCACCTCGGAAACTCTAAAAAGTGGTTGTAAAGCTCGTCGCTTGGGAATGAGCTCTAGTGGTCGTAAAACAATGAGGGTGGTAGTTGCTTACAGAAAGCATTTATAATTTTAAAGAAAAACAAAATAAATTAATGCTTTCAGTCTTCATATTCGATAAATCCCGGCTAAACTTTCGGGTCGTTTTCGACCTTAGCGCATTAAAGTGTTGAGCAGTTGAATTACTGAGTGGAGCTTTTCATTGCAAAGTTTAAGTCACAGTTCAAACGAGATTTCACAGAGGTGGTCGTCACTAGAGCTGGTCGCTTACAAGAGTGGTCGCAAGTCGACCTTCCACTGGTTACGATCAAACGTCTTGCGACCTTTGACTGGTTACGATCAAACGTAAGGTCCAATACACGCTTACCTTAGAAAAAGCGGCGCTTTAAGAAAATTTACGCCAACAGTCAAATCTTGTGCGTCAAGAAAGAAAAGAACTTCGTGATATCGATGACAAAGACATCACTGCTAAGTTTATCGGTATTTCACTTATGAAGAAAAGACAGATGCAAGAGAGTCGAAAAGAGGCGGCTGTTAAGAGAAGAAATAAAAACCGAAGAAAAGGACTCAGAGTGGCTTTGCTTTTCACTGTTATCTACAATGAGGCGGAGTATATTCGCTGAAAGCAAAACGCGTTTTATTGGCAAGCTTTATAGCATGTACGGTGTAGAATGTTTCTTCAGGGTTTATCTTGAGAAGTTGTTTTCAGGTAAAACCATTTTTTTTTACTAAAATAAAAGTTTCACACGCCCCTACCTGTCATGACAGTAAATGATACAGAGAGTGGGTCGTACTTGGACTCGTACAATTCCTTTACACATATTCGAGCTCCGGTTGTGTTGATGTACTAAAGAAGGAAAGTGAAAGTCAGAACTAAACATCACCCCATATAAGGTAAATCAAGAAAGTCCTGGACTCTGGATTCCAGGCACTGGATACAGGATTCCTTGTCAGTATAACTTGGATTCCAGGACTCTGGATTCCTTAAGCTAAATGCTGGATTCCAAAGCCCAAGTTTCCGGATTGCACAAGCAAAAATGTCCCGCATTCCGGATTCCACTAGCAAAAATTTCCCAGATTCTGGAATTCGGGCCGATACCTTGCATGGGGCGATAAATACATTATTGCAAATATGATTTTTTAAGGCGCCAGTATTATAGATTACCAATTATGTCTCGAAATGTCAAGTGAAACTGGATCTGCTGGTAACAGTACAAATAAATTTAGTTGCGGGCGAAAAGAGGAGCCCGCAGTCCTAATCTCCAGGTTTTTATTACGCATGCATCGAATGTATGTAGCCAGCATTCATTTGGACTTCCACTAAGAATGAATGGAATGCACCAAACGCAATTTGATCGCGCGCGTTTTGACCTTCTTACCCTCGTACTCTGATCACGCGTGTTTTGGCCATCTCTCGCGTGAAACTTACGCAAAGCACAGCGTTGGAGCAAAAGCGTTTAGACCTTTGATCGTTGACGCCCGCACTCCCTAACCTTTGGTTATTATTAGTTTATTGTTGCATTAATGTGGACACAATGTCATCAAGAAGTACGCAATGTTCAGGCTGAATGTTGACGACAATAAAAGAAATTACTTTGTAGTCTATAGGAGCTAGCAAATGAAAGCGTTATTATTTTGTGTATTTGGAATTATTTTTTAACATGGCAGCAATTACACTTCTGATATCAATTTTCCCCATCAGTCTCATTAACACAGGAACGTTTTTACGCAGAAATAACATTACTTTGCGAAGGAACATTTTGTTAAAAGGGGATGACGCCAAAAAAAAGCTGAATTTGAAATGAGAGGTTTTAAAAGTTAAATGACTCTAGGTTGATTGGAGGCAATGAATTACACAAATCAACTAATTTTTTCGGTACTTATTTTTTACAAGTCATTTGGAGACCTCGAAAAAGTTATTGCGAGTCGTCCAATTGACTTCTTCAAAAAGTTCATCAGTCTTCCAGTCGTCTAGTGTGTGCGTGTGTTCCGCCTACAGGAAAGTGCTTCCTTATAGTTCTCGATCTAAGGTGCGCCTCTTGACCGCTACGTAAGGGCTGCCTTCTTTCATTCTATCCAGCATTTACGCGCGAGATCTTCCAGGTGACCTCTTCCCTATTATTCTCCCCTCAATAACCTATGGGACAAGATCACCATGCCGTAGGGTATGACCAAGCCAGGCTCTCTCCCTTCTGTTAATAAAAGATATCATGGCCCTCTCCTCAAGACCCCAGTAAACCTGAAATCTGTTAAAGCATGTGCACCTCTAAACCTATGGATCGTCTTCACATGACTTCACAGCAGCCTTATTCTATGTTTTCACTCTCGTGGCTAGCATCTATGCAAATTTTTTGGAACAAAAGAGGAGCGTTTACATAAGAAAATAGTTCAACTCCCACAGGCTAGGACTGGTTTGGGACACAAACATGGCCGCCGTTTCATTGTCTTGGGACGCAAATATGGCCGCCATGATGTCATGTGAGAAAACACACAATTGGTGGACAAAAAAATTAACGGTGGCTATGTTAGTGTACCAAAATAATCTTGTGGGGATTGAACTCTTTACTCATTTAAAAAGTTTCTTTTGTTTCCACGAATTTGCATGGCTGCTGACCACGTGAGTGAAAATGATCTATTTCTAGTCACGCAGGAATGTCGTTACATTTCGTAAAAAGTAACAAATTCCTATCCATTTTCTGACACCTTGTCTCTAATTTCTGCAGGATGTTATTTGCATTATATAATTTACAGTTTGCCTGACAAACGCTCTCTCTCTCCCTCCCTCCCTCTCTCCTCCTCTTTTGTTTTATGTGTTTAATAAGTTGCTTTTTGCCAGGAGCTCCGCCTTAAGATCTACCTCAGTTTATCGCAACACCAATAAGTCGGAAGTTCTAGCGCAGTCACTGACTCACCTCAACCCAAGCGGTTATGGAGTTGTGCATTGGATCCCGTCCTCCTCCACTGGAAGTGTGATTTGCCGATACAAACACACTTGGGGCATTCTTGTACGCGAAGGCGAAGGAAATATCCTATTAAATGAACAAAATGAGATTAAAAATCAACGGGAAGAAGTTAACATACGACATACGTTAGAGATGTTACATCTTAGCAAAAGATATATACTGACCCTGCAGAAAGCGTTATTGTTCCAGGGTGAAGGCGGTTTAGAGTTTGCGAAATAAACTGAGCTGTGTTCTATGAAAAAAGGCTTCTCGAGAGAGAAGAGAGCCAACCAGTTCTGGAAAAATAGAAAGAAAGGTAACAGAAAGAAAAGAGCATTAAGTACATGCCGTGCTACCTTCAGATCGTCTTGACAAAATACGATGTTAAAATGGTAGTAAACAAGGAAATGTTACTTACAACATGAATATCTTCGTGTGAGCCTGCATAATTTTGTAGCTCCCTTAAACATATTTTGAAGGAAGAGTGCGTGATGTCCTCCAACCAAATACTTGCGGCGTCTCTCTTCAGACCGGCATGGTGATGTGCAGCAGTTACAAAAACTGAAGGCTCCCTAGAAAACTTAGCCTGGCCACAGGAAAAGGCAATGAAGAAAAAGAGAAGCAAGTAATAATTTGAAAGCATGGCATATACAGCTATTTTGAGAGGGGTTGTCGGAAAAAGTGCTCTCGACAATCCCGAAAGGTATTGTGGGTGGTTTTGAGTTCACTGTTCTTCAAAAGAAAAAAATGGCACGAGAGGCCATGGACGTATGTTTGCGACTGCTAAAGGAAAGCAACAAAAGTAGGTGCGACAGCTACAGTGTCAGGAACAGTGTATTGATCATATCCCATATTATTTTAACTTTCGGAATTACTCCGTGCACATTTTTTCCGACAGCCTTTCTCGAAATAGCTGTATGAGAGAGAATTGAAATTCAAAAATCAAAGACTAGTTGTAGTTCCAAATTAATTTTTCATAGTCTCCAGTACTTTTGTATATATTTATTTTATTTATCTATATTTTCATGTATTTATTTCTTTATTTACTCCCTCATTTATTTATTTGCGTCAGTTGATTGTAAACCCTATTTTTTTACCATTATGCAGTTAAGTAGCTCATTACTGATACCCCGGCGATAATGTACACAACTAAGAAAGTTAACACGTCTTTAACATTTGCTCAGTTCTAGAATACAAATAAAGAAAAAGAATGGTAAAATACATCACTCACCGACGGAAAATTCACCGTTTTACAAGTTGTCCCTGTCCACCATTGTGACATACGCACTTCTCCAGAGATCCCGCCGACTGGAGCTCCCTGATAAGCTATCCAGTCTATGGACACGTTAGCTCTGGACTTACGCTCGTTATACCCGGCCGCCATCACGCACGCAGTGAAGTTTTCGTAGCTCACATCCTCAATCCACGACACAGCTGCATCGTGGACATAGTTCATGTCCCTGGTATCGACGTGATTGACAGTTAATTGCACTTGAATGGGTTTGTCGGGATAGTAAACGTATGGTCGCAAATGAATTACTTCACAATGAGAATATCCCAAGGATGGTATATGAGGCATATGAAGTCGTGCACGCTGAAATGGGAACCCTGGCAAGTGAAGCAGAACAAAACTACATAAGTGCACTTTTGACAGTAACTGAACTAATTCTCGCGCTGATCTCAACAGCCATTGTTGGAATTAAAATTACCTAGTTTTTGTACAGTTTCTCTTTTCTTATTAGATGTTCATCAACTTTAGTAGAATTGTTAAAACAACTACCTCAATTTTCCATTGCTGCATTCTTACAGATCATTGGACGAGGAAACGCATGAATATGATCTACCGTGGGGCACGAAATTTTTGCGGTTTCTAATTTTTGCGATTTTTGCGGTCAGCGATCCGCAAAAATAAGTTCCCGCCAATAAAAATTACCTCAAACATTTTTCCCGCAAAAATTTACTCCAGAGTAAATATTCTCTAACTTAAATTCGCTACCCAAAAGTACAATACTAAGAAATCGTGTCTGTTCAATCACAACTTGTCTCTTTCATTCAGAAACAACGAAATACTGGTTTATTGTTTGAAGGTATGTTTTCTATTGCACTTGGGTATGGGCACTTTCTGAAAATAGCAAAAATTAATTCCCAGCAAGAAAAGCCAATCTGTTTTAATCTCAAAAATTAGTTCCCGCAAGGTAGGTAGGTAGGTAGGTAGATAAATAAACTTGATTTTAACATTCGGATTTAAAGAGTGGCATTGCTGTTAGTATCTCCGAATGAAAAAAAATCAAAACAAAAACAAAATCTAAACAAATTAATAAAACAGTCGAGTACAATCGGTGATATTAAAAATAATTTTGGAGTTGACTAGTACATTACCTTCGCAACTTCCAGGATGCTGAACTGTGTGGTTCAGTTGCAAGAAACACATGTCCTGTTTATAGAAACACAGGTTCCTGTACGTCGTTCCATTTGAAGAACAGATGGGTTCTTGGTATAGTGGGCACTTGTCTATGCACACACAGCGGGCATCGTATGGTGCAAAAGACTTGCATCGTGCATAGTAAGCACAGATCACTCCTATGCAAGGATCGGGATCTATGTTCAACCAAAAGAGAGGCATTTCGACAAATGAGAACTTGGGGAAAATCCACTGCTAATTTTTCTATTCACCTACTACGTTTGCATGTTAAATTTGTCGGTTTCCTAGAAAGTTAGCGAGCTGCTTTACCATGCATGCGAACAATAGACGATAAACTGGGCAACAAGAGAAAGAAAACGGAGTAACGAGAATTGATTCCCCGTTATTCCAAATTTTGGTTTATACGCATGCGCCACAGCTGCTCATTTACATCCAATTAGCAGGAGACTATTGTCTTTAAGTGTTGGAAGTTTCCGATTTAGCCATTCCCTTCTCAAACTTATCAATAATTCATAAAGAAAATATAAAGGAAATTAATGTTAAAACAGTGTTTGGAAATCGGGTGAAAAACTGCTCAGTTTTTCATCCTAAATTTCTTTTGGTAAAATCATTTTGTTTGAGAAGTAATATCAAGCATTCGACACAGTGTTTCATCACCAGATGAAACATCTCGAAGTTCGTCAAAAATACTCCGCTGCTCGTCGTATTTTCAACACTCTTCTCAGCGGTTATTTCGTTTCTCACTGGCGGTCGTCAAAGCTTAGACTGATGACGTCATTATGACCTCATACAAGTCATGAGTGTCGATTCGTAAGTTCCATTGCAAGAGTACCAATACGTTTGGAGTGCAGAAGAATTTAAGAGAGGTCAAGGGAAAAATTAAAAGAGCTGATAACCGACAGACCTACCTCCAAAAACTAGATAATCGAGTTTTATAATATCCTTGCTCTTGACGTCGTAGGCTTTGACGCAAATTTCCGTTTCTGTGGTTGATGTGTTCTGAGGGTAAATATAAGTAATAAACAGTTTATTAATTATACGGAATTGAAAACTTTTGTTCAATTAGGGGACTCGCGTAACATGGATGTCCTGTTTGCTTTTTCTTTCTCTGATCCTTCCTCAGTTTCTAGCCGGCTTTTGGGTGCCATTTGATAAATTCTCTCAATTAAACGTTGTTGTTGTTGTTGATGATGATGGTGACAATGATGATGATGATGATGATAATAATGATAATGATGATGACGATGATGACGATGATGAGGAGATTGTTTGAACGTGAAACTGGCTTTCTCAGTCTATATCGCTTCTCCTGGTATATTTATAACAGTGCTAATTTAAACTGATTTATTACCGTAACCCAAGCTGTGATTGCATTACATTCCGACACACTCGAGTCGTTGTTGACATGTTTTGCTGTCACTATTACCACCGGCGGAAGAAAGAGTTGCATTGTGAAGTTGATTTTCTGCAACATAAAATATATAGCTTGTTGCAGTACCAAATTTCTGTTTTGTTTTTCTGGCCTTTTGAATTAATGACTGAAGGATAATAATGATAATGATAATAAGAAAACATGGAATAAACGTCATAAAATAATAAATGAGATAAAAACAGGCAAACGTATAATGCTTAAAATATTGACTAATCAGTGCCCCGGAGGTGAAAAGGGTGTGTGTGTGTGTGTGTGGGGGGGGGGGGGGGGGGGAAGGGGGTGGCGTAATCTCTAGTAAGAGGAAAAGGGGGTGTGCCGCTGTATGGAATTTGTCTAATTAACCATCCCATCAAAGACGAATATATACTTCGAAGCTTCACGGCGGCTCGGCATAAATCCAACACGACTACTCATCTCGTTCTTTTTCGAAAGGGTACTGTTCTATATTACTATCAAGCAAAAAAACTAGGATTCATTTTATCTATAATCAGCAAGTCACTGGGAAAATTAACCAAGTATTGTTTATACTTTTTAGAAATGGGGCAAGAAAGGAACATGTCTAAGCAATATGCAAGTCTTTAAGAAATTTCCTGATGCAAATTAATAAGTCCATTTTGATTAAAACTATTCTACTGTACCTGGCAAAAGGAATTGTCATCTTGTTGAGATGGCAAGTTTTTCTCCGTAAACTCAAGACTGTCAGATAAGGTGAAGTTTTCGACTGTGAGGTTTGTATAAGCCATCCAGTTCTATAAGAATAAAATGTTTCGTCAGACAAGGCCAAACCGCTCGTTCGTATTTTTAATAGCCCTTAACATCTGCCAATGAATTTTTTTATTGAAATCTTTACAAAAACAGCTACTTACATTGCTAATAGACGTTAAACAAATTGCATAAAAAACTCTCTGAACGGTTCTTTAACAGGTTGAACTAAAAATTATAACGTTAAAAACGCAAAGTGTTATGAAATGCAAACTTACACATTTGATATATATGAAATGAATCTTTGAAAAAGTTTGTTTTGCAGCTCTTGTCTAAGACCCTGTTTACATGGAGTGGGGGACCCCGGTCTAGTGGGGTAAGTTTCTTTTGTTTTGTGTCCCCCAGAGCGTGAAAACAAAAGAAACTAACCCCACTAGACCGGGGTCCCCCACTCCATATAAACAGGCCCTAAGACCCTGTTTACATGGAGTGGGGGACCCCGGTCTAGTGGGGTAAGTTTCTTTGTTTTGTGTCCTCCAGAGCGTGAAAACAAAAGAAACCAACCCCAACCGGGGCCCCCCACTCCATGTAAACAGGCCCTTAAAAAATTTCGATAGGTAATAGCATGATTTGTGGCGATATTTGACATAAATACCACGAGTGATATTTCGAAATTGTTATACGTAATTTCACGAGCCGTTAGGCGAGTGAAATTTGAGAGAATTTTGAAATATCACGAGTGGTATTTATGGCAAATATCACGTACAAATCATGCTATAATATGTTTATACTACTACCCGCAAAAGTTTTGTAATTTTCACATGAAGGTATTTCAAATTAAGAAACGGTCCAGATAAGAACGATTCATAGCAACAACAGCAACGAACATGTTGGAATGCAAAAAAGGTGCTAATTTTTCTCTTGTCTGTATTTACTTCGAATTCTGATTGGCTTAAACAGCAAAAGTTAACAAAACTTCATAAAGCGGTACATATATTCATCCTTACATTCCAACCATCTTCCATGTAACAAAATCTGGTCTCAGTTTGAATAACAAAGAAATCCTATGTGGGGAACATGTACAATTGTAAACTTTTCTTGGCTATTGTTTTCAACTCTTGTGATTGGTTAAAATCTTTTAACACAAAAAAACACCCTTTCAAAGTGGAGTGTAAATGCATTTTATTGCGTAAACGGCCTTCATGTAGGTTTATGCATTCTCTGTGTAAAAATGAGAACATTTCTGTGTGGGGAAAGCACCGTTGCCGCATAACAAAAGAAATTGCTATCCACCTTACCTGGATCATTACTTAGGCTGAAATTCCACTGCTCTGAGCCAATCAAATTGCAGAAATTTCTCATGTTGTAATATAATAACCAGTAATCTTCTTGCGTTGCATACACAATCAGAGTACATGGTTCAGAAGGGCGAATATGTATCACGGAGGTTTTGGGCTGAGACCCCAGTTAGGTACAAAATTGTACTCACAATTTTGATGCCTTTGTGAAGTCCATCAAAAATCTTCACTTCCCTGAGACAGACTTTAAAACTGTCTTTGGTCAGGTCCTCTACCCAAACTGCCATGGCGTCTTGAGGTCTCCCTGGAAACTGATGACTGGGAGTCGCAAGTACGATTGGAGGAGTCAAAAAACGCTAAATTAAGCAAAGAAAAAGGTTTAGACGCACAAGCGAAGCGCTGTAGTCTAAAATTTTAAGCAAACTATGGAAGGAAAAACAAACAGAAATAACTGAGAAGCAGTGGTCCGTAGAGGGAAAAGAGACTTCAAATTTACTGCATTAAACCTACTCTTCTGATACTCTTAATACGTAGTTTGAATGACCTACTTTGTTCAACTCGTTCATATCCAAAAAGAGATGAAATTATGTAACCAAGCTCGTGTACTAATATCAAAAGAAAAACTTCTATATTTGCACCCTAAATCATCTTTCTTTTGTTTTGTTTCAGATTTGATAATAATTTTCTTATCATTCGATCACTAAGTTTGTTTTTAATGAAAATCTTCGGGAAGCGAGGTGATCTGCCTTTTTTCACGCAAGAGTGATCGTAAGAAAGAGAAAAGCGTGGTTCTGTTTACGCGTGAGCAGAATATTATTTGCAGCCAAACACAGTTGTACGACATTTCGCATTAGCAGACCATTATTTGTAGGCACTTACTTGTAGGCAGGTCAAGTGGTGGGCTTTCGGCCAATGAAAAGAAAGAAAACATGGCATCGCATGATAAATTATTTTTAACCTCTGTCGCATGAAAAACGAATCGAGGAGGAGAATCTTAAGTTTGTGATTTCGGATTCTTATGGTCTTTATGTTCAACCACCGCGACGCTTGAAACATTTCCTATATTATGTGAGCGAACCTATTGTCGGGGCTAAATCATTGTTAGAGACATTTGTTAAGATCTGATAAAAAAAAAAAATGCTTTTGGATGGCTTGCGTGATATACTGAAAGTTATGAGATGTTATCCGACCATTTGAAAGGTTCTAGAAGATTCTAAAGATTAGGAATTTGGGGAAGTAACCAGTATCAGGAGAGGATAATATACCTGTGTTATATTAACCCCAGGCGACAAATAAACGATGCAGATTATGCATTTCCTGATTCCTTTAATTAGACTTCCAGCAGCGAATGCTGGAAGGATGGATCTTTCCACAGATACCAAAGGTGAAATTGGACTGGATTCATCTTTGTTATGCTGCATTCTGTTTTAAGTCTACAAGCTTCTATTCCCTTCTTCTAAACGATTCGTTAGATGAATGGCTCTTGCTGCTTATTTTGGGAGACGGCAGAAAACGAGCCGAATCACGTCTGTGCGGATAGGTGATTGGCTCAGATCGGAATCTTAAGCTTGATGCGCGTGTAGGAACGAACGTGAGACTACAGAGCCAATTATATTCAGGCTAATCCGGTATGATTATTTGATCCAAATCAGGGCTCTAGTAATCTGTCATAATCCAGGTGAACCTACAAAAATAGCTAAGAAGAGAAAACGTATAAAGCCTTTCAGGAAGTAGATTTTAATGGCTAATAATTTTTTCCAATGACTGCATTCCTCGACGTTCAAACTAAAGAAAATGAGGCTTGACAATAATATAATTTTATCAATGTCATCTTTCAGGAACTTATGTTGTTGAACTTGTGTTGTAAAGCTAAAGAGAGAAACAAATCTAAATCGGTTTGAGTGATCTTAGGTCAACATTTGATCTGTTTACAGACTTGAACAGCCATGTCGAAATTGTGTTACCTCAAAGGTGGATGAAGTAACTGCCTTGAAAGGATTAGGAATTACCTCTATACAAAAACATATAAGACCTTGCATAATGCGCTTGTCCAGCCTCTGTATTATTATTTTGATACTACAGTCGTACTAACCAAAAAATTAGGGAGTACGCGCGAGATCTCGCTTCTACGCTGCTCTTTTCGTAAGTTTCACGTGAGAGAAGGTAAAAACGCAGTTGATCAGATTAAGAGTGATAGAAGGCCCAAACACACATGATCAGATTGCATTCTCATGCATTCCATTCATTGTAAGTGAAAGTTCAAAAAAATGTTGTCCATGGGTCATACATGCTGCGCATGCCTCAAACAACTTGAAGATTATGCCGATTGCGGGCGACCACATTTCGGGCCCCTCCGGTCACCCGCAATTATCTGGTTTGATTCCAACCAGGAGCCTATTCCAACAAAATCACTGTCTCCCTTTTGAAGAAGATCGAAAACGCGCACAGAGAGATTAATAGCCTAAGTTCTAACGGATGGCGCCTTTCGTCTGTAATGATTAAATGGCTTTTGCCCCTCTTATCTCAACAAGATATCCGTACTATCTTTAGAATGTTATGGTTACTTGTTATTCATTCTTCTAACTTTTAAGTTTTAGTTTATTTTTACGTAACATGATCATGATCTTTGGTAAGTAAAGTTCAGTCATTGGTTTAATCAATCAATTAATCAATTATCATTTCCTTCCCTCCTTCCTTCCTAAATCCTTTTCACATCGTTCGAGACATACCGATTTTTCAATATAAGTGTCATTTATTATTACCACGCATGTTCGAGAACGTGTGTCCATTCCGCTACTTAGAACGTAACTGAACTGATTTTTGCCGAAACAACAATGCGGCATCTCAGTCTTCAAAGTTTATTCAGAAAAGAATTATTGTAATATTTTATTACCTTGTATATTTTTCCTTTTCCTTTCCTTTCCTTTTTATTTATTTCCTATTGTTTGTTTATTTCCTTATGCTAATATGACTTTTGTTTGCTTGTCTTCATGCATGTTCGCGTGCCAAAATAATTATTTACTAGTTAGTGCATGATAGATTTTTTAAGAATGAGATCAGGTATAAACATTCGTTCATTCATCCATCCATTCCTTGATCCTTCCTTCCTTTGTTTATTCTGGCATTCATTCAATATATGAGCGATTGGATTCGGTGAGGCACCTCTTGCAATGGAACTTCAAAACGAATGACAAAATAGTCATACCTAACATGCAGGTGAATATGTGTTAGTTAGTGGGACTGCCATTCCAAAATGCAAGAGATCGAAAAAGGAAATCAGGCTCCCAACTATGCAAAAAACCTTTTTTTCACGGACTTTTAGAACGAACAACGTTCTCGACCGTTCAGTCCAGTCCATGAGGTAAATTACTTGCTATTTCACTTTTATGCTCGTACAGTGTGTTGCGCAACTAACCTGGGGAAAGAAGATCTTCTTACATTCTGTTCCAGTAGTCCAAGAGTCCAAGGAAGTGGTTCCTATTTGTGCCCCAGAGGGAGCAGATTGTAGGGCAATCCAGTTTATCTCGATGGCATTTGAGCCATCGCTGTACTCGTAGATGCAAGCGCTGAATTGACTTTTATCTTCTGATTCCACCCACAAGGCAGCACCAGTACTTGAGTTGCTAGGCGAAGCAAACACTTTTACTTGCTTTCCACCGGGGAATGGTTCTGCAAACGTGATTTTCTCGCAAGCGAACAACCCTGCGCCATTCAGGGCAGTGATATTATCGATTTTTCCAGATTTGAAACTGACTGCTGTAAGAGAAAACATTTAAAAACTAACGTTAATTCTGAACCATAATTTTGGGGAATTCATTGTATGATCAAACGCATTGAGCGTAAGGTCCTTTGAAGTCCTTGGAATAGGATTTTCTTACGCGCCCCACCCCAATCTTTCATTCTTCCTTCCTTGAAATGAAACGTTTAGTTTCCCGTAAAAGATTGTAAAGAATTATCGACACTTTGAAACTTAAATCCGCAAAGATCTTTCACTAATACCTTGACTTCCTTGTGAAAAAAACACAACTAAAATCAAAATGGCATACAGGAGAATCGGGAGATGTCGCTCTTCCACCATCTTGCCTTAACTGAAGAAATGCTTCCTCTCTTGTAAATGATATTTCTATTGTGTTCACTTTGAGGAATCATTTCTGTTGCTTTGACAGTTAATTAAATGGGCAGTGAAGCACTAAATACCCTAAAATGGACATAAGTTATCATTGTCCTAAAAAGGTCGCGGATCTAGGGGGCGAACATTCGTTAGAGAATTGTATCAGTCAAGAAAATCATTTTCGTATCACACTACAGGAAAGTGTTTTTAAAATATGAGAACAATAGAAGTACATGTATGTACGGTGTACACACCCTTAGGCTCCTTTTGTTTCGTTTTTAACCCCCCTTACACTTCTTTGCCCCCCTGAGAGCAAACGTGCACGTCCGCACGTTTTCTGCGTAGATTGTTTCTGACCCGCGTTCTCTTTTTTGCCGCTGATAACAAATGTAGGCATCGATTTCCTCTCGATTGTCTTGTCGCATGTTACTCTTTTTACCTTTCACCTAATATGTCGCTTAGAATTATGTTCCCAGTCCGAGTGCGAACGACAAAAAAAGTTTTCCACTGCATCATTATAGATTTCAGGCCAAAAAGATTATAGAGCATATAGGGATTTTCTATACCTTTTCTCATTCCTTTTACAAACAACTTTTCTAGCTATTTCAAATGTTATATTATTGACACCTTTTGTCAAGGCTCTCTTTGTTCGCCCGACTTGTCAAGATAAGAGTTCTCCTCAATTCTTTAACTATTGACAGTATGGCAGCCCCTAAGACTGTCGACTGTTTTTTTTTTTTTTTCCTTTTTCAAAATGCGAATAAAAAGGCCTTGATTAATATGTTTTCTTAGAAGAATTGCAAAAGTAATGAACTCGGCATAGCATCCTGGAAGTCTCTTTGTGGATTTACATTTATTTATCATTGTTGTTGTTGTTGCCTTAGAGAATCAGCTTGGATCTACAGATTTATGATGGCTAGAATTTCACTTCCTTAACACCCAACCCTGAGAGGGATCACATGCATTTTTGGTCCAAAGAAAGATCATCTGTAAGTGTAGTATAGGTATTTCTGTCTCTTATGCCTGGTTTCCATATGATCGCTACGATCGCTCACAGGCTCCAGAGGAGTTTCGTGTGAATAAATGAATTACTTACCTTGAAAAATGTCTATACCTGTCGCTTAGCACGATTAATTAGCCCAATGGGATCTTTATAAATCTACTGTAAACGATTTCTTCGCTTCTTAATATCTGACCCAGATCGACTTTTGAAAATCAATAACCGCAAGACATATCCTCGCTGGCGCACGGCACGTCGCCCGAAGGACGACCGAGGCAACTTCTAATTAAATCTTTTCTTATGGTTTAGAATAAACTGTTCTCGAAACTGAGAATGTTTTGATCAAAGCTGTGTAAGTCGAGCTGAAACTGTGCATGGTACCTTGCGTTTCCAGTATTTATCTTACCTATTGTATGGAATATGTGTGAAAATCTTCATTATGAATCGGTATATTTCAAAGACCTACACAACCAGCAAGAATACTATTCAGTATTGACCGACAATATACAGAACGGGAGCAGCTGTAGTGTCAACTATTACTAGTTAGTTTAGTGAGCAAAGAATATTTCTCATACAACGTCTTATAATTTTGTTGCTGTATGAATAATTGCCCAAGCACTAGTGACTCGCGCGTATATTAAGGAAAGTACTTACAGTTGAAATATACAGTCATACAGTCAATATAGAAAAAAATCTCGATTTGCTTGAACAGGGGCCGCGAGGAATCGGTAGGTAATGATGACGTTTCTATTGTTTGCGCCCGCAAGTACTTAGGATGACGTAAAGACAGAAAATCCCGAAGGGACCGCTCAGGTAGATTTTGTGACATTTATTCGTGCAGTCATAATTCGATACTCTTTTGCGTTACGCAGTGACATTCTGTGGAGCAGTTGTTTTGAAAGTTATGGACCAAAAGACACTCGTTAAGCGCATATATAAACACTTGGAGAGTTTGCCAGACACGAGTTCACAAGTCTTTGATTTATATTGGAAACCTTGCCAGACACTCTTTCCATCTCTTTGACCGGAATAAGACTCAGCCCCAAACAAGCAAGACGAGTGAGCAACGGCTAGCTTATCACTAGCAGAACGATGGACGATTACAGAAATTCGCCGACAATCTAATTCTTTGCTCACTTATTCCCTGCTCACAAATGTCCTTCCGTTATAAAGTTTCAAATAAGACTAGAATGCGCGAGCGTGAATCGACCAAACGTCCTTTTAATTTCTAAGGCTTACCTTCCGGCAAATAAAATGAACTGAATGTAAAAAAGTGAAAGAGAAATAGCGAAAAATTCAACTTCTAATTGAATCTTTTCTTATGGTTTAGAATAAACTATTCTCGAAACTGAGAATCTTTTGATCAAAGCTGTGTTAATGGAGCTGAAACTGTGCATGGAACCTTGCGTTTCCTGTATTTATCTCACCTATTGTATGGAACTGATGTGTGAAAATCTTCATTATGAATCGGTATATTTCAAAGAGCTACACAACGAGCAAGAATACTATTGACCGACAATATACAGAACGGGGGCAGCTGTAGTGTCAACTATTACTAGTTAATTAGACTAGAAGGGTAGTGTTGTTCTTGCATCCTAAGAGGCCTGAAACGTAGTCAACACACAAATAAACATAATAAAATACTACATGCAAGCTTAAAAGGAAAAATTTAAAGCACGTTTTGCTCAGTTATGGAGAAGTAGGATAATTCTCATACGTCCCCTTATAATTGTGGCCGTATGAATGATTAATTCACGAATGGATAATGTTGCTCAGGGCTCTCATAGTGAGCTTGGGCTACCTGTGGGATCATATGAAAACCTGCAGGCTTTACTGTGACAAATCGATGAAAAGATTTGCAGCAAGCTAGGAGAGAAGCCGAAAGGTTTACAAGAAGGAAAGGGCTGCGCCGTTCATTCACTTTAGGTTACAGCCTAATTTCACGTTTTATCGAGAACACAAACAAAAGAAGACGAATTTCTCTCCCTCACTCTCTTTGCCTCTGGAGAGTTTTCTAAGGTATTCGTGTTCAAGAGAGTTCGTCTACATTTAGCAGAGTTAGCGAATTGGAATAATCGCCCTGAAGTTTCAAAGAATGCAAAGTCACTTTTTAAGTGACGTTTTCGCCGCCGTCGCCTATGGGGTATCTTAAAATCCCTAATATCATTCTTCACAATGCGTTGATTGGTATTTGTAAGGCAAGGCAGAGGTGAATCCTCCTTTTACTCTGGTCCTAGTGATTGTTACCATAATCGAGAAACACAGTTCAACTTAGAGGTATACAATGGACCCTGTTTTCGAAATGAGCAGCCTTGACTTCGTCTTGTGAAGGGAGTAACAGTGGTTATGCAATAAAAGAAAAAAAAAAAAAAAAAAAAAAAAAAAAAAACAGTACAACGACAAGCAGACACCAAAACACGGTGCAATACATCGCAGGTAAGTCGTTTGCATTCATTTCATTGAACGAAAATTATATTTAACGTTATTTAGCGTTCGCAAATCTCAGCATTTGATTTCTCATACAAAGTCTCTTGTTTTCAACGGTCACCTGTAACGCGGCGCGTACCGGCACATCCAGCACAAATGTCATGCGTCACCCATTCCTCGTAACGTGAGTTTGGGCCGCCTGTGACGAAACTGGAATTCATTGCTGACTTTATTTATTTGGGCAACGTTATGAGCCCGGTAGGGGAGGGGGGAGGGGGCATTCCCATATTTGGCCTATACGGGTATGTGCTGCTGCACATGGTATCAAATGGCTTTCAGGGTCTTGAGTCTTAACCAGGGTATATAATTTCACTATTGAGCGTCTTGAGCATGGTTTTTTTTTAGACCCGAAGCCTTAAACAGGGTGTGAAGTTTGGCGGTGTGCGGTCTAGGTGTGTAACGAAATTTTTTAAAATAATCTAATTCAGGAATGACGTTTCATTTCCTTCGCAAGAGTGCCACGCGACTTGCACACTTGATTCACACAGTAAAACTCCACCGTCTGGCCTGGGTTTAGCTCAATCGATCGGTCAGGAGCCCATCAAATGATGGGATTCTGAATCGGTAGAACGCTTTATGTATTAATCTGGGGTTTAAAGGGGCTATGTCACCCCACACGCATGCGCGAGCCAATGAAAACAAACTTGAAAAAGTTGGCCCGTCTTTTTAAAGTTCTGTCGGAGATTTTGGAAGGCTGTTTTTATCTGTCTAAATCTCAGCCATCGTTCGATAGTTAGCGAAGTTTTGTGTTAAGAATCGTTGCATGGTTATTACAGAATAATTTTTTGGCGTTATTTTGAAATTGTTTGACTGTGGAATGTTTTTACATGGATTTACTGTGTCCTCTTATCAGCGGCCGTTGTAATGGCAGAGTTAATGACGGCTACTCCACAATGAGTGATGGAATCTTTGATGGAATCTTCCCTATAGTTCACAGAACCTTTCTATTGAGTTATTTTAGAGGTTGCTGGCTCTTGGATTTTTCTTGTGCTCAAAGTATGTGGACATATAATGAAGCGGCTATCGAGTTGGCGGCGGCCGTTTTTGGTAAACGATTACAAGAGCATCAGGCCATGAGTTTCGTGACCAAACGAAACTCCTGGCGAAGGAAACATTATAAAATTCGGCTAGATTCCTTCTCGTATTTATCTGAATTCACGGCAAAGATAAACACGACCGTTTGCTCGTCCAGATTGTTCTCAACGGACTTAGAGAGGCACCTTAGTACGAGTTAGATCCTGTAAATGCCATGTTTTTGAACTGTTTGTGTTCGAGCATATTTTTGGAAAATAGCAGAGTTTATTTTCCCTTTTTATCAAAGGACTGCTTACAGTGGAGTAGTATACCAATGATGCTTGGTTCTTTTTTTTCTCGACGTCGCAGTGATTCGGCACGATCGAACAATTTTGCGCGATAATGTATCTTTCCCTAAGATCAAAACAAAGACTTGATGTCTCTTGTTCTCAGCATCTAAATTATAAAATCGCTAGCGACTGACAAGTCT